CCGAACGAGTCGACGGTGCGGCTGGGGCATAGCTGACAGTCCACTCGACAATCTGTGCAGAGAGCCCGGCAGACACGAGGCGTGTGTCCCGAGACCCAGACCATCGACTCGACGCTCATGTTGTCGCCGCCCGGCAGTCTCTACGCCAAAAAGCCAAAAGCCAACAACCAATTTCACCATTCGCAATCCAGCGTGAGCCACCAAACGCCAAGCCCAAACAAAGCGAGAGAGAGAGAGAGAGAGAGAGTGAGAGAGATGGACTCGTGTGTCATAGGAGCTCCAATGCGGATCGATCCTCTCATCACATTGAAAAGCAACGACAGGGCGAGCACTTTTTATGCATGTCCATGGTATGAGTGTGTGTGAATGTATGTGTGTGTGTGGTTGGTTGGTTGGTTGGTTGGTTGGAGTGAGCTTTGACCAGCACAGTGGTCAGCTTGGTTGCATTGGACGGACCACATGGACCTCTCTCTCTCTCGCTCTCTCCGATCCCGCTTTCCGTCGGTCTCAGAGACTTACGCGCTCCAGGTGCCAGCCGTTGGCCACGTTCCAGATCTCAATGTCGCCGTCTGCGCGCGCCACGGCGAGCAGCTGGCCGGACGGACTGAACGCGAGCCCGTGCACTGCCTGTGGCGCGTACTCAAAGAAGCGGCAGCGATGCACTTCCATTGGGAAAAGAAAAGCAAAGGAAAGAAAAGGAACAAAAGGACTGCTGAGCAACTCTGAGACAAAAAAAAATAAATAAATGAGGGAGCAAAAAAGAAATAGTACAGCATGAGCGATGGAACAGAGAAAGAGAGAGAGAGAGCGGGAGAGAGAGAACGGGATTGCAGCCAGCTCACCGGCAAAACCGTCATCTAATGCACAGTACTGCATCAAGCATCAAGCATCACGTATGCAAGTACAAGGAACACCCCTCCCCCTTCTTCCCTTTTCAGATTCCAGCCAAAAAGCTCAATGTTGCGCCAAACGCTGGATTTCCACTCAAAATCCACTGGCTTGAGCTTCTCGTTTGGACCAATGCAAAATTCAACAACAGGATTATGCTTTGAATTAAATCGCAGTCTCAGTCTCAGTCTCAGTCTCTATTTCGACCGACGATTTTGCCAAACCAGTCGGCTGACTCAGTACTATTCACTCTTTTCAAGCAAAAAAGCACTCTTTCTCTCTCTCTCTCGTTACCCTCCATCATCCATGAAGCGGTTATTCCAGCGGGAGAACAGCGAGTACCGGCGACTGCGCACGCATGACGGCGTTGAGGACGCAGCGTCGTTCGGCTTTGGCGAGGATGTCGAGCAGCCGCTCCTGATGCACGCCACCCCCGGCAGCCAGTTTGGCAACAGCAGCAACAGCAGCAGCAGCAACAACAACAACAGCAGCACCAGCAGCAGCAACAACAACAGAGACGACGGCAAGCGCGGATTGCTGTCAAAGTTTGGCGGCTCGTCCGACGGCGCGTCCTCGCCCTCGCCCCAGTCCCAGTACCGCGACGGCACCGAGTCGTCTGCCTTCCTGTCGAGCTCCATGTCTGGCTCTGGCTCTGGTGGTGTCTCGTCCGGCGGTCACGGTGGTCTCGGCGGGCTCGGTGGCACCGGCTCGTCCAGTCACGAGCACCATCACCACCACCACTCGAGCAGCGCCGTGCTCAAGCCACCGCTCGACGACGCCTCGGCATCGGTCAGCGCGTCGTACTTTAACCTCGCCAACACCATCCTCGGCTCGGGTGTTCTCGCGCTCCCGTCAGCCATCCGCATGTGCGGCGTCGTCCTCGGGCCGCTCCTCATCTTCCTCGGTAAGGCAACCCCACTCACGCGCTCTGCACTCTGCTTTAGGGAGAAGGGTTTGTATTATGATGCATTGTGCTGCATTGAATTCCGGTTCCGAAGGCTGGTCATCGTCGTCGTCGCGTCCTTCCATCAATAATGCTGCATCGCATTGCATTTCTCGTTCAGAACGCCCGTCATCGTCGCTCATGAAACTGAGCATGGCTGAAGCGCGTGGCCAAAGTGCATCCGTGTCCACTCAATTCAAGTTGTGGAATAATTTCACAGGGGCTGGGGTGGGGTGGCAACGGCTGAAGAAGAGTCAGGCTCTCTCAGACCTCTGCTATTATTTTTTTTTCTCAGACCTCGAGGGGGCGGGGCTGCTTTTGCAGCTTCCTTCGGTGGAGCTTGGACAATATTGTACATGTCTTGTTTCGTTTTTTTTTTTCTCTAATGCTCGAATACCTGCAAACCTAGGCGCAATCGCTTCAAGCTTTGGACTTCAGCTGCTGGTCGAGTGCGCAAGACGCACCGGACAGGTCAATGCGTCGTACTTTACGGTCGCCAAGCACACCTACCCCAAGGTTTGTAATGCATCGTGGAGCACTCGAAGCGGGGGAGTGGCATTTTGCTCTTGGACAAGCTGCTTACAAGTTCACCTGCAATCGTTATCATAGGCTTCCAAGCTAATCGATTTGGCAGTCGCTCTCAAGTGTTATGGCGTGGCTATCTCGTACCTGATTGTCGTCGGTGACTTGCTCGTGGCTGCCATGGTGAGTTGTCTCGTCAAAACGCCTGCTCGTCCAAAAAAAAAAACAAAAAACCTACCCTCACACAATGATTTTGTTTGCCTTTTTCCTCACCCTCACTCACTTCCTTGTTTCTTTCTGTCGCCAGCTTTCCTTGTTCGATGTCAGCTCCGACAGCGTGGTGGCTGATCGCCGCTTTTGGATTGGAATGGCCATGCTCATCGAGCTTCCACTCTCCATCCAAAAGCATCTCAATTCCCTGCGTTGGGCAAGTGTTGCCGCCCTGGCGACGGTCATCTACCTCACTGGTCTTGTGTGCGGCAATTACTTTGCTTCTGGCGTGGATGCCAGTGCCGATGCGTTTGAGCTCGAATACTGGCGTTCCGATGTCGATGTCATTACAGCGCTCCCAATCATCGTTTTTGCCTTTACCTGCCACCAGAATGTACGTATCGAACGTGATTCGATTCTTGTCGTGCTGTGTTGTGTCAGCTGCAGAGTTTTGCTCCCCGTTATCCCGTCTTCCTCATCTCACTTGATTTCATCGCCGTTAGATTTTTACGATATATGGCGAACTCCGAAATCCAACCGCGGAACGCATTCACAAGGTGATCAACTTGGCCATCAGCTCCTGCTTGTTCATCTACTTTACCGTTGGCATTTGTGGCTACCTCACCTTCCGATTGATAACGCGATCCAACATCATTCTCAACTGTACGGTGCTCTTGTTGCCTTCATCATGTCTGCTCGTCGTATCATCATTTGCTGATCTTTTTGAGCAATGATTTCTGTTGGTAGATACTCGAGATGAGCTACAAATCTGGGCCAATATTTGTCGCTTGGCTGTCGCTGTGCTGGCCCTCTTCTCGTACCCTCTGCAAGTCCACCCTTGCCGCACGAGCATTGAAAACCTGCTGTTCGCCAGCAGTCCCCTTCACAACGCCGACCGTCGTCGTGTCATTGAGACTCTGGTGTTGTGCTTGACGACCTTCCTCATTGCGTTTTTCGTTTCCGATCTCGATATTGGTAACCTACGGCTGCCTGCCTCTGTCTTTTTTAAAAGGGGAGAGGCGGGGGAGAGGCGACGGGCGGCTTCAAGATTCGTGGTCGAATGATGGAAGACAAAAACATTTGTGCTCACCACTGTGACTTTTTGTCGCGCTTTTTTTTTTTTTTTTTTTTTTTTACCTGCAGTTCTTGGCTTTGTCGGAGCAACCGGCTCTACCACTCTGTGCTATCTCTTGCCCGGCCTGTTTTATCTCAAGCTTGAGGCCAATGCCTCGAAATGGCACTGGAGGCGCATCGGAGCTCTGATTCTGGCCGTTGTCGGCGTTATTATGATTTTTGTCGCAAACACGGTCACCATCATGAAAGCGGTCGACCCGGACTCGCTTCCGAATGAGCCGGCAATTCCAAACTATTCGACATCTTCGTCTTTCGAGGCGTCTACTTCGTTCACTCCTGCGACATCGACGATCGACGTTTCGTCAACCATTTTTGGCAGCACTGCGACCTCAAGCTCGACAACGTCGACCATCCTTTCGTCCGGAACGCCCTCCGCCCTGGATACGTCAACCGTGCTTTCGTCCGCAACGCCCTCCGCCCTGGATACGTCAACCGTGCTTTCGTCCGGAACACCATCCGTGACGCTCGATTCAAGTGCGACGCTGGATGTTAGCACCACTGCGACAGACCTGTTGACATCCAGTGCCTTGGGCACTGATACTAGCGCTCTCGCGTCAGAAAGTGCTACATCTGTTATCGACACTCTGCTTTCAATCTTTACAAGCACAGACGCTCCTCAGTCCACGGCTTGAGTTTGAGCAAGTCTTGTGTTTGGTTGTTTGGTGTCTTTGTGTTTTTTTGTGTGGTTGTTGTTGTTTTGCATGATAGTGGCTAGCCACGTAATTAATCCATTAATGCACTGTTCAGTACCAAGCAGACAACCGAAAAAAAAAAAAGCAAGAATGTAGCAGGAGCAGAGTCCCACTACATCACCGACGACCTTCGTCAACACAACACGCACGGCCTAGACAATCCCCTCACAAACACCGCTGCAAAATGGGAATGACCTGGTCAAACGCTGGACGCTTTTCCGGACTTTCTTGCCAGCAGATGGAAATCAGCTGCTGGAAATGTCGTGGCACCGACTCTGGAATGACCGGGCGAAGCTGCTCCAGAGCAACCTTCATGCCGATTTGCATGGCATTCATGTTGTCGTAGACGAGGCGTCGGGCAAAAATTTCGTACATGACAATGGCGAAGCTGTACATGTCAGCCTTTTTGCGATCTGTGCTTTCAGCCTTGAGAACTTGAAATGCGCAAAGTGTAACCAAAAAAATAAAAGCACAAAAGTCAGTGTTGATGCAGGTACCGCGTCTGAGGCGCACAGCAACATTCGTGACCGTTACCTTCTGGCGCAATCCAATGCGGCTTGAAAAGTTGCAACCGCTTTTCGAACGTGCGGCGGAATTCAGAGTCTGCGACGTTCACACGAGCAACGTTCTCCTTGTCAATCTGCATTGACCACAAGCGAGTTGCAGTGAGTGTTGGAGCCAAACCAGCGCGCGCTCTCTCTTGTTCCCACACCCCTAAAAGAGAGGGGACATGGGAACCAGTCGAATGCCACGGCACACAGATCAGCAAAACAGGTCAACATACAAAAATAGAATGACTGGTCAGGTCAAAGTAGGGCATGCCGGGAGGAGTTAGGCCGTGCAGGTAGTTCAGGGCATTCGCAATGCCCAGGGCCCACTGAACCTGGGTCTGCGTATCAATAGACTTGGAAGTATCGTGCACCTGCTTGTAGAGCGATCCATCGGGCAGGAACTCGGAGACAAGGCCGAGATGGGGCGCAAAGGCCACGTAACCGAGCAGCGGCAAAAGATTCTCGTGGTTGAGTCCGCGCAATACCTGAGCCTCGGCAAAGAAATCGTTAAGTTGCAGCTTGGTGACGTTCTGATCGTGGAAGGTTTTGAGGACAAGCTCGTGCTTGGTGTTCCACCTGACACGAGCAACCTCGCCGAGATGGCCTTGGCCGAGCGAGCTGGGCTGCTCCAACAGGCGCCAGTCAAACTCGAACTTGGCGGGACCGAGTGCCGACAAGACCTGCTTGCTCGTCGATACGACCACCTTGGTGACCTTGAATGGAATCGGGTCGAGGGTTTGCCCCGCGGACATGGCGAGCGATTTCATCGCGTCTCCCAGCTGCTTTCCAGCTCGTGTGAGTGGCGTCTCGCCGTACTTGTTGCTCTGTGCGACAAGAGCTCCGCGCTCCACGAGCAACTGCGTGACAAAAAAACAAACACCGAGGCAAAAATCAGCGGACAGCGCAGGATAAGGCGAAAAAACAAAAACCCAGTAATTTCGCTCAGTTCACTCACCACCGCAAGGTCGTTGAAGCGCCAAAATGTCGCATAATGCAACGGTGTGTTTCCATGCTTGTTGGGCACGTTGACATTTGGCTGGCACGCCAGCAGCTGCCCGATCAAAGACAAAGGACGAAAAGCAAGCCAAAAAAAAAAAATGTTCAGCAACGACTCGTACGACTCTCCTCTCCTTCTCCAGCCCTCCGTCTTCCCAGTCCCTGATCTCATGGCCTGTACCATCTGAACCACATCGAGGTGGCCTTCGGCAATGGCGTAGTGAAGCGGAGTGTCGCCAATCTCGTTGACCGCATTCACGTTCGCCTTCTTGGCAATCAGCGCGGCCACAGTGGCGACTCGATGCTTGCGCACTGCCCAGTGCAGCAGCGTAAAGTTATGCACGTCTCTGTTTGTCGTGATACAAGTTCAACAAGCAAAGTGAGCAAAACAAAAAAGCCAGTCAAAGGGAAGATTTAATCTAAAAAAAAAAAAAAAAAAAAGCATAACAGATTCTGTTGTACTGCGTTTTTGGCTGAGAGTGGAAGAGAGATGGAGAGAGACAGAGCGAAAAAGCCCTTGTTTGAAGCAAGTGTGTGCGTTTCAATAAGAGAGGAGAATGAGGAAGTTGTCGCTGCACTGCCCTGATCAAAAAAAGCAAAAAAAAAAAAAAAAAAAGTTGCCATTTCTCGCTTTTTTTTTTGTTTTTTTTTTTTTTTTTTGTATTGTGCTTCTCGTTGTCGCTTTGCTTCCGTTCGAGTGACAGCATTTTCGTTTGTGAGGATGTGTAGGATTGGACAGCGACAAATCAACCCCCCCCCCTCCACCCAAACGAGAGAGCAAGAGAGAGAGACGGGAGCGACAGGCTTACAGAATGTCGACATTGCCATTCGAGTACGATTCAATCCATTTGAGGACTTTGGCTTCCTCGCCATTGATGATTTCGTCGTGCGGCTCGATGGTTGCCATTTTCTGCAGTTGATCAGAAGAAGGAAAAAAAAAAAAACGAAATAGAAAATAAAGAATGAACGAAGCAGGAAAAGGCAGGAAATTGAAAAATCTTCGAAAAAATCTTGGGCCATGCATTGAGATTGTGCTCGACAGCGATCTGGCAGCGGCTTGACTGGAACATTGCTCGTGAATGCACCATGGCAATCTGTAGACGCTCGAGTAAACCCTTATGGAGACATAGACAAAAGGTAGGTCAGTCTCATTGAACAAAAACCGAACCGAGCACGATGGCCGATATCGATGACTTTGAGGTTCCACGAGGTGCGCTCCGCATCAAGGGCGGAGCAATTGGCGGCGTCAAGAAGTAAGCAATCAAAGAAAGCTGAGACCATCCGAATGCAGAGTGGCTCGCGCTATGCCATGCGATACGAAACTTAGCGAGCTGCGAGTATCTCACGTCGCACGCTCGCCCCTGTCCCCGCGGCCTCCCGCTTCCTTTTTCTCCCCCACTGACAGAGCCAAGAGCAAGAAGCCAGCCCCATCCGAAAGCACAAACACACAAGCGCAAGGCGTAGTCAGCTCCGTGCTCGCCGAACTGGCAGAGGGCAGCACGCCCGACGACGCTGCTTCGTCCACCCAAGCTGCACCAAAGGCCGACTTGCGAACGCCTGCTCAAAAGAAGGCTGATGCTTTGCGAGAGCGAAGGGTAAGGCGTCTGTTGCTCCAGTGCAGAGCGAGTGTGTGTGTGTCTGACTGACCCTCGTTCTCCAATGGTTTCGCTTCTTCTGCTCAACCCCTGCCTGCTGCTCCAGGAAGCCGAGCGCATTCTTAAACAAGCCTCGGTCAGTCACAAGGATCGCATTGCTGAATTCAACAAAAAGCTGGACGAGCAATCCGAGCATTACGATGTGCCCAAAATCAGTTGGACAAAGTAGCTCGTCCTTTCCAAGTTCGTGTCTTCGCTTGCACTTTTGTCGCTTGTTTTTCCGCCCCCTAGCTTTTGTTAATTTCATTTCTATTTCCCCCCCCCCCTCCATTCATTACTCGTCCAATTTTGTACATCCACATGTCTGGGGTTTTTTGCGCGTGCATTGTCCGATCGTTAAGGAAACCGTTTCTTTTGAGCTTTTGGTTTTTTTGTTTTTTTGAAACTTCGCTTCCCTGCCGTTTTCCCTTCTCTCCACTGAAAATACGTTCCATTAACAACAACCCCCCCCCCCGTAATAAATTGTCTGTTTTTCTGTTACAAATGCTCGTGTATTTGATTCATGGCTCCCTGTGTCCTATTGTGACCTTGTCTCATTCTTCCGTTTCGCGCTACAACGCGGCAAAAGAAAAAAAAAAGCAAGTAAAACGCTCGACTTTTTTCTTTTTTTTTTTCCAAGGCTCGCTAATATGGTGAAGCGTGCTGCTTGCGAAGGGGAGGGGTGCATCAACGGCAGCAAGTGCAGGCAACGTTCTTGTGGGGCGGGTGGCTCTGCGCGGAGAGTACAGGGCGCAGAGCGCAGAGCCTTGAGCGGTGGGAGTCACGAAAAGCGCCAAAGGCGTTTGTTTCGTGTGGCTTTTTCGGGCTCAGTTTCGCGCCAACGCCGCAGCCGCTGCCACTCCTTGCCGCGCCCCGTCTGCCGTCGACCTACCCGTATGGCAGCTCTGTCACACGCGGTGGGCGGCCAGGGGGACCGACGGCGGCGACGAGCAGGCGGCGTTTTGCTGGCGCGCCTGTGCTGCAAGTTGCGAGAATGGGCGATTGAGACATGAAACAGATACTGCAGTATTGAAACGGCGCTTGAATTTTCTTACATCGTTCCGCATACGAAATTGTTAGCCAGCATTTGACAAAAAAAAAACCAAAACACGACATCAACCCCCTCAACGCTGCTCGAGCTGTGCGCTGCCGCACTGCTGCCCCTCATGCTGACCTTGCATCCCGCATCGCGATGGGCTCGCTCTGTGGCATTGAAAACTGCGGCCCCCCTGGGCCTCTGGGCGGAGGCTCGAGAAGTGGGGTTTCACAGCGTTTCGTTTTTTTTTTTTCGTTTTTTTTTTGAATTTTTTTTTTTTTGAAAAACTCGTTTTTTTTTTTTTGGGACTTTGGAAGCTTTGCCCAATGGTGATGCTGTGAAGTGAGTGCCATGTCGGGTGTGTACGCTGGGTGTAGGATTTGTTCTGAACTGACTGGCACTCCTTGTGACAAGCTGAGAGGAAGACGTTCGTCAATGCATCCAAAACAAAAAAAAAACAAAAAAAAAAAAAAAACGGTTTGTCTTGGCAGTTGGACTTTTTGGCTTTGGATTTGGCTTTGAGAGTTTTTTTTTTCCTTTTCTTTTCTTTGATTTTTTTTTCTGCCAATTTTTTTTTTTTTTTTTTCCCTTCTTGTTTCAGTTTTTCGTTTCAAAACCCCATTTCTGTTGACCTTCCCGTCCAACCTTTCCCCGTTAATTCCTGAAACGGAGGACGTGGTCGTGTTTCGCTCCAATCGATACCGTCTCTAATTTGCGCATGTTGTGAAATTCATTTTTATGTCTCGAAGCGCAGGCGCTAACAATTGAATTTGATTTTCTGGTGTTTTTATTTGGTTTCGCAGATTTCCCCATTTCCCCCCCCCCCCCACCTTCTCGCATTCGGAAGTTGGACTCTGTCTTGACGCCTTGAATCTGCTGTGCCCAATTCGCTGTTGAGACTCTTCCGCAACCCCTTGTCTCGCAAATTCTATTTTCGGTCGAGTTCCCTCGGGATCAGCCTCCCAAGCCACATACATCTTTTGAACAAATTTCGTTTTGCCCGTCATTCGCACTTGGCTCAACTGCGTTTCGTGAGATAATTACCCGCTCTACTATACCTGGTGCGCATCTCAAGCCCTCGACCACAACCAACTGCCCGCCACTCGGCCACTCGGCAAAATCACACCTCGCAAGATGACTGCCGTTGTTGCCGTTTCACCGAGCCTCTCCGCGTCCGATCCAGACGAACCACACTTTGACCATCGCGAGCACAGCGGAAGAGACACGGACGATGCTCGGTCTGGTCGGACGCCACACCGAACATCCTCGGCCCATCGCCAGGGCCACAACGAGGGCGAGGCGCCAAGTAGTGCCGGGCGCTCATCCAAGAAACCCAGCACTTCGTCCAAGCGAGCACCAGCCTCCTCCTCCTCTTCAGCCGCACAAGAACCACCAATGCCAAGCCAACAACAACAACAACCACCACAACCACCACCAGGCGACATGATGATGGCACCTGCGTTCCGCTACCCCATGTACCCGCCATTCATGCCGATGAATATGATGCAGATGCCACAACCTGGCCCGCCAATGATGATGTCATACGCCACCTCGCCGCGCGGCATGCCAAACATGGGGCCGTCAGTGGTTGGACAGTCGCCCTCGTCATCGACAAATAGCGAAGCAGGGTCTGTGCGGCCGCGCCCACGGAACTCTGCCAATGCCATCGCAACCAACTTGTTTGGAGCGCCAGCCAGCGCACGAAAAGGGCGGCCGGAGCAAAGCGACGCCGAGGACGCCGCGTCGAGCGACCCCCGCGCGCCCAGCAGCACTATTGACTATGGCGAGGACGACGAGCTTGAGCTGGAGGATGACGCGCTGCCTGGAGACGAGGAAGAAGGCGAATTGAACAATCTTAGCAACATGGCGCCCGTTTCCGCCAAGATGGTCCGCGACAAGCTCACAACCCTCCAAGCCATCATCACCGAGCGCATCAAAGACATCCAAGTGAACACTGTCTATGAGATTCTCAACTGGATTGGCTATCCCGTGCAAGTCATGTTTTCCAACATTCACTCGGCGAACGGCGAATTCTACATGTCGACGCGTTCGATTGGTGAATTCGTCCTGCACCTGCTCCATGCTTCCATGCCCGTCAAAACGAACGTCACGACAACCATCGTGCGAAAGTTCAAGTCCCTCGACCAGAACGTGTCCGACTATGGCCTCTTGGTCAAGACGGTTGGCCAAAAGCCCGAAAAGGTCTACATGGTGCAGAAGATTCCAATCGGCTCCCACGACCTGCCCCAAACGCCACAGCGTGGGCGAGGCTCTCACACCAACTCTCGCGGCACGACCTTCTACTGGCCCGTCGCGTACATTCCCCGCATTATGCTTTCGCTCGTGGCCACTATCAACCGTTCGCGAGCATTCAAAGACATCCAGCCCTTGTCCACCGGCGAGACGGAAGTTGTTGCCAGGACAAGCACACCCTCGAAGAGTTCAAGTTCCAACTCGGCAGCCGCTGGACGGACGAAAGGGCAGACCACCCCGATCAAGAACGCCAACGTCCTATCGGTCAACAAGGGGAGCGTCGCTGTGATCAAGTCTGCAGCTGCGGGCAAAAGTTCGTCCTCCGCCAAGTCACCAGCTTCAAAGTCGCAACAGTCCTCTTCTCGCCCGCCCCCAATGTCGCCTCTATCTGCCGGCGGCCCGCCGTATCCGGGCATGATGCCGCAGATGATGATGCCGATGGGACCTGGCATGCCCCAAATGATGATGGGTCCGATGGGAATGCACATGGGCATGATGGGCGTCCCAGTGATGGGCGGCATGGTCCCCATGGTGATGGCTCAGCAGCAGCAAGCAGCAATGCAAGCTATGGGCCAGCACTACCCACCAGCGCCACACCAGATGCAGCAGCAGCAGCAACACCAAACACATCCGCAACAGCAACACTCAAGTGCTCAGCAGCAGCAGCGGTCTAGGCAACAAACGCAAGCGGGAGGCCGCTCCTCGGTCAAGGAGCCCTCTGCCGCGTCTCAACATGAATCGCAAGGGCAATCAGAGACTCGCGATCCCTTGGCTGCCAGCGATGAAGATGTTGCCTCCGTGCAGGACGAGTCCGAGCACCATGATGACGACCAGGACTGGCATGGCGAGCAGGACAAGGACGGCGAGGGTGATGATTATGCCGAAAGGGCACCGTCGCCTGCCTCCCTGTTAGCTCATGTCGCCGTGAATGCCATGTCAAACACAACTCCCCCGTCATCGGCTGCCAAGCGTTTCGCCGGCCAAGCCGAAGGCGAGCCTGAGGGCTCGCGGCCTGCCAAGCGGTTTGCTCTGGACCGCGCTGCTGGTGGCCCCGAAGACGAGAACGATCGCACGTTGCTGGCCAAGCTCGGCGAAGAAGAGGAGCATTCGGAACGAGTGGGCTCCATCTTTCAAGAGGCTGCAGGCCATCGCGAGTCCTCCATGGCACAGAGCGTGCGTGGTGATGACGATGTGAGCAGTGACTACTCGTCCAATCCGGCTCGCGCAAAGCGACACCGGAACGAGACGAGCGAGGAAACGGCCAACCGTCAACTTCTCGAAGAGGCCGAGGGGACCATGAGCGACCCTGACTCTGAGCTGTTTGATGAATCATCCATCACGCAAGCGCGAGCGTTGCGGCACACGATTCGCGAAAAGAAGCAGCGGCTGAATGAGTTGCAGCAAGCGCAACGCGCGTGCCAGAAGCGCCTGCTCGACCTCGAGAACGAAATGAAGGAGCAGCACGTCAACATCACCGGCCTTGTCTTTGAAATTGCCGAGTCCAAGGTGGAGTTGCACAAGCTCCGTGCCGACAACAAATCGCCCGCCGAGCTCGAAAATGACGACGACGAGGAAGAAGAGACGGATGCTCCGGTTGAACTCCCTGACGTTGATGCCCAATGAAAGGGAGGGGTTGTTCACTCGTGGCTCTGTTTACTTTCAATCTCGCGTTTTCTTTTTCACTTGTGTGGCTTGCTTTCGTTCTCGTCACAAACCCCAGTTATGATCTCCAAAACCTTGCTTTTCTGTTTGTCGAGCGAGACTTTATCTTATCTTGTCGTTCTTAATTTTTTTGCTCTGTCCCATGTATTTTTTTTTGGGTGTGTGTGTGTGTGTCTTGTATTATTTGTGTGCCATGGATGTTGTTGAAGTTGAGGGTGCGGGACTCTTTGTGTTGCCTGTTGAGATGTAACGACCAGCATCGCCCAATACATTGTATTTAATCTTCCATTCAAATCAATCCATCTCAATTTTCCATCCATCTAGATCTAAAACAAATCCAAAAAGAAAGCTGCCACGCAGTCAGAAAAAAAACAACCATGGTCAAGGGGGACGAGACCAAGAGCAAGCGTCCAGCGCCTGCTGCCGAGCAGGAGGAGTTTGAAGAGACGCCGCTGCGCACTGCCATCTGGACGTACTTGGGCTATGCCATCCTGATTCTCTTTGGCCACTTCCGCGACTTTCTGCGCGACTGGGGCATCGAGAAGACCAAGTTCAAGCGCGAGACGGGCATGCAGGTACAAAACAGACAGACAGTTAGCGAACTGTTGGATGAAAAGCGCTTCTTTTTTTTTTTTTTTTTTTTTTTGTTTGATTCAGTCGTCCTGCACTCACTGCTGCGGTGGGCTGAGCGGTGAGACGGGATGTAGATCAGTTGTGCAGCCAAGTCCGCTTCCGCGTTGCTCCTCTTTGCTTTCCTTCCCTTTTGCTGCAACCACAGTGTTTTGGAGAGCGAAGCGGTCCTTTTATTTTATTTTATTTTATTTTTTTATTTTATTTTATTTTTTATTTTATTTCATTTTATTTTTTCATCGTTTTTTATTTTTTCAATCTCATCGCGTTTCGTGGCTCGGCTCGGGTGAAGGGCAACTAGCGTTCAACTCGCTCCCTGTGGATGAAAATGCATGTGGATTTCGGCGGACTTGCTTTGTGGACGCAATCCCCCCCCCCTCCAAAGAAGAAAGCAATCGGCATCGTTTTGGGATTCAGAAAAAAAAAAAAAAAAAAAAAAAAAAAAAAAAAACAGCCACGTCGACCACTTCCATCCCAATGCAAAATCCCAATGCAAATCCCAGTGTGCAAACTCCAATCATCGCACGTCCGAGATGGAGGTCGCATGACCACACTTCACTTTGTCAAATCGTTGTTTGTCTGACTTCTGAATTGCTTTATTGGCTTTGTTTGATCTTGGATTGATTTGGATTTTTTGGTTTTAGGGCTTTGTTCCGCTGTTTGCCGATTTCGAGGCCTTCTACACGCGAAACCTGTACATGCGCATCCGCGATTGCTGGAACCGCCCGATTAGCTCGGTGCCTGGAAGCCACTTTGACGTGCTTGAGCGCGCGACCGACGACTACAACTGGAACTTCCGCATGACGGGCCGCAAGATCCCGCTGCTCAATCTGGGCTCGTACAACTACCTGGGCTTTGCGCAAAACGAGGGACCCTGCGCTGACGCTGCCGCCCAGGCAATCCGCGAGTATGGCGTTGCTTCCGCCTCGTCCCGCACCGAGCTCGGCACCTCCGAGCTCCACGTCAAGCTGGAGAAGCTCGTCGCCGAGTTTCTCGGCAAGGAGGACGCTGTGGTGGTCGGCATGGGCTTTGCCACCAACTCGACCATCATCCCCATTCTGTGCGGCAAGGGCTCGCTCGTGATTAGCGACGAACTCAACCACGCCTCGCTCGTGCTCGGCTGCCGTCTCTCCGGAGCGTCCATCCAAGTGTTCAAGCACAACGACATTGAAGCGCTCGAGCGCCTGCTCAAGCGAGCTGTCGTCGAAGGCCAGCCCCGCACCCATCGCCCCTGGAAGAAGATTGTTATTGTTGTCGAAGGCATTTACTCGATGGAGGGCAGCATTTTCCGACTTCCCGAGTTGATTGCTCTGAAGAAGAAGTATAAGGTATGGTGGGGGGGGAGTTTTCCAGGTTGTGCATGTTCCTGCTCGTGCGACTGGTGCTGATACGTTTGTTTGTTTTTGTTTTTCGTTTTGTTTGCTTGTTTGTTTGTTTGTTTGTTTGTTTGTTCTCTCCTTGTGCTAGGCTTATCTTTGGCTCGACGAGGCTCACAGCGTTGGCGCTCTGGGAGCTCACGGCCGTGGTGTGACCGAGTTCCACAACGTGGATCCTGCAGACGTCGACATTATGATGGGCACGTTTACAAAGTCGTTTGGCTCGGCGGGAGGTTACTGCGCGGGATCGAAGGAGATTATCAACCACATGCGCACGCACGCCCACAGCTCATTCCACGCCACGTCCATGTCAGCACCAGTCGCGCAGCAAATCATCAGCTCCATGACTGTGATTATGGGCCGCGACGGCACTGACGACGGCCAACGCCGCATTGCGCAGCTGGCCGACAATGCGCGCTTCTTCCGCACAGAGCTCAAGAAGATGGGCTTTATTGTCTACGGCAATGATGCCTCCCCGATCGTGCCCTTGATGATTTTCCAAGCCTCGAAGATTGCGTATGTTTGTTGAAAGTTTTCAGGGGGGCGGAGGGTATCATATGTCGATCGTCATTCGGTGCATCTGACGTTGATGGTGCTTGAATTTGCTTGGTGTGTGTCTGTTTTCGTGTTCATTTGCAGTGCATTCTCACGAGAGTGCCTCAAGCGTGGTGTTGGCATTGTCGTTGTGGGTTTCCCAGCGACGCCAATCATCACCTCTCGCGCACGGTTCTGCCTCTCTGCTTCTCACACTCGCGAGGATCTCGAGAAGGCCCTGGCGGTCATTAGCGAGGTTGGCAATCTGCTGGGCATGAAGGTGTCGCAGAAGACTCCCAGCCGAGACTACGTTCTCCGTCGCTGAACACGCTCAACGGGCCAATGTCGGGCCAACGAAAACAGCTCGACTGCCTTTTTTGTTCTTTCTTGCATTCATCTCCCTCCTTTAACTCTTTCACTCTTTCCGCTCTTCCGATCTTCCTCTGCTTCCGTTTTTTTTGTGCCTGCTGTCCACTTGTACTTGTTTCCGTTTTCCAGAAAATGTACAACTTGTTTTGATTCCACCCCCGTATGTATTCAAAGCCGTGTGTTCTTTCCATTTCTGGAGGCCTGTCTGGTACATGGACATGCTCGACCTTGAATTCTTTTCGTGTCACACTGCATTCCGGGGCAAAAGCTGTGCCCAAATGCTCGTTTTCGCCCCTCTTTGCCAAAGCACTCTTCCGCCGCCATTCTCTTTTCGTCCTTGTGAGTTGTTCATAACAGGGGGTCGGGGGAGTCGGGATTTAGCTGAAATCACCCCTTCCAATAGCAACATTTTTTTTTGAAACTTTTTTTTTCATTCTTTTTAGCGAGTTCATTCTTACATTTTTTTTTTTTTTTTTTTTTTTTTTTTTGTTTGCTCGTCGTTTGGCATGGGTTCGGACGACCACGAAAGCCCGCTTCGCTCTGCGGCACTCGAAGTGCTTGAGGCGCTGAAGGAAAACCAGGCGCCGATGGACGAGGCGTTGAAGGCCGCGTACCGATACGCGACGTCGCTCAAGCAGACCCTGGCGCTGTCTGCGGCATTCCTCGACTCGATGCAGGCCATCGCTGACGCTGCGCAGCGAACCAAAGGGCAGACGCCGCGGATTGGCGCGTCGCTGACCGAGCTGATCAACGCGCAGCGCCGTGTCGAGGCCAAGCGCAACGCATCGTGCTCGCTCATCACGACCGCCTTCATCATGCCCGTGCGCGAGCGGATGGGCAACGACCTCAAGCAGTTTGGCGTCCTCGAGAAGGAGTACGAGGCCATGACCCGCAAGGCCAAGTCCACCCTCAAGAAGGCCGCCGTCAACTCGGTCCGCATGACCAAGAAGGTCAAATCCGGCAAGGACGCCTCCACTGCCCTCGACTCGGCCATGCGCGAGGTCTCCAAGGCAGAGAAGCTCTTTGACGATGAGCAGCGCAAGACTGTAAGGGCGCAAAAAAAAAAAAAAAAAAAAAAAGTTGACTGTTGTATTTCAATACTCAGCAATGAGGGGGAATGGGGGGGGGACTGGGGGACTGTTTTTGCTTTGCGTCGAGTATGGGCTGCTTCTGGGCATCGCAACGTGGTTGGACGCGGAAGGGGGCGACGGCAGAGGGTTGAGATCTGGAAGCAAGCCCTTTTTATTATTATTATTATTATTTATTTTTTTTTTGAACTTTGCTTTTTGACTTTGGCATGGTGAAACCGCAACGCGAACTGTGGCTTTCGTGGGCGAACTGCTGCAGTGGCTCTCCGCGGGTGGTGTGGTCATGGTCGTGAATGCACAGACAAGGTGTCGCTTGGCCTGGGTGTCGACGACATCCAAAAAAACGTGCAGATGTGGACGAAAGTGAAATTCGGGCGTGAAAATTCAAAAAAAAAAAAAAAAAAAAGCCAAAACAACGTTTCGTTTCACTCTTTCACTCGCGCTCCGGTCGCGGGTCGGTCGATGGTGGGTTTATGGAGGTGGGGGGAGCTGCCTCGCTGCGACGTAAGGTCTGCCAGACGTTGCATGTTCGCAAACCCCTCCCCCCTCCTTTGCTTTGGCCTGCGCTTTCCCGCCCGTTGCCGTTCCATTCACATGGCCGGTTTGTTGTTATCTCAAATTGATGCTTTATTTTTTTTTTTTTCCTATCCACCGTTGGTTTTTTTTTTCTTTCTCTTTCTCCTTTGCTCCTCCCCCCCCCCAAGGGCATCCTGTATGTGTGTGTGCGCGCGCGCGTTCCTGCGACGCTCATCTTGCAGTGATGATGGATGGCCACACTCCTCGTTGCGACTGTTTATTTTGTTTTTGTTTTTGTTTTGGGTTTTGGTTATTTTTGTCCTTTTGATTTTCAGCCAATCGCTCTGCTCGGGATCCGAAGCGGCAGATATCTGGCGTTTTTGACTCACTCACGGCGGGAAGAGATTGCGGGGTGGGATGTGGCGAAGAGAGATGCTGTTTCGTTTGATGAAACTGAAAATATCAAAAACCACTTCAAAACAACAAAGAGACACAGTTTTGAGCCACAGTTGTGGATTGAACTCGGCACTGCTACTGCTACTGTTACTACTGCTACAACTGCTACTACTGCTACTACTGCTACCTCTACTGTTTGCGTTTTGCGTCAACGTGCCAACTCACAACCTGCATGCCTTTCTGTGTGCCTGCACCAACACCCCAACAGCTGAAAGAGTTCTTGACGGAAGAACGAAAGCGCTTCTGCTTCCTCGTCTCGTCGTACAGCGCGATCGTCAGCTCAGAGTACGATGAACACTACGAAGGCATTGCCATCGACCCCAAGATGCGCGTCTGCCTGGAACAGGCACTTTATCCCGACACGCTGCCAGAGGACTCGCTCAAGTACGTCGAAAGCATCCAGTCGATGAAGTCAGGCGCGTCCGAAACCAACCTCGCGAGCGCGTCTGGCGGCAGCGGCGCGTCGTCCCTCCACTCGATTCCGGAGGCTACGGCGGCAGCGGCATCCAGCTCGAGTGCCATGCCCCCTCCGCCCGCAGCGGCCACTCTGGACAAGAAGAAGCGCATGTCGTTCATCCGTAAGAAGGACGACTCGGAGAAGGCTGACAAGAAGGCCGCCGAGAAGGCAGAAAAGGAGCGTGAGAAGGCTGAGAAGGAGCGGGAGAAGGCAGAGAAGGAAGCCGCCAAAAAGGGCCTCGCCTCCACCTCCACTTCTTCGTCCTCCTCTTCTGCACCCCCGCCTCCACCACCTCCATCTGCCGGTGGCGCCCCGCCTCCCCCGCCACCGCCTTCTGCTGGCGGTGCCCCGCCTCCGCCGCCGCCGCCGCCGTCCGGTGGTGCATCGATGCCTCCGCCGCCCCCACCACCAGCCGCAGGTGGAGCGATGCCCCCTCCGCCGCCTCCCCCGTCCATGGGCGGAGGCATGCCACCGCCACCACCACCGCCGGCAGCTGTCAAAGCGGCTGGACCACCACCACCGCCGCCACCGCCGCCGCCGCCGGCAGACGACGACGATCTGCCTGACGCGTCCAACAACCCGATGCTCGCTGCCTTGCAAAAGAAAAAGCTGAAGGCTGCCTCCACGAACGACCGATCCGGCCCGCAGCTGTAACTTAATTAGTTTGTGTTTTTTTTTTTTCTTCTTCTTCTTTTGTTCTCCTTGTTCTCCGTTCCGCGCAATGCTGCCAGGCTCGTGAGCAGTCAACGCGAATCTCGGTGCAACCCACCCATGTGCTCGCCGTGTCGTGTCTTGTGGATTGGGATCCGTTTGTATTGAATTTGTCAAAGGTTTGATATTTGATTTTTTGTATACTTTTTTTGCGTTTTTTTTTTTTCCTCCTCCCCCCCCCCAAATGCCCACTCTCTGAGTGGTGTGCTCAATAAACAAGCATTCGTCTCACCCTCCTCGGACTACAGTATCAGGCACCGTATTTCTCAGCGAGCTTAGCTTCCAGTCCCCTTTTTGTTATCGTTATCATCAGCGCCAATGCTTTCCACTGTCGCGCGCCCATTGCTTCGCGCCTCGCTCGCATCCGTGCCTCGTCGCATGCCAGTCGCAGCGGCCACGGCAGCCACTGCATCTTACTCAACCAAGCCGCAGCCGCTGACCATCCTGACCGAAGACGAGCAGATGCTGGCCTCGACTGGTGAGGCCACATGAACAGCAGGATGGATGCGCTTTGATCACGATCACCGTCTTCTTGACTCACAGTGCCGCCTCACCAAAACACCCATCTGCAACAACGACTGATTCGAAATGCGATTGTTGTTGCAAAATCATCATCATCGACAGTTGCCCGCTTTGCGGAGGACAAGATCCGACCTCGCGTGCGCCAGATGGACGCGGTGGGCAAGATTGACGCCGACATCCTGAAGGGCCTGCACGAGCAAGGCGTAAGTTGTGCAGCTATACTGTATAGCTGTATAGCTGTTTTGTTTGAGAATGGTGTGAATAGTGGTGGTTTGCAAATTCAATACTCTCATAATCCGACCTTTTGTTTTTGGGTTTTTGGGTGGTACAGCTGATGGGTGTTGAAATCCCGGCCGAGTATGGCGGCACGAACGCCAGCTTTATGAGCGCGTGCTTGGACTGGCCAAGGTCGATCCGGGCATCAGTGTCATTGTCGATGTGCAAAACACTTTGATTGACAAACTGATCATGCATCACGCATCACGGCACCACTGCCCAGAAGGACAAGTACCTGCCGCGACTTGCCACCGACATGGTAAATCAGTTCAATAGCACATTGGGAGGAAGAACAAAAAGCAATGCATCCACTCGGTGCTTAGCATTTGCTCGGGTGTTGCTGTAGGTCGGAAGCTTCTGCCTGTCGGAGGCTGGCAGCGGAAGCGATGCCTTTGCTCTGCAAACCAAGGCGGAAAAGAAGGGCGACGACTACATCCTCAACGGCACCAAGATGTGGATTACCAACGCTGCCGAGGCCGGCGTTTTCCTGGTCATGGCCAACGCCGACTTTTCCAAGGTGCGGAGTTGCTCGAGTTGAGGTTGGGGATTGTCATAGTTTCTTTCTTCCTTTGCTGTCGCTGGTCTCACGCTCTTTCCCCTTCTTCCTCCTTCTCAGGGCTACAAGGGCATCACTTGCTTCATCGTCGACCGCGACACCCCCGGCCTGGAGATTGGCAAGAAGGAAGACAAGCTCGGCATCCGCGCATCGTCGACCTGCTCGGTCAACTTGACCGACGTGCGTGTTCCGGCATCGAACATTCTCGGCAAGTTCGGTCAGGGCTACAAGTACGCCATCAGCATGCTGAACGAGGGTCGCATTGGCATTGGCGCACAGATGCTCGGCCTCGCCCAAGGTGTGTTTGACGTGACCATGCCTTACCTGCATCAGCGCAAGCAGTTCGGCACCATCATTGCCGAATTCCAAGGCATGCAGCACCAGATTGCGCAAGTCGCCACTGAAATCACGGCTGCTCGTCTGCTGGTCTACAACGCTGCGCGTCTGCAGGAGGCTGGCCGCCCGGTCGCTCAAGAAGCCGCGATGGCCAAGCTGTATGCCTCCCAGGTTGCTGAGACCAGCGCCTCCAAGTGCATCGAGTGGCTTGGCGGTGTGGGTTTCACCAAGGACTTCCCTGCAGAGAAGTACTATCGTGGTATGTGTCCGAGCGACATTTTTGTTGTCGTGCAAGTGGAGATGGGTGAAGAATGCTCACTCTATGCTGAACAGATGTCAAGATTGGCAAGATCTACGAAGGTACCTCCAACATTCAGCTGTCGACAATCGCCAAGTCCATTTCTGCGCAATACCGCAGCTAAAAACAGCTCGTTTGGAGGCAAATGCGTTCAATAATAGTCCATCTTTGTTCGTCTGCCTCCCTCCACGATCTCACCATCTTGATTGCCACATCTCCCAACCGTAATTGAAGAGCACCAAATAGGGGCAATGGGATGTATTGTATTGGGAGAGACAAGGGCTCTTTTTTTTTGTTTTCAGTAGATGCTCGACCAATCGCACTCTTTTTCAAGGGCTCGAACGATGGGTTCAAGACCAGCTTGGTCTTCCTCGGTGAATCCGTCCTCTTGCTCACAGTCGAGGTCAAACACTCCAATGACATCCTGGAAGCGACAGACACAATTTTTTCACAGGTCACGATCGTGAGTGCTCGTGAGTGCAGCAAATTTTCAGTTTGTCTCGAAACATACTCCGGTGGGCGAAAAGAGTGGCAACACGAGCTCGGAATTGGAATTGCTGGCGCTATCGCAGGCAATGTGATCTGCAAAATGATGGACGTTTGGGACCAGCTAACTCCCAGAAAGACAGTCGCGTCAATGACCGACGGGATGGGATGGTTCCATCACGGAGAAAATCTGACACGCCGTTTCGCTGCCGATCGACTTGAAGCAAAGTCAAACAACCCGACGGAGTGTGCGTGTGTGTTGGCTTTGCGATGGATGCCTCAAAGTCTCACCACTGCTGCCTTGCGGACGACAGAGGCACCGCAGACGCCGCGGCCTGGCTTGATGCGAATGCACGCGACTTTGCCTTGGAACGGCCCCAGCACGAGCTCGCCCTTGCGCATGAGGTAGAATCCGACCCAGTTGTACGTCTTCTTGCCATGCAGCGACGATCCGTTCAGCGCATGGGCGACCAGCGACGACACGTTCGACAGATTGGCAATCTGAGGAGAGACACGAATCGACAGGGATTTATTGAGTTTCTCTCGGATGCTCAGATTTGCACTCAGACATCAGAAATATCCTGCAAAGCTTTGCAAAAAGGTTGTCTATCGCTCACAGCATCATGCTCGCCGTCAATCACAGCTTTGGCTTCGGCGATCAAGTTCTCGTAAAAGGATGCTTTGTCGGCCGCTGTCATTCTGATGCAGGTCTGAATCAAAAACGAAAGAAGACTGACTTTCGTACGTCTGAATTGTCGCAGGAAGGGCTCGAGTTCGCCACCGTGACTTTAGTCATGCAGCTGCGGCATCGTCACAAGCTCATACGTTTCCCGAGAGAGTTTATTGGCTACAACACTGACAAACTAGGCATGGTCGGAGGATAGCCGTGGAGGAAACCGTTGGAAGATTTGCAATAGACCGTCGGGGTTGTCTGCATGCAGCCAATGCCCGGCTCGATCGAGCCGGTGGACACGCACAGTGTTATGCGTGTCGGCAACAGACTCGTGCCCGTCCTGTCGCTGCATGCTGTCTGTTGAAAGCAAGCGCGAAAGAAGCACGTCATTCCAGCGCTTGCTTTGAGCACCATAGACGAAATCAACGGTGGCGGGTGAGCCGGAAGCAGGCGGCAGTGGCGCGTCCAGCACGTTCCAAACATCCAGCTCCATGTAACTGTGTCGGAGCTCCTGAACGCCGTGCACATCAAAGCCCCAGCCAACTACGTGGTCGTTGGAGCCGACAACATTGTGCTTCTGGCGAACCGTCCGAGATGTTAGCCACGCTGCTGTCGAATGCGAAAATCCAAACTCTTGCGCGAGACTGTGCACGGCCTTGCGTGAAGGGAATGGCCCAGGGTGGTGCTCGACAAACGCAAACAGTCGTTGTGATGAATCAGGTTCTGGCGTCGTGTCCTTGGCAATTGGAGCGCCCAGTCCTGGCATGGCATCCAAAATCCAGAATTGCTTGCACAAGTCGGGGAAGAGTTGTTGGAAGCGCATCGCAACCTTCCCGCCCATAGAGTGTCCAATGATGACTGCAGGTGCCCTCCCGCTTTTCACTGCCAACTCGGCCAAGTCTTGCGCGCACGAGTCGATTGTGTTGGGTCGGCCTGAAGTCTGCGCGAAATCTCGCGATGCATCTGCAACAGGCAATTTGGGATTGATTTCACGAGGTGAGAAATGCATGGCATATTTGGCAGCAGCATCTACTGGGCATGTGAACACTGTTGGTTGGCGGGCTGCTCAGAGTCTGAGATTTTGTCCCGCATTTTGTTTCGTCTTCGTTGGCATGTCAAAGCGCTCAAAGTATCTCGTTCCCCTCGGTGACAACCATCTCCGCTTCGGCAGAGTTGGCGATCGAGACATGTCTCGGTTTTCACAACGCACCGTGACATCGCTGGTCGACCAGCACGAATGGCAGCTTGTCCCAGCCACGGCCCAGCGACGCAATCCGCTTTGAGAACGCACTCCAATTGCGAGCGCACCCGAGGATTCCGTGCAGCACATAGACTGCCCCTGCATCAGCCACCGCGCTACTGGCAGTCACATTGGCCGCCGCCGCGATCACTTGATGACTGAGCATGGTTGCTGTTCACCAAAGCGAGCAGAGTGAGGAAATCCAAGAAAACTGAGACTGAAAGCTGCGCCTGATTCACTCATGCAACCCGATCTGAGCCAGCTCGAATCATGCAGGTGCTGTTTTTTACAATTGACTCGTGCAATCACGCAATTCAGAGTACCAAAGAGGCTGAGTGAGTGGCAGTCGTCCTTTTTTTCAATCCAATGCAGCGAACTCAGGCTGGCGCCAAGGTGGCAGCAGCCGCATCCAAGGCATCCGACGCCAGCGCACAGCCATCATCATCATCATCAGGAGCATCGTCATTAGGAGCATCAGCGCCTGCACGATTGTTGTTTGGCAAAAACCTCGCAGAGAAGGTGAATCCACACATGCGTTGAGATCTCGCGTTTGCGACGAGATGACGGATGAGCGGTTTCGCAGTGTGTCATGCTCCATACTATGAGCATTCCACTATGGCACCTTTGGCTGTTTTGGGGTGGTGGTGGTTGTTGAGGAGTGGGTTTCAGTGCAAAACGCACTCACTTCAAAGTTTCATTGAAGTTACATCGAAGCTTCAGCACATTGATCATGACCCATTGCATTGCTCACTTTGTAAATGTTGGTACCTTTGTAATGCAATTGACGTTGACAGGAAGGCGTGTTGGATGTGCTGTACTGGGCGCGTCAGATTGCCGCAATTTTGGTCGGCGTTCTGTGGGGTCTGTTTGGATTCACTGGCTTGGTCGCCATCATTGGGTAAAGGGTTTGATTTGTTTTATTGTTTTTTGGGAAGATTTCGAAACTTTGCGTTGAGAAGTGCAAGGATGAACGGGAGCTGATCGGGTGTGGTTGTCGGTTGTAACAGGTTTGGAATCGCGAGCACAGCAATCACAATCGCTTTCCTGGTGCAAATCGTGCAAGTCGACGAAGATGAATTCGGTGGCCGCTGGGAGCTTGTCAAAGAAGGGTTTATGCCGTCCTTCTCGTTGTTTTTGGTACGTCGCCTTGGAGCGTTTCTGATGGTGGCGTTTATGGTTTAGCGGGTTGAAGGCTCACATTCACTGTTGCATTCTTCGGTGAACTCTCTATTAGGTATCCTGGATTGTTGCGTATACTGGTGTCCACTTTTGAACAAATGCAACCTGCGTCTCTTTCATTGGGGGAGCGGGAGTTTACGCTGTATGGAATGAAACCTACATCAAACAAACAACCGGATGGCTCATCCTGTCCAAGACTTTATTGTGCCAGCACATCAGTTGAAGGTCAACAGGCGTCGTGCACAAACGCGCTTTGGAAAGGGCCAGCTGACCCAGGTCAGAGTTTTGGATGTTCGTTTTTTTGTTTTTTTGTTGTTGTTTTTTCTCCACGAAAACTTGGTCATGCAACAACAAAATTACGGCGACAGTGATCTCGTCCGCGGCGACGTACGTTCGTGTCGGTGCGCAACTGACACCGCTCAAATGGATTCTCGACGAGGGACCTCTGCAGACTGCTGCGCAGACTGCTGTTGCGTCTCTATGTTGCTTGGAATGACAAGGACGGGTCGCTTGCAGTTATGCACGACATAGTCACTGACCGAACCAATGAACAACCTGTGGTTTGAGAGAGAGGGGGGTGGATGGCACATCATGACAGTATCGTCAGCAGGCGAGAACGCAACGGTGGCAACAACTTGGCGTCGAGTTGACTACCAACCTCATCAGAGCGTTGCGGCGATGCGTTCCGACCACCAGGAACTTTGCTCTGGTTTGTTCGGCGATTTGGCAAATGCCACTCTTCGGCTCGCCTTCCCACGTCTTGACGAGGCACTTGATCTGATGTTGGGGATGGGATACAAATCCAGTTAGTAAGCCTTTTTTTGCTGATCGGATTCACCACCAAATCCCCCCTCCCATGCAAGTACGTACGTTGCGTCGGTTGCACTCTGCAACATAGCGTTGCATCACTCGTTTGGCAATGCCTTTGTGCTGAGGAAGGGCAACAAAAACAGCAACGGATGAGTTTTCCAAACAACCCTCGAGCCAGCACCTCAGCAGCTTGCGCCCCCCCCCTGTTTGCAAGATAGCTCATACCTCTTTCGACAGTGCATCAAAGATATCCGAGCTCACGTATCCTGTTGAGACGACCAAGACGAAAGCACAACAACCCGCCCAACTGAGGTCAGCGTTCAAGTGATTGTTTCGGGTTGAAACCTACCGAGTTTTCCTCTTCCAACCCCCTTCCCACCTCCACCCCCTCCTGCGATTCATGGTCGGTCACAACTAGCATTTGCTTGTCTATCCATTCACCCATACTCACCCATCTCGTTGACGTCCATGTTCACAAAGGAGAACGGCTCGTAGACGTGCACCAAAACCAGCACATCGTTCTCAGCGAGCAGATTGTCGAGCACGTACTCGAACGCTGCCTGGCTTTCGGCCGAGTCGTCCAGCGCCACGACAATGGCAGACGACGTGCTGCTCAAAATCCCTGATGGAGGTGTCTGCGTCGCAGTGTCGGTCGAATTGTCGACGGACGATGACGGCGTTGACTTGGTTTCTGCGTAGTTCATCGCTGCCGAACGCTGCTGCTCATCCAGTGAGTGCCGCGCCCTGCGCTGCGAGTGCGAGTCTGAGTGGAGCTCGCGCTGGTGCGGATGAGAAGAAGAAGACTTTGAGTTGTTTGCACGGGCAATGTTGGTCGCGAGGTCTTCGGCGAGGTTGTAGCTGGTGGTGCTGTCGGTCGCGGTCAAGTCGCCGTGTGATTCTGTGGTATCTGCACTCGCTGGCGCGGAGGAGTTGTCAGTGGCTGGCATGGCCCCATTGTCGTCAATCGCAGACAGCTCTCCAATGAGGCTTCGGGCCCACAGCTTCTTTTGCGGCGAGTCGGTTCGAGCTTGAGGCTCGTTCGGAGCGTTGTTGTCGGCGTTGATGCTCAGCTGCTTGCTCTCGAGCGGCATGGTTTTTTTGTTGCTAGAGTTTGTTGTTGAAGTTAAAAGGACTGCCCTCAACTCAATATAATAAACGTTTAGCAGAGACAAGCAGACATGGCTTGAAAGTCTTTTGAGTCTTTGGTCTGGCGTTTTTGTCCTGTCAAAACCGTTCCATTGTCGCCACACGCAAACCTCCAACCCTCCTCTACAAGCAATTTGGTGTGTGTGAAGACCTCCTTTTCAATAATCCTCGCGCTTCTTGAGCATTGACCTCGGGACCAGACTTTGTTGGATTCATCACCATGAGTCCTGTTTGGCGGAGATGATTCATTCCTGCCAGATCTGTGCACACCGCCTCTGCACAAACAAGTGCTGTAATAAACACTGCATGCCCCGCAGCAATTCCCTACACCACGACGCGCGAGGCCAGCGTCCTCTGGTCCAACCTCGTAATCTGTATACAGTACAAAAAACAATCCGCAATCCAAATAAAAGTACAAAAATGCTCCACTCTTTCTGTTGATTGTTTTGAAAATGGCTTCCACGCTGACCTTCAACAAGTTCTACCCGTTCTACCAGTCGCAGCACCGCGACCCCGTGTGCCGCCTGCTGCATGTGATTGGCACCACGATCGTTGTGAGCATTGTGGCTGCGGCCATTGCGACTGCCAACGCGCGCCTGCTCCTGTTCACGCCGCTGGTCGGCTACGGGTTTGCTTGGGTCGGCCACTTTTTCTTTGAGCGCAACAAGCCAGCGACCTTCAAGCACCCCTTCTACTCGCTCATGGGCGACTTTGTCATGTGGTTTAACATCATCCGCGGCGAGGAGACCATCTCATCGCCCTACGTCAAGCGCAACGGCAACTCCAATCTCAAGACAACTCGGCCGTCTCAGTGACGAGAGTTCAATTGGCCTGCTTTCCCGCTCTGTGAATGCGATCAAATCACAACCTGATGTGTGTCTCAAGTGCATTGCAATATACACAGACCAACTCAAAATGAAATGCGCTGCAACGACTACAAAACAATCAACAGAAAAGAAAGAAAAAAAAAAAGAGATCAATCATTCACATTTCTTCACATTGAATGGACAAGGAACATGCAAACAAAACAAAGAAAAAAAGATACTCGGACAAGCAAAGTATACAAGAACAACAACAACAATCGAGCTGAGGCAGCAAAACAAAAAACAGCAAAAAATTTTAAAAAAAAAACCGAGTGATAAAGAAAAATAACAATGCGTGGAACAGGAGCACTGTTTTCTTTCAGTCTTTGTCATTTAGGTTTCAAGTAGAAACAAAAAGGGGGGGTGGGAAGATCGCTTAGAAAATCTTGGACACCTTCTTGTCCTTCTTGGGAGTGTTCTTGGCGGCCTCAAACTCCTTGCGCTCGTTCTCGAGCTGCTGCTTCTTCTCGTCGAGGTCCTTCTTTTGCTTTTCAAGTCGGCGAACCTCGTCCTCGTGTTTTTGTTGCATCTGCAGAGGATAAAGACAAAAGGAGGAGGGGTTGTTGGTGAGTGGCTTGAACGGGCAATCACAACTGCCAAAAAAAGCACAATGGCCCAAAAATGTACTGCCCCCAGCATCCAAAAAAACATTGTTTTCGTTTTTTTGTTTTTGAAACGAAAACAAACAATAAACAACTCACCTCGCGCTCGGAGAGCTTGAGCTTTTGCTCCTTCTCGGCAACCTTCATCTGGAAAACTTGACGCATGTCGTCCTCCATCTTGGCCATCTTCTGCTCGTGCTCGCGCTTCTCTTCCTCGAACTTGGCAAGGGTCTTGTCGCCGCCGGGGAGGCTGCCGCCCATGCCGGTCAGCTTGAAGGCACGGTAGCTCTCGTAGAGAACGTCGTTCGTGTTGTCCTTCAGGTCTTGCATGTGCGTTCGGATGAGGAGGTTTCGCAGCTTGGTAAAGTCGCAGTGGTCCTCGTTCTCAACCTCAACAATGCCCCACGGGTACATGCGGCCGCGGACCTTCTTGCCGCCAATTTCGAGGACAGTGTTGGAGCCGACGACGGCGAACGGAACGGACGCCTGGAGCGATTGGGCCTCTCGGATGGCATCCTCCTCGTCGTCCGAGTCGGTGGCAAACTGGTAGATGCTAATGTCGTTCTCGGCAATCTGGGAGAGGATTTGGCGACGGAAGGACTTGATTTCGTCGGCAGTGAGGGTGTCGGCCTTGCCAATGACGGGGATGATGTTGACCTTCTTGTGGAGACGCTTCATGAACTCAATGTCCAGGGGCTTGAGGCCGTGGCCGTTGGGAGCAATAAAGTAGAGGCAGCAGTGGACGCGGTTGTCGTTGGTCTTGGTGCGGTTGACGCGGAGCTCGTCGTTGAGGAACTCCTCAAAGCGCTCGTCAATGAAGGTGACAATGGAGGCCCACGAGTCCTGGTTGTTGACAGCATCGCCGAAGCCGGGAGTGTCGACGATGGTGAGGCGCAGGCGGACTCCCTTCTCCTCAATCTCGACCGAGGTCGACGAGACCTTGACCGTCTTTTCGATGCGCTCAGCCGCGCTAGGGTACTCGCGCTCGTTGTACAGGTCGGTAAGGAAGAGAGAGTTGACAAGGGTGGACTTGCCGAGGCCAGACTCGCCTGTGAATGACAACAAAAAAAATAAGTGTCGAGCAGAAACAAAAAAAAAAAAAAAAAAAACATCCAAATCAAAAAACAGGACGGTTAAACACGTACCGACAACCATCAGGGTGAACTCGAAGCCCTTCTTGACGGACTTTCGGTGGACTTGGTTGGGCAGGTTGGCAAAGCCGACATAGCCGCCGAGCTGCTTGGAGCTATCGCTCTACAGTGACAAGGGAAAAAGAAACGGAAAAAATTCGAAAAATAAAAACGGTGAGCGATTGATACAACCAAGATTGAGCACGACGCGAGATGTGGTTGGCTCGCAGAGTTGGAATCCGTTGTGCTGCATGCTGCTGGATGAATGTGGGATGAATGAGTCCCCCTTCCCCGGATGGGGTTGTGGATGGAAGCGCGGGGCGGGTCTCCAATCACAGTCCAAAGCCAAAAAGCACCAAAAAAAAAAAGTCAAAAAAAAAAAGAGAGAGATCGCGAGTTTTTGGATGGCCACCGCGAGAGCAGCGCGGAGGGATCACACTCGCCGAGCTTGTATGTCATGAAGAATGAATAGAAGTGGCCGCGAGCTTGGAGCGCGGGGATCGCCTCGAGTGCAAGTCAAACGAATGAGGGAAAAAAAAAAACAGACAAAAAGAAAAAAAAAAAAAGCAGCGAAAAGCAAACAAAAAAATTTGAAGACAATATTTTTAAAAGCAATTGTTTGGACAAAGACGTTCGACTTGTCGATGTTGCCCGACAGCGACAGGGATGGTGATGATGATGGCGATGATGGGAACGGAAAGCAACTGCGAATGAGGTGCTTGAGACCATGTGGGTGACTTACATCAGCTGCAGGGAACGACAGGATTCAAGCCAAACGAAAAAAAAAAAAAAAAAAAAAAAAAAAAGGCAAAATTCCAAACACACACAAAAAAAAAAAAAACAAGAGGAGTCAGTTATTGGCAACTAGAAACGAGACCAAGGGTGAGCATTGGGAGGCTGGAGGGGGTCGGAGTGTGCTCCAACAGTGGACGTGTTAGCAGGACGACCGCACACTGTTCGGGCTGTGCAACGAAGGCAGCCAAAGATGGAAGAATTCAAAACAACGCAAAAAAAAAAAAAAAAGAGCGATCGCTGGTTTTGAAACCACAGAAACGCAAACCGCGACGAGTTGTCAGCCTCCCCCTGTTTGTCTAACGCTGGCTGGTCAAGATGCGCGAGTGCCATGCGCAGGGGCGAAGGGGTTTTGCCGAAGGAGGCTGAAGCCAAGCGGGAGGGAGACGAAAAAGGAGCTGATCGCCAATGCACACAAACGAAAGATCGAAAAAAAAAAAAAAAAAAAACATACACATTCTAAATTGATTTGGTGGAGAAAAATTTGAGGACTGGAAAAGAAGAACAAAGTGTTTATGTTGAATGAGCCTGAAAACGAAGAGGAAAGGGGGGGGGTTGTTGATTGGAATGGAGGAAGGTACCGTGGAAATGATGGGTGGAAGGGGGGATGGAACGCGCGAGAATTGGTTGCATTTGCGAGAATTGGCGCGAATGGAAGATCACGCCGCTGGGCTGTTGATCTGACACTGCAAATTTGGATTGTTCATTGGTTGTTTGGTTTGGAACGATCGAGGTGCCACTGAACCGGCTGAATTGCGAGACAATTCGGGCAGGACCAAAAAGGACAATCTTCCTGTCACTCTTGATTCTTCATCGATTCATTCATGGCAGCAGCACCAGGGGGGCTTCCGGACCGCCGCCTCGTCCACCACATCCTCGTCTCCGAGTTTGACATTGACAAGGGCAGTGGGCTGGCACACCAGTACCCAACCCCGACCGGAGCCAGCGAGAGGTAGGCTTTGTGGGCTTTTTGCGGTTCATTCTTTGCTCAACCTTCATCGTCCAATCGCAAGACCGGCATGACACGCCGCCCACCCCACCCCCACGCTTGTGGTTCCTTGTTGATCATGCCATTGCCCGTGGACGGGAGAGCGGACGAGGCGACCTGGAGACCGGCCGATTGCTCATTTCTGATTCCCGTTTGTGATTGTTCGTCTTTTTTTTTTTTTTTTTTTTTCCCCTTCCAGTCTACTCGCCGAGCTCATGTTGCCTGACGGCGTGCACAACCGCGAGGAGGACTGGACCATTTTCTTCTTGAACCAGACTGCGCCCGAGGCAAGTGTCCAGAAGGGGGTTATTGTCGGCGGCGGTGAAGCGGTGTGTCTTGGACTTTTTGCATCCAATGCAAGCCTCTTCGGGTGGATTGACCTCTGGTTTGTTCGCCTGGTTGGTCGTCATAGCATGATTCGGCAAAGGGCAGCAAGTCAATGCCATCGGACAACAAGACCCCGGCGTACGTCCAGGCCCTTGCATGCATTTCGATCTCAACCTCATCGACTCACATTTTGTCGACCTTTTGACTTCTTTCGACTCCTTTTCTTGACTCGTTTGGCGAGGACAGTGTGACATCGTTGGACGCCTTCGTCTATGAATTTACCGAGGCAACTCAAGGTATAATTGCTCGTGGGGCGACACGTGGGGAGGGGATTGCATGTCGCTGCTTGCATGTCGCTGATTGCCGGCACTCCACGGCTCACCTTGCACTCGTGCATTTCCGTGTCGCACAGGGTGGTCGCAACTTGGCACCGACACCATGAAGGTGTACTTGGAGCGCAATGCGTTGCGTATCGCTGGTCCGGACTTTTCCAAATCCCTGTACGAGGGCTTGATGCTTGGTGTTGTTGTGAGTGTTTTGCAGAGCCGTCTCATCGCTCCCTCTCACCGTGTTCTTTTCTTTGACTGTGTAGACCGCGCGATGTGGAATTGCAACATCAGAGCATGGAGCCGTTGTTTCATTGTGTGATTGTTGGTGAAGCCGCTTTCGGTACGTTCCGCTCGGAGATTGCCGATGGTGATTGTCCTCCTCTAGTTCGTTCAGCGCGTCTCACCCGAGTGCTCTTGCAGGCTTTCGCTTTGCCGACCAGGTTGCTGAACTCACATTCGAGACGCATTGCGAAGAGTTGCGCAAAGAAACACCCTGTACGAAGTTGTGTTTGCCATGATTGAAGCCCGTGTCGTGTTTGACCAGACTGCTCATTTTCCAAACACACCCCCGTTGCACAGCTGAAGTTTTCGAACCACCATCGCCAGCGCCTGCACCGGTGGTGGTGCCTTCCACCGAGAAATCTTCCGACAAGCCCTTCCTGTACGTCTTGAACGTCATTCGCAACAAGCGTGTCGAGAATGTGCGACGTGGTGCTGTCGTCAAAGCCCTTGCCATCTGCACACCCTATCGATGGCTGCATGTCTTCAAGGTACCGTCATCTGTTTCTCTGCGGTTTGTTTGTTTGTTTGTTTGTTCACTTTTGCCCGATGCAATGCCACCTCACTCGATGCTGCTGTTGCCACCACAGCCCGTTCTGTTGCTGGCTGTGGATCGCTACTTTAAAACCTCTGATGTGTCGGTGCTTGCCGAGTTGTACGATGCCATCAACGCTATGGACGTTTCCGGCATGCCAGATCTGACCCAGGCGCAAAAGCTCATGTTGCGCTCGGGCGGTGACAAGGAGAAGCAAATTTTCACCACCAGCATCCCCTACATGAAGATTAACATTCCTGTTCGCATTCCCATGACCACGCTGGACGATGAAGTTGCTGATGTGAGTTTTGAGTTGGGAAAGGGACATTTCTCTCGTTCTTGGGCCATTTTTCTGTTTGCATTCTCACGCTGGGACCGTTCTGTCTTGTTACCTTCAGGGATCGGTGAGCAAGCTCGTCACCACCTTTGCTCCTGGATTCATGACGCTCTACAACGCCCTCTTGCTTGAAAAGCGCGTCATCTTTGTCGGGTACAACCGGTCTGCCAGCGAGGTTGTCAACCTTGTACTCGCTGCCTGCCAGCTGATCTGCCCTCCAATCAGTGGGCTCATCAAACGATGCTTCCCGTACACAAACTTGTCCAACATGACGTTCTTGGAATTGTAAGCCTTCCTGAGCGCGAGTTTGTCTTTTTTGTCTTGTTTGTCGTTTTGTTGTTTGTCTTTTTGTTGTTTGCTTGCTTGCCTGATTGCTTATTCTTAACTCACCTTGCTTGCTCGTGTGCTTGTATTATCGACTCGTGCTTATCCGATCTGGTAGCCGAAACTATGGCTACTTGGTGGGTGTGACGAATCCAATCTTCCGCGACAACACCGAGTGGTGGGACGTCCTTTGCAACCTCGAAACGGGCAAAGTGATTCACAATCCCAAGTTTCTGCCTCCGCCTGAAACCGAGCGACATGCAGCCAGTGATGCAGAGTTCCTTGCAGATGTATGTTTGCCTTGGCATTTCAGCGCTGCCGGGTGTTGCCCATATTTTTTTCTGTGGTTGCAGACCTTGTCCGGAGTTTGCACTTGCTGACGTGTTCTTCTTTTGAACCTTGCGCTGGACAGGTGCTGGCCAAGATTGAAGGGCATGTCGCTGAGGAATCCATCCGACAACTCTTTACCGACTATACACAACGAATCATGGACCTCGCTCTGAATGATGCCGAATTTCCGGATGAGATTGCCAAGAAGAAAGAGTTGGAGATCAACCACGCGCGTGGTGAGCAGTGGAAGAAGACGGCATTCTTCCAACAGTATGCACAGGTGAGCAGTCAGACTTCCCCCTTCTGGTCGTGGACAACTTGGCCTGCGTCTAACTTGCAATTGTTTTTCGTGGCTCAATTGAAGGAACGCCATGAACGCCGGTCGCGACGAACAATCACGGCCATCGACACTGAGCGACACATTCAGAAACTACGAGTGCGGAAGGCTCTCTCCGCGCAGGAGATTTACTCTATTTTCAAGGACTTCAACACTTGCATCACTACCGATGTGCAAATTCTTGAGGTGGGTGGGGCTGCCTTGGACTTTGTCAGGTTTTTTTTTTTTTTTTTTTTTTGGTTTGTCGCTCACACTGGTCGTTACTGCTGCTTTGCCGCCAATGATAGCTCCTCACCTACTTGCCAGAAAATCAAGGTGGATTGTATCCCATCGCCGTCAGCCTCGTGCATCCTTCAGAGAATGTGCGACGTGCAACCGCCGAGCTTTTCCATCGTATTTCACGCATCGAGGTTTGTTTGTGCAGAGTCTGCCCTTGGTTTGTGATTCCGCCTCTCACTTGCAAGGACATTTTGCTCTCTCGTCGATGCTCTTGTTCAACTTCAGGCGGGCCGGGAGCTGATCAATAATCTGAATGACTTTTTGCGGACTGCGTACGAGCGTAGCAAGGCGCTATTGCGGTAGTCACTCAACAGTCGCTTCTCGCTGCATCCCGCCGTCAGTGTCGATTTTGTGCAGGCTTGTGCGTTTCTAGTACTTTGTTTATATGCGTCAGGTGGATCATCTCGAGTACATTGCGTAGCTGAGTTCTTGATGAATGAAAGCATTCCACTTTTTCCCAGTGAAGTCTGTGGAGATGCGAGACGCCCTCCTTTGTCGAGTACATACGTGTTTCACCCATCTGCCATGAATATTGAAGGGGAGGGAGCGGAAAGGGACTCGTCTGGTGTGTTGCTGTGACACGATTCTTTTGCTCTCGCTCTCTCTCTCTCTCTCTCTCTCTCTTTCTCTCTTTTTTTTTTCTATATGCTGTTGGCTCTCAGCTTGTTGCTGTCATAGTCATACACTGTTTCCGCGTCCTTTGAATTGGCAGACTTCCAAAACCTACTGCACCATCTCAATCTCGAGCAAATCGCGCTCTTGCTGCTGTTGCTTTCAACATCTTTTACACTTGGTGTCGCCATCGTGATCTATCTCAGACCAAATTAAACACTCGGTCAGTCCTCTCTTTGCCTTTTTAGTTCACGATGATGATGATGATGCGGATGCAACGCACATTCGCCGTGCTGGCCGTGCTGATGGTTGCAGCGCCGTTGCTGTTCTCGCACCCCTCATCGCCCGCCTTTGCTGCAGCAGACACGTCGTCGCTCTCCACAATCATTGCACCTGGCACTGAGTTTTGTGTCTTTGTCGATGTCGAGCAACGCGTTCCAGCCAAAGTCTCCTTCCAAGTGAGTTCTTGTTGTGTTCTTCCCACTCGTTTCCTGTCGCCTCTCGTTCTTGCTGCAGTCGTGCTGCGTGATTGCAGCCATTCTCGCAAAAGGCGCAGCAATGCTCGGCACCCAGTGTGTGAGCAGCGGAGCAGACATGACCTGATGCTACAGTGCAGATTCTGTAGGATTGACCAGGGATAAGCCGTCTTACTGATCACCTCGCGCTCCCATCAATGTTCATCAACGCGTTCATTGTGATTGGAGCTTTTGATATGAAACAATGTTGTGCGACGGTTGCGCGTTTGTGGTGGAGCTGTCTTTGGAGTGGTTTGAGTTGGGATTGACGCTACATTGTCAACTCGCTCACCCTTTGTGTGTCGTTTCGCCAAAAAAATGCTCATCCACAATGTCAGGTATTCTCGGGAGGTGCCCTGGATGTCGATTTCTCATGGCACCGGGACAACGGAGTCGAAATCATGAGCGAGAGCAAGGTCAACCAGGGCAAGTACGCGCAAAACCCAGACTTCAAGGGAACAACCAAGATCTGCTTCTCGAACAAGTTTAGCACGATGGCCGAGAAGGGTGTCTTTTTCGAGATTATTGTGGGCGCTCCGACCCAGCAGTGGGCCAAGCTGACCTCTGCGGAGGCCAGCGCGCAGGACGCCGCTTCCCTCGACAGCATGCAGGCGTCGCTCCAAACCGTCCGAAACAACTTGCACGAAATTACCAGGTTGCAAACACAATTCCGGCACCGCGAAGCGCGTCACATGCACACGGCCGAGGATAACAACCACCGAGTCTTTTACTTTAGCCTGATTGAGTGTCTCGTTCTCGTCGCAACATCCGTCGTGCAAGTGTTTTTCGTGCGCCAGTTGTTTGGCAGCACAAAGAAGGGTGGTATTTAGGTGTGGGAGAGTGTTTGTGTAGTGTGTTTGTGTAGATGTGGTGTTTGTGCATTTTGTTGATTTCAAGACAGTAGTTTGATATCCATTGATCATTTTTGAAACCTGTGAGATTTTCAACCCCCCCCCCATCTACCTCAGTTGTCTCAACAGTAAAGCAGCGCTATGCATGTGTTTCTTGCTTCGTGAACTCAGGTAGAAGCCGAAAAGCTGCTTGAAGGTTGCTTTAGTTGCTGCCGTTGCATTGGAATGCACTGTTTCAACGGTTCATTCCAATGATATTGATGCTTGTGGTGTGTTTAGTGACCGGGGCATGCCATAGTACGGATGTCATCCCTCGTACCTGAGTTCGCAGGCGAGGCGAATTCTTCAAGCAAGGATCCGCTCAAAACTAAATTTACATAACCATGCCAGTCTCGATCACAGCTCAATGTCTGTCCAGCCACACATCTGACGCTATAAAACATAAAGTCACATTGCATTCAATATTCTCTCAAAGTATGGCAAACCAGGCTGACCGGTACATGGACTTGCGAGGTGTCTAAAATTCTCACACACTAGTCACACGCAAGCACCGGCATCAAAGCACCCAAAAACAACGAGCACATGCAAAAACATAAATTACACATGTTTGCACCATAGCGGCAGGTTGACCCAGCGTGTGCTCGTGCTACAGCGCGGCTGAATCGAGGGATTTGAACTCGGATTGTCAATCTGTGTTGGCAACGCAAAAAGGGGAAAAAGGAAAACAGCTCTCCAATACACTGCCTCGCGCCTTGCAATACACACACGGTTGTTGTCAAGAAAACGGGCATGCTCCGATGATCTGAGCAGACCCCAACCAATAAAAAAAAAAAAAAAAAAAACAGCAAAAATGCGACAAAAAAATTTACCCAGTGCCCGGGATCGAACCGGGGTCTCTTGATTCAAAGTCAAGCGTCCTCACCGCTGGACGACACCGGGAAGGTGCTCCTATTTGGATGAGGGTCGAGGTGGGGCAAAGGCCATACGTACAAGAAACATGGCCCCGAAAATGCAGAACAAATCTTTGGCGCTGAGTTTTTCTGATGGTTGCCCCTTTGGATTTGGTGCCCCTTTGTTTTTTTGATTTTTAATTTTTTTTGGATGAATCTTGCTTCAATTCAGTAGCAGTTGCTGTTCGGGAGCTGACCTGGCAAACGGCGCTGAGCTGGCTGCAAAAGAAAAAAAAAAAAAAGAGAACAAAATCACATAAATTGAAAGGCTTTTCGCGTGGACCAATCAGATTGACGCACGTTGTAAACAGTTGAAAAAGACGACGCGTTCCAAATCAAGCACAACCTCAGTTCTCTTATTTTTTTCTTTTTTTTTCTTTTTCTTTTCATTTCTAATAAATGCGTGTTGCGTACCTTGCGTCGCTCGCACTCGTTGCGCTCACTCTTGCGCTCGTCAACGCTGATGAGACCAAGCAGCGCGAATACGGCACCGTCATCGGCATCGATCTCGGCACCACTTACAGCTGGTAAGTTTTTTTTTTTTTTTTTTTTTTTGTGGGAAGCGTGCTTTTTTTTTTTTCTTTTCTATTTTCTCGTTCACTGTTCGGCGAGTGACGTGGCGCGACGGCGAGGCGTTCAGAGCTCGTGCATTTGCAGCCAACAACAAGAGTTCATTGCGTTCTCCATGCTTGGCGACCTTGCATTTGCCGAGCACATACATTTTCCCGCAGAAGCGCAAAGAAGAGGTGTCTCGCGATCTCTTTTTTTTTTTTTTTTTTTTTTTTCTGTTTCTGCCGTGTCCGTCGTCGTGCCACCTCATCCGATGCAACTGTTCCGTCCCCTGCGCGTTTCTATTGCCTTCCTTCCACTTGCTTCTTGCTTCTCGTCACGCGAGTCCCGGCACTCTGCTTTGCTTTTGCTTTTGCTTTTGCTGTACTTTGTTCCACAGTTCTTCTCGAAGTTTCGACTCACTTTGTTTTTCCATTTTCTATTTCCGTTTTCCTTCACTTTCTCTTCACCTTCTCCTTCACAGCGTCGGCGTGTTCAAGAACGGCCGCGTTGAAATCATCCCCAACGACCAAGGCAACCGCATCACCCCCTCGTATGTCGCATTCACTGACGACGGCGAGCGCCTCATTGGCGACGCCGCCAAGAACCAACTGACGGCCAACCCCTTCAACACCATTTTCGACGCCAAGCGCCTCATCGGCCGCGAGTTTAACGAAAAGTCCATCCAGGCCGACATCAAGCTCTGGCCCTTCAAGGTTGTCAACAAGAACGCCAAGCCCTACATCAAGGTGGCCACCAGCGCCGGCGACAAGGTTCTCTCGCCCGAGGAGGTGTCTGCCATGATTTTGCTCAAGATGAAGGAGACGGCTGAGGCCTACCTCGGCCACAAGGTCACCCACGCCGTCGTCACTGTGCCCGCCTACTTTAACGACGCCCAGCGTCAGGCCACCAAGGACGCCGGCACGATCGCTGGTCTCACCGTCCTCCGCATCATCAACGAGCCCACGGCCGCTGCCATCGCATACGGTCTCGACAAGAACGACGGCGAGAAGAACATTCTCGTGTTTGATCTCGGTGGTGGCACGTTCGACGTTTCGCTCCTGACCATCGACAACGGCGTCTTTGAGGTCGTTGCGACCAACGGTGACACTCACCTTGGTGGCCAGGACTTTGACCAACGCATCATGCAACACTTTATGCGCCAGTACAAGGAGAAGAAGGGCAAGGACATTTCCAGCGACGTTCGCGCCGTCCAAAAGCTTCGTCGTGAGGCCGAGAAGGCCAAGCGCGCCCTCTCCTCGCAGCACTCTGCCCGCCTCGAAATCGAGGCCTTCTTTGACGGCGAGGACTTTTCCGAGACGCTCACCCGCGCCAAGTTTGAGGAGCTGAACGCCGACCTCTTCCGCTCGACCCTTGCCCCCGTCAAGAAGGTCTTGGAAGACTCTGGCCTCCGCAAGGAGGAGATTGACGAAATTGTCCTGGTCGGTGGCTCCACTCGCATCCCCAAGGTCCAGCAGCTCGTCAAGGACTTTTTCAACGGCAAGGAGCCCAACCGCGGCATCAACCCCGACGAAGCCGTCGCGTATGGCGCCGCCGTCCAGGCTGGCGTTCTCGGTGGCGAGGAATCCACTGGCGACCTTGTTCTTCTCGACGTCAACCCCCTGACCCTCGGTATTGAGACTGTTGGCGGCGTCATGACCAAGCTCATCCCCCGCAACTCTGTCATCCCCACCAAGAAGTCCCAAATCTTCTCCACCGCCGCCGACAACCAGCCCACCGTCACCATCCAGGTCTTTGAGGGCGAGCGCTCCCTCACCAAGGACTGCCACACCCTCGGCAAGTTCGATCTGACTGGCATTCCCCCAGCAGCCCGCGGCGTTCCCCAAATCGAGGTCACCTTTGAGATTGACGCCAACGGCATTCTCCGCGTCTCGGCCGAGGACAAGGGCACTGGCAAGTCTGAGAAGATCACCATCACCAACGACCAAAACCGTCTGACCCCCGAGGAGATTGAGCGCATGGTCAACGACGCCGAGCGCTTTGCCGACCAGGACAAGAAGGTCAAGGAGCGTGTTGACGCCAAGAACGAGCTCGAGAGCTACGCCTACAACCTGCGCAACCAAATCAAGGACGAGGACAAGCTCGGCGGCAAGCTCGACGAGGAGGACAAGGAGACCATCACCACCGCCGTCGACGAGACGATCGCCTGGCTCGACCAGTCCGGCGCCGAGGCCACCACCGAGGAGCTCAAGGAAAAGAAGGCTGCCTTTGAGAAGATTGTCCAGCCCATCGTTTCCAAGCTCTACCAGGGCGGTGCCGGTGGCGCTCCCTCTGGCGACGACGAGGGTCACGACGAGTTCTAAACAAAAAAATGCTGCTGCTGCTTTTTTTGTTTCTCTTCTTCCATTTACTAGAAATCACAAAAAGTCAATAAATTACAATTACAATGACCCAGCGTTCCAGTATTGATCGTGTAGGATGAGGATGCGCGCAGGAGGACGTTTAGTTTTGGGGCAACTAACTGTACTTGTGCTCCCACTCCTCTCATCCTCCTTGTTTTCTCAAATCTATTCATTTCATCATCAAACTCGTCGCATCCTGATTCCACTTCATTCGTGTTGATTCCACTTCATTCGTGTTTTTTTGCTGCACAGGTAACAAGAAGCGAGACTCAGATTCATTAAATTGAAAAAAAAGAAAAGAAAAATAAAAGAAGACACACTGTCCAGCCAAACTGCGCTTCTGGTCTCGCTCTTTGTGGTCTGCTTCCACCCACGCTTCCACCCAAGGGGGGTCTCACACTACAATTCATCCTACTCTCATCTCTGCAATCGCAGCATTGCACAACACCAAGGTCTTCCTTTTCCTCATCCATTCCCATGCAATTGTTGAACGTTTTTTATTTGATTTTTTTTTCAAATAAGTTGGCTTCGTTTTTTTTTTTTTTTTTTTGCTTTCTTGTTTTCTGCCGCTTTGGTGTGACTCTGAGCAAGTGACAAAACCGACAAGCGTGGATTACTTGCTTACGAGCTGCGGACTTTCCCTCCAGCGACCGCGACTCGCTCGTAATGAAAGAAAAGGGGTGAAACGAGCAAACAGAAGAGCACGAGTTGCTTCAAGTCCAGACCACGACGACGACGACGACGACGCCCACAAAATGACAGTAGTGACCCCTCCCTGAGAGAGACGCGGGAGAACCATTGCGAAGAGAGGGAGGGGGAGGAGAGAGAGAGAGAAAGAGAGAGAGAGAGAGAGAGAGAGAGAGAGAGAGAGAGAGAGAGAGAGAGAGAGAGAGAGAGAGAGAGAGAGAGAGAGAGAGAGAGAGAGAGAGAGAGAGAGAGAGAAAGGCCGTGCTGCTCTTCCTCTTTCATCTTGTTCTTCTTGCATTATCTCTGGTGATGTATGTCCAGTTGTTGTTGTTTATCTCATTGTGCATTGAATGTCTGATTTTTTTGCTTGTTTTGTGTGTGTGTCCGATAGAGCTCCTTACACAAGCGAATCGTGAAAAAAACAATGGCCGCAGCAGCACTAGGAGCAGCTGGATCTGGCGCAGCGAAATCCGTGCTGCTAAAAGTCGTCATATTAGGCGACGGCGGCGTTGGCAAATCGTCGCTGATGAACCGCTTTGTGAATAACGAGTTTGACGCGCAGTCATTTCACACGATTGGCGTCGAGTTTCTCAACAAGGTGGTCGCGCTGAACAACGAGTCGTACACGCTGCAAATCTGGGACACGGCTGGCCAGGAGCGATTTAAGAGCTTGCGGACGCCCTTCTACCGGGGAGCCGACTGCTGTCTCTTGGTGTTTGGCATTGACGACGAACAGAGCTTCCGAAACCTGACAATGTGGAAGAAGGAGTTTCTCTACTATGCAGACGTCGCCGACCCAGAACACTTCCCCTTTGTGGTTGTCGGCAATAAGATTGACGTGCGGGCACGTCAAGTCCGCTCTGAAGACGCCGAGGCATGGTGCAAGGCCAACGGCGGTCTTGCTTATTTCGAGACCAGTGCCAAGGAGGCCATCAAGGTCGAGCAGGCCTTCCTCGCCGCTGCCCAACAAGTGCCCAAATCGGACGGCCCTGTGGCGACCGACTACTCGAATTCTGTGAATCTCGCCGAGACGCCCGGGAAGCGAACCTGCTGCTTGTAATTGCGCATTTTTGAGCTCCCTCGCACCCAAGTCTTGGGTCGTACATTTTCTGTTTTCGTTTGTCTTGCTTGATTTTTGCCTAAATACGAGGTTTTTTTTTTTTTTTTTTTTTTTTTCCCTGTTGTTCCTCTGTGTTGCAGTTTCAGTTTGGTTTCGCGCCTTTTCTTTTCTTTACTCATTTTCTCGCTGCTCTCTCTCCCTTTGCCATCTGGAGATCTTTTGCCTGTTTTTTTTTTTCCATCCTTCTTCTGCGCTTCGAGCTCCAGCTCGTCAGAGTATCTGTGTTTGTGTCGATGAGCTCGATGAGCTCGCTCGTCTCAGTTGTTTCAGCCCGCCGTTTTCTCTGTCTGCCCTCAATCCCCCACCACTATTACTATTACTATTGCTCTTGGATCATTCCGTTCACACAAAGCCAACATCCATTTCCCCCCTTCCAGTCTGATATCCTGTCATTCATTTCTCTTTTCTTATACTCTTTGGTCTCTGCTTTGCGTTTTTGGGCTTCAGCCACACGTGGACTGTTTCCATTGACTTTTCCATTGACTTTTCCACTGAACCGAAGTCCTCGACAAAGCAAACCAACCAACCGGACCAACGAAGCCGACTCAAGCACAGCACTCAACGATAGAATCCAAAAAAGCAACACTATGGCGCTGCATGTCGACGGCGCTGCTCGGTTTGCGTTTGACGCGCTGCCTGGCGTGGAAGCGATTCTCGCCCACCTAACCTCAACTCCAGCCAATCTGGCCTCCACTACCACTTCCACTCGTCCTGCTGATGCAAGCACTCGCCATCATCGTCATCACCAGGCAATGTCGGGCGACGTCGCGATGATGGCCAATGCCGCTGCAGTGCATCCTCGCCAAGCCGAGCTCGACGCGGCGATCGCGACCTTGACCACCGCAGTCAACACATGGCGCACAGTGCAACAGTCGCGCCGGACGGACGCAGCGAGCGCACAGAAGAGCAGTCACACCAGCAAGCAATCCAACGATGATGGTGTCACGCCGGTTCACATTGTCAAGGACGTGCTCAACGCGCTCGTGGCGCTGCTGCTGTTGCCGTCGTGCACGCTGCTGATCGCGCAGCACTTCCGGCCAGTCCTCGTGGACTTGGTCGAGCGCGCAGCTGCGTCCACACGCACATTCATGATGATGATGATGCCGTCTGCTGCAGCAGATGCCCTGGCTGGCTCGGGTGCGCGGAGGCTCTCGCCATGGAGCAGGCACGAGCAGACGGGCATTGCGTTCAGCCAGCTGCTGATGCTCCAGCCATCGCTGTTGCCCGCCGTGCTCGACTACTACCGCACTGCACCGTCGTACTTTGTGCGACTATTGCACGCAGGCTCATCCCCGAGTGACGCCGAGCAGAATGAGAATGATGCTGCTGCTGCTGCTGCTGATTTGTGTGCGTTGCTGGCAGCCGCCCACCGCTTTCTGCGATTCGATGCGTCGGCATTCCGAAATCTCTGGGACTGGAGCCCAGTGTTTGGCTTGCTGACAAGCAGGCATCCAGAGACGCTGTTTCACGCGACCTGCATCAATGCGCTGATTGCCTCGCACGATGACCTCGCGCTTGCCTTCCCCTCGGACGACCTTGGCACACAGCTCTTGCTGCAAACGCACTTGCACGATGCAGAACTGTGCGCCATCGACCAGGCGGCGGTCAACACGGCAGCGTCTGCTGTGGCCCACTCTTCCTCATCATCGTCCTCCTCGTCGTCAACTTCTGCCCCATTACAGCTGCTCGTCACTGGAGCACATCTCTCATCCTCCCTTGTTGACATTTGCTCCATCATTTTGCGACGAAACTCGCCTGCCGAGAGCGAGGACTTGCCATCAGCTCGGTTGCTCGACACAACAACAACAACCGACCCAGCCTCTCACTCTTCATCAGCCAACACAACGCTTGTTGCGACGCGCACAACCGCGCGAAACCTTCGCACTGTCGCCCTTGCAGTATCACAACGCGTCCCAGTTCTCCTCGAGGGCCCCATTGGTTGCGGCAAAACGGCCGTCATCACCCGCTTGGCCGAGCTCACCGGCCGCACGCGCGAGTGCGACTTGATTCGAATCCACCTGGGCGATCAAGCAGACAGCAAAACTCTGCTGGGCACGTACATGTGCACCGAAACACCTGGTGAGTTCCGATGGCAGCCAGGCGCGTTGGCACAGGCGGTGGAACAAGGTCGGTGGCTTGTGATTGAAGACATCAACCTGGCTCCGCTCGATGTGCTTTCGGTCCTCATTCCGCTGCTTGAAAAGCGTCAGCTGTTCATTCCTGGGCGTGGCGAGGTGCTTGCCGCTGCTCCTGGATTCCAACTCTTTGCCACCCGTACTACCGCCACGCCGAGCGCAACAACGGCCGTGTCTGCCGACCCCGCTACGGACGACCACGACGACGACACACTCCTAGCTAGCAGTTCCGGCAGGACCTCGACAGCAATGGGCGATGCGCTTTGGAGCAAGGTTCGCTGTCTTCCACTCGGCACGGAGGAGCTTCGCTCCGTCTTGTCCATCAAGTTTCCTGCCTTGCAGTACATTCTCGACACGCTCATGGACGTGTACGTCACCATGGTTGTGCGACCAGCGAGCTCGTCAAGCGCGAGTGCTGCTGGCGTCACCGCGTTACCCTCATCCTCATCCTCTCGCCCGCTTTCGTTGCGCGACTTGATGAAGTGGTGCACTCGCTTGTCGGCCCTGCAAGCGCGCAAGTCAGAGGCGCAACTCACCTTGTCACGCGAGGAGATTTTTAGTGAAGCAGTCGATTGCTTTTGTCTCATGACTGCCAATCCCGATCGCCGACTCGCACTTCTCCGAGCTGTTGGCACTGCCATCGGCCTCTCGAAAGAGAGTGTCAAGTACTATGTCGAGTCGTTCAAACCCGCCGTCCAGCAAACAGCCGCAGTGTTTTCGGTCGGGCGCGCCTTGCTTCCCGTGCTGCCCCCTGTGCCGGGCGCGCAGCAGACCTTTTATGCAACGTCACGCTTTGCCTTTACGCGCCATGCGCTCAAGCTTCTCGAAAGCATTGCGTCGTGCGTGTCTGCAAACGAACCCGTCCTCCTCTCGGGCGAGACGGGTACTGGCAAAACCTCCGTTGTTCAGTTCCTCTCCGAGCAGCTTGGGCAACGTCTGTCTGTGCTCAACATGAGTCAGCAGAGCGATTCATCCGATTTACTGGGTGGCTTCAAGCCCGTCGATGTGCATGTGCTCTGTGCCCCGCTCAAGGAGCAGTTTGACCTGATCTTCCCGCAAACCTTCTCGCGCAAAGCAAACGCCAAGTTTATTGCCAAGGTTTCTGCAGTGTTTGCGGCCAAAGACTGGGACAAGCTCCTCAGTCTTCTTTCCAGCGCCGTCCAAATGGCACAAGCAAAGATGGACAAGGAGAATGGCGACCGCGAGTCCGGCACCAGCGATATCGCTCTGCCTGCACGCATCTTCACCCCTCAGCTTCGCACTCAGTGGACTGCATTCACCCATGCCGTGACCAAGTTTGAAAAGCAGCGAGAGCAACTTCGTCAAGGCAGCTTTGCTTTTGACTTTGTGGAAGGCACGCTGGCTGAGGCTGTGCGCTCGGGTCAATGGGTGCTCCTCGATGAGATCAACCTGGCCAATCCTGAAACACTCGAGTGTCTCAATGGTCTGCTTGATGGCGAGCACGGCAGCCTCACCCTGACGGAGCGAGGCGATCTCGAGCCCATCCCGCGCCATCCCAACTTTCGCTTGTTTGCCTGCATGAACCCAGCCACCGACGTTGGCAAGCGCGACTTGCCTCCGGGCTTCCGCAACCGCTTTACCGAACTCTACGTCGACGATGTCACCGACAAGGAGGACCTGACCACCGTGGTCGGCAGCTACCTGAAGTCCATTCCCTCCATTTCTCCCAAGCTGATTGACGACACGGTCGCCTTTTACCTCTCCGTCCGCCGAGAGACGGCGGCCACGCTGGCGGATGGCTCTGCTCAGCGACCACACTTTAGCTTGCGCACGCTGTGCCGAGCGCTGGAGCACGCCAAGTCCGTTCTGCCCATTTATGGCTTGCAGCGCTCCTTGTACGAGGGCTTTTGCATGAGCTTTTTGACTCAACTCGGCCGCACCAGCTTCCTTGCCGTGCACGCGCTCATTGAGCGGGCATTCGTCACTGGCGCACTGGGCGCTGGCCAAGCCGCCTCTGGCTTGCCCTCGTCGTACTCGTCCGCGACAGCGTCCACCACAGCCGTGGCCGCGTTCACGCGCGTCCCCGCAGAGCCCACTCCGCTCGGGTCGCATGTTTTGGTGGAAGGGTTTTGGGTTGAACGCGGCACAGAGCCCCTGCCCACTGGTCCGTTGCCCTACATTATCACTCCTTCCATTCGCGATAATCTGCGCTGCCTTGCCCGCATTGCCACGACCCGTCGGCACCCCGTGCTCATCCAAGGCCCAACCTCGAGTGGCAAGACCAGTATGGTCGAATACCTGGCCATGTTGACGGGCCACCGATTTGTCCGCATCAACAACCACGAGCACACTGATTTGCAAGAGTATCTCGGCAGCTATGTCTCCGACGAGAATGGCCAGCTCCGCTTCCACGAAGGTGTCCTTGTGGAGGCTGTGCGCAAGGGCTACTGGATTGTCTTGGACGAGCTCAACTTGGCGCCCTCGGATGTGCTCGAGGCTCTCAACCGCCTTCTTGACGACAATCGCGAGCTCTATCTCACCGAGACGCAAGAAACCGTTCGGCCCCACCCGCACTTTATGCTCTTTGCCACCCAAAATCCTCCGGGTCTCTATGGTGGTCGCAAGGCACTCTCTCGTGCCTTCCGCAACCGTTTTGTGGAACTGCACTTTGACGACATTCCCGACACGGAGCTGGAGACCATTCTGTCTTCCCGCTGCGCCATCCCGCCATCCTACTGCACCAAACTGGTGGCCATCCTGCGCGATCTCCAAAAGCAGCGCCAAGGGACGAACGTTTTTGCGGGCAAGCAGGGCTTTATCACCCTTCGTGATCTCTTTCGCTGGGCAAACCGCCACCCGAACGGCTATCAGCAGTTAGCCGAGGATGGTTACATGATTCTCGCCGAGCGCGTCCGCAAGCAAGACGAGAAGGAGCTGGTCAAGACTGTCTTGCAACGCCACTTGAACGTGACCATCGATTTGGAGCGCTTGTACTCTTGTGCCGCTCCGCGCTCACACCACAATACAACCACCAAGCGCGGTAACGCGAGCGCTTTTGTCTCTGAAGACGATCTGTACGGCTCGGCGCTCTTCCACGACATGATTGCCAGGCTGCAGGCTGAGAGCACCACAGACGCTGACGCAGCAGATGATCCGCTTCTCGAGTTCCGAGCCCTGGTTTGGACTCGTGCCATGCGCCGCTTGTTTGTTCTTGTCGAACGCTGTTTGCGGAACAAGGAGCCGATTCTGCTTGTTGGCGACACGGGCACAGGCAAGACAACCATCCTGCAAGTGTTTGCTGGCATTCTGCGGTCTCGCTTGCACATTGTCAACTGCCATCAACACACCGAAACGTCCGACTTTATTGGTTCCTTGCGACCCGTCCGTGGCAAGGAGCAAGTGACCGCCACGCTGCACCAGTTGCTGGCAGCGTACTATGCCACATCAGCTGCTGCTGCTGGGGCATCTGCTGACGCAGTGACCCAACCCCCTGCGTCCTGTGCCGAGCTAGTCCAATGGTTTGAGACCCTCCAGGTGCCATCCGACACTGCAGAGGTCCAGAGCATCATGCAGCTGATTCCCGAGTACCGCGCCCTGTTTGCGTGGAGTGATGGTCCGCTTGTTACGGCCATGCGCAGCGGAGACATGTTCCTCTTGGACGAAATTTCACTTGCAGACGACTCTGTTCTCGAGCGCTTGAACAGTGTCCTCGAACCAGGACGTCTGCTCGTGCTGGCCGAAAAAGTGGGCGGCAACAACTCGAGTGACCGCACCACCGGAGGAAACGAGCAAGGTACTGCTGCTTCCGACCTGGACGTCGAGGAACTGGTCGCGCACGACGGCTTCCGCATTGCCGCCACCATGAATCCCGGTGGCGATTTCGGCAAGAAGGAACTCTCGCCTGCGTTGCGCAACCGTTTCACTGAAATCTGGGTCCCCCACGTCAACGATCGCGAGGACTTGAGCAACATTCTTCAGTCAAGTCTGCTCACGCTGCCCGACGCTCTCCATCAAGCGCAGTCGGAGCTCCAGATCTGGGCAGGTGCCTTTGCTCAACAGGAGCATCTGGAGGGCGCAGTGCGCTCCCATCTCGAGCAAGCGATTGCTGCCCTGCATTCTCTGGGGCTGCCAACCCTGATGCTTGACTTTGTGGACTGGTTCCGTTCGCAGCACAATCGCTCTGTCGTTAGTTTGCGTGACTTGTTGTCGTGGGTTCGCTTTATCAACACAATGACCGTTCGCCACGTCGTGCAATCCCTGAACGGCGCTTCTGCAATGCTGACCGAAGCCAGCGAGCGCGCCGTTGCCTTCCAGTTCTTTGTGCACGGCGCGTCCATGGTGTTTATCGATGCCATCGGCACTGGCGCCATTGCTACGCCAAACTCTTCTGCCGCCAAGGACGCTGCCGTTCGCTTCCTGCTGTCGCAAGCGCCTGCAAACCTCGGTCCGAGTGCCGCCCAATCTGCTGCAACGCGCATGATTCTGAATGTCGGCGATGGCAACAGCAGCAGCCTGGTCGACGACGAGCCCGCGTCCCAGCAAGCACCTGCCGCCACCACGACGTTCGGCGTCGATCCCTTCTACATTCCGCTTGCCGGCGAGCCACAGAAGGCAAACTTTACCGTTCATGCCGCCACCACCCGCCGCAACTTGATTCGCGTGCTCCGAGCGCTGCAACTGTCGCGCCCAGTTTTGCTCGAAGGCAGTCCCGGCGTGGGCAAAACTAGTCTGATTGTTGCGCTGGCCGCGCTTTCTGGCAATGCCGTGGAGCGCATCAACCTTTCCGAACAGACCGATGTCATGGACTTGTTTGGCTCGGACTTGCCCGTGGAAGATGGCGCGGGCGGCGAGTTTGCGTGGCGCGATGGCGTTTTTTTGCAAGCCATGAAGCAGGGCAAATGGGTGTTGCTGGACGAGCTCAATCTTGCCTCGCAAGCTGTTCTCGAAGGTCTGAATGCATGCTTGGACCATCGCGCAACCGTCTACATTCCCGAGCTCGACCGCTCGTTTGCATGCGCGCCGTCCTTCCGAGTCTTTGCCTGCCAAAACCCCCTGCAGCAAGGCGGTGGCCGCAAAGGATTGCCCAAGTCCTTCCTCAATCGATTCACCCAAGTCTACGTCGAGCCTCTCACCGACGCCGATCTCGAGTTTATCGCTATGCGTTTCCACGAGGCCATCCCGTCGTCCGTGCTCAAGAAGATGATTGAGTTCAACTCGCGGTTGCACCACGAGACCATGGTGGCGCGGTCCTTTGGCCGACTCGGCGCTCCCTGGGAGTTCAATTTGCGCGATGTCTTCCGTTGGTGCGAGCTGATGCTTGCCCACCAGGCGGACGGAGCATGGAATCCGGCCGTCTTTTTCGACGTCATGTACCTGCAGCGCTTCCGTTCTCAGGACGATCGCGTGAAGGCTACCGAACTGTTTTGCGCCGTTTTTGCGCAGCCACTCGCTGCCTCTTCGTCTACGCTTGATGCAACAACAGCCGAATCCGAGGCATCCGGCCATCCAGTGGATTGGGCAGCAATCACGACCGCAGCTGCGAATGCCCTGACGATGAACCCGGAGCTGCAGCTCTGGCCAGACTCCATCACTCTGGGCCACGTTGCACTTGAGCGCGTCTCCATTGCCACGGACGAGGCAACGCCGACAACTGTTTCGGCGCTCGCGGCCGCCAACCACGCCGCTCGCCCAGTCGATCGCACGCTCGAGCACTTCCCGCTCCCGTTGACCGGTTTTCTGCGACCACTGAGTGCACTGATGACCTGTGTCAAGCATGGATGGATGTCGATCGTCTGTGGCGGGGCGTCTGTCGGCAAGTCCAGCTGCATTCGATGGCTCGCTGCTGCCACGGGTCACCCGCTGCACCAGTTCTCCATGAACTCGTCCGTCGATACCATGGAGCTCCTCGGTGGGTTTGAGCAAGTCGACATTGCGCCCCAGCGTCAACATCTGGTTGATGCCATTGCCCAAACCGTCCAGGTGGCCATGCAGCGACTCGTGCTCTTCCAAGCTTCCGTCCCAGAGACGGATGTGGTGGGCCTCGAGGCCCTTGCCTCCACGCTTCAACGCATCTCTGGCGCCTGGGACAGCTGCATCACTCGTTTGGCTGCGCTCCGGGCTCAACAGCAGCAAGCCAACACTGCGAACGAGGCGGCAAACAGCAGCGCTCCATCCGAGCCATTGTACGAGGCGCTGTCCGCTTGTCTCAATCTGATCGAGGCCGCGATGATGGAATTTGGCTGCGCACCCATCCCTCTTGCAGAGGTCCGCCAGACACTCGCGACCGTGCGCACTCTGGAGCAAGCCAATCTGAGTGGCCGATTTGAGTGGATTGATGGTCTTCTTGTCCAAGCCCTGCGAAATGGCCATTGGGTTGTCATTGACAATGTCAACTTTTGCAATCCGTCCGTTCTCGATCGCCTCAACCCGCTCCTCGAAACGAACGGCGTGCTCGTCGTTTCCGAACGCGGCTGCAACGACAACAATGACGCCGGCGCAGAGGTCATCCGTCCCCACCCCAATTTCCGTCTCTTCCTCACCATGGACCCCAAGCACGGCGAGATTTCTCGTGCCATGCGCAACCGAGGTGTGGAAATTGTGCTGCTGGACGAGGCCCTGTCCTCTGCCGACGCCGCTGCCATGATGGCTTCCGTCGGACTGCACTTGGGTGTCCAGCTGGAGGAGGCCTTGGTGTCGTTCCATCGCGCGCTGCTGCACTTTGACCAACCCGCCAACGACCTGAACAATGGCGGCGCAGGGTCTCTTCCTGCCTCCAAAGCGCTGGTCGATACTCTGCGGGGCGCTGTTTCGCCCTTGGCTCTGCCCACTGTCGCACGTCGCGTGCACCACGCTTTGAGCATTGGGTTGTCCGACGTCCGCGAGTTGCTGTCCGCTGTTGTCGACGACGTCTACGGGCGTGCTGTTGCCGCCATTCCAGGGCAGCTTGCGCGCTACCGGCAGCTCAAGCAACGTCTGCTTGGCGGCTCGGGACTTGTTGGAGCGAGCGTCTGCTCTGGGCTTTCTGCCACGACATTGTCGCCAACCATGTCTGGTCAAGGCCGGTTGGCCCACTCTTCCTTGACTGGAGCGGCCGTGGACGGTGCTCATGCCTTTGTCGACTTGCACCGTCGCTTGGCGGCGCTTTTGCTCTTGGCCATTCAGTCCTCGACCAAGCCACTCGATCAGACCATCCGTCAAATCCACGCACTGCTGCATACGTTTACTCCAGCTCAGCGGACGCGAGTGCTCTCTTTGCTGCCCTCCGAGCGAATGACCATGAATCAAGCTGCCGCCAGCATCGCCGCAGCGCTGTCATCAGACGACGCGGAATTCTTTGTCACATTCCACGCTCGACTGCTCGCATTGCTTGAAGGCATCAGCCCGAGTGCCCGCCGCGCCCGGATGCTTTGGCTCGGCGTGTTGCGCGAAACCATTGAACTCGTGTCCAACGTCTGCTCGATTCTACAGCTCTACCACGCACGGCTGGCTTCTTGGTGCGAACAAACAGTCGCAGCTATCGACGCAGCTGTAGGCGCAGCTACGTTGGTTCTCAACCACCCCATCTGCCAAGGATTTTGGGCATTCCGCGATTCTCTCGCAGCGCAACTTGCTCCATTGGTGGCCTCCACTGCATGGGGTGGAAATACAATGCTTCTTTTGGCTGCGTCTCACGCCGCGCTTGTGCCCACACGCTCTCCGTCTGTTCCGTTGGCTATTGCTGCTCGTCGCATGACGCGAAGCGATCTTCCTGCCGAGCAGCCGTCCGAGGCCGACAAGCAAGCCGTGTTGTTTGATGAAGCTTGCCGTCAACTGCTGCAAGTATACTTGCGCTATTGCTGGGATGCCACTGTGGACAAGCATCGTACATCGTCCACCGTCGCTTCCAGCAACGATGGGTTTGACGGCATCAGCCTGCTCGAGCAGTCACGCCGACTTTTGCAAGGCTATGATGCTGGCCAGGGTCGTTATACTGGCGCTGTAACATACACGGCGCTGCAACTCGTGGCACCGTTTTTGGACACTGTTGAGCAGTATCTCACCGAAATGTTCCAGTCTTTCGGCACTGCTCTCGCTGTTGGTCAGACGTCACTTCCGGCGCAAGCACTCCTCGACCTGCGTCAAGTTGCTGGACTGCTCGAGTCGCGTCTCCGCCCCTGCATGTACCATCTTCGACGCTCGTTGTCGCAGTTCCCGCACCCCGACATTTCGACGCTCTTGCTGGAGTGGCGTTGGCTGCAAAAGTGCTTGCGACAGCTGATTCAATTCCCACTGCACGAAAGTCTGCAATCCTTCCGCGAGTCAGCGCAGACTGAAGCCAAGTTACAACTGCTCCTGGACAAGCTGGGCGCTGCATTGCAGCTCTCTGACACGCAGTCTCCCATTTCAGCACTCTGGAAGCGTGGCGGTCATCCTGCGGCATTCCGTTCCAAGCGCGCAGCACACGTGTCCGCGGAGGTTGGACGGCTTTCCAGCGAACTTGCTGTGCCACTAGTGTCTTCCCACGACAGCTTGGTCACTGGCTCGCAAAAGTCCCTTCGAAGCAGCCACGGCTCCTCGGCGTTGCTGGAAGCGTCAGAGTCTTTCTCACGACTGGTGGAGGTTTCTGGGTGGGTCGGCGACCTCTCGGCTCTGCAAGTGACTCCACTTGCTGCTGGCGCCGAGCAGCGCAGCATGCTGGCTGAAGCGGGTGCGACTGTCGCACACGTCAGCGCCATGTACCAAGCCAACGACCATTCGCGCAGCGAGCTCTTGCTTGCATCGGTGGAGCGCTTGGTTGCCAACGTCCAAGCGCAGCAAAAGGGTCGGTCTGCGGTTGCTGCTGCTGTGTCGAACGTCGAATCGTCGGGCATGGCGATGGAGTCATCCGCCGAAGACGAGCAGGCAGACTCGGCGGCAGTGTCTGACGAAGACCATCAACGACTGCTCCGAGACTTGGTCGCCAAAGTGGATCTTTGGCCGCTTTGTGACCATCGTGCCTTGGTGCTCGAGCAACAGGCAATCCAAGCTGCCCAGGTCGCGTCCGTCATGTGCCGTGCAACCAACATCGACATGGACTTGGTCGAGCACAAGTGCCGACATTCGCTGGAACTGCTGGAAAAGTTTAAAGACTACTCTCTGCGAATGACTCCTCGTGCTCCAGCCGACGTTGCCACCGTTCAAGTGCTGTTGTGGCAAAATGCGACTCTAGCAGCAATCCCGAATCCGTCCAAGCCCCGTTCTCACGACCAGCGTCGAGCTCTGCTGGATGCCTTTGCCAGTTCGTTTGAAGCGGCGCGGGATGCGCTGCTCGTGTCGCACCATGCTCGTCTCGTGGCCAACACAAGCAACGATCTGTCGTTTATTGACTTCAGATCCATTGTCGAGCAATTGGGTGCCGAGACTTCTGCGCTGCAACAGGGCAACCAAGCGACGCTTCCTTTTGCGACTCGGGTTGAGAACGTGGCCAAACTTTCAACTGCCTGCTTGGCATCCAGCGGCAGCCCGCGTCTGCACCAGTCTTTGCAAACCGCTCACGTGGCTCCCATGCTCCAAAGCTTGCATGGTGTCGCGTTGCAGAGCGCGCCGAGCAAAATCGATCAACTCCGTCAACTCGAGCGTCACCTGGCTTCGGACGCTGACGTCCGTGTTGACCACTTGCTGCCGGAGACCTTGTCGCTTTGCGCCCTCTTGTGCAACACACTTGCTCCTTACAGTGTGGCCAGCGCGGAGCCAGCGCATGTCGCGTCGGCTCTGCTGCTATTGCAACAGATCACGCTCGATACGTCGACTGCGCCAGATGTTCTCCGTGCTGTGATTGAGCAGCTTACGCTTGCGCAACTCCCAGTCTCCGTGTCAGAGCACTTTGAGTCACTTTTGCTGCCGTTGGCCCACGCACTTTCCAACGCGCTCCAGTCTGCGCCGGCCACTTTGCCAAGCGACAACCAACACCACCAGACGCTTCACGAAGTGTCCAATGCAAAAGCATCGCTCTTGCTCGGCTCGCTTCGGTTGGCGTTACTTGTGCCGCGTGCCCCGGTCGATCCTGCCGTCAAAGCCGCCGTCAAGCTCGAGCATTCCCGGCTTGACATGGCTCTTCTGACTGTTGAGCGACAAGTTCATTCCGATCTGGAGCTCTTGCGCACTGGCAACTCGTCTTCGCCGCGCATTTCCGACCTGACCAGCCAGGTTGAGCTTGAGGTGCGGCGTTCCGACGAGCTGTCCCAGAATGTAGTGTTGCGCCCCGAGGTGCCGGGATTTGCCAGCCTCGTCGCCGAGTGGCAGCAGTTTGCCTCTACCATGCTTGAGGGTGCTCGCGTGCACGCCATGGTTGGCGGATTCGAGCAGCTGGCAACCGCTGCTGCCACCGCTGGCGGTGCTTCTCACCACGACAAGAAGCTGCTCGTCGGTCGGTTGCAGCAACTCCAGAGCCAGGAAATTGCGTGGCAGAGCAACTGCACTAGCTTTGTTTCACGTTCGCGTGAGCGCTACCCCTTGTACAGCGACGTGGTTTTGCCCATGTGTGCTGCAGTGTTTCTTGTGACGGACGGCGTTCGTCGTCTCGCGCATGTCGCTGCGACAGCGATTGCCAACGTCGAGATCGAAACGCAGCTCGTCCGAGCGTGGTCTGCATTCCCGCCTCAGGCGCTCGCCATCGCGCTCCCATCCGAGCTCGATCCTGCCACGGACGACGCCACTGCTCCGCACTCGATCCTTCTGCATGAGGCGCGCCACACTGTCCGTCGTTGCATTGCCTTGCACCATTTGCACAGCGCGAAACCAGAGTACCAGCAGCTGCGTCTCGCAGCGCTCTCGGTCGGCTTGGCGCATCTCGTGGTTCACACTGAAAGCGCCCGAGCTGTGGACCCCCAAACCCTTGCATTCCTGCACGAGCTCGTGGACGAACATTCGCGTGCGTGGCGCGTTCACCGTGACGCTGCCAAAGAGCTTGCCAAGGTCGAGTCGAGTCTTTACCGCTTTGCCAGCATTGTGATTGGCGACGGCGCAAAGCGCATGGACGAGGAAGAGCGCGAGCGCGAGTTCCGTGCACTCTTCCCCGATTTCGGCTCGGACTTTGCCCACATGGTCGACTCGGATGAGTTTGCTCCCATCGAACCGTCCGTCCCCGTTGTCCAAAACAACCCAGCCCAGCCGACCAAAGCGCCCTCCGCCGAGGCGATTCGCGTTGCACAGCTCGAACGCGACGTCTTGCCGCCTGCAGCCCTGCTCGCCGTGGCGCGATGCCACCGAGAGCTGTTTGAAGCCTGCACCCCGCACTCGCTGCTCAACGTGGAAAGCGACATGGTGGCTCCTGTCCATGCTCGCCACGATGCCAGCCGCATTCGTCTGTTCGAGGAGCGCTATCGCTCGTTGAGTCACGTCATGCAAATGCTGTCTCATCAACAAAACGACGGAGGTCGCACCGATGCGGATGCCTCGTCAGCGCACGTCCTCGCCAGTGCCATCATGCGATTGCAGCTCTCCAACTCTTCCGACCAAGCTCTGATGCGTGGTCTTTCTCCGTTGGATGCAGCCAGCTCTGGCGAGTACATGTCGGACGATCTTTTGCGCGAGCTGGTCGCTGACTTTTCAAGCACCGATGTGCACAAGAAGGCGCGTGGCGGTTGGACCAAGCGTGCAGCCGCCGCTTCTGACGTGTTTGCGTCGGCCACCTACGACATTTATCGCGACCCCAATGTGATTGAGGTTCAACATGCGATCGAGGTGCTCAACGCCTTCATCAAGCGCACCACTGACTTGCTTCGCATGTGGCCCGATCATCCCATTTTGCAGCACCTGCTGGCTGTGGCCACTCGTGTCCTGTCCTTCCCAATCACCTCGCCCTTGATGCGAATCTTGAATGGTCTTGAAATTCTCTTCACCAAAGCGCACGAGTGGGAGAAGGTCGCTGCCAGGCACGTCTCGCTCTCCTCGCAGATTGATCGGCTGACGCAGCTCATTCTGCGTTGGCGCCAGTTGGAACTCAAAGCGTGGCCTCTCGCGCTGCGTGCAAAGGAGCGCGACGTTCAAAACAAGGTTCTTGGCGCGTTCTGGTTGCATCTGTACGCATTGGTCGCGACTATCGCATCGGCTTCGTCCACATCGTTGCCACAAACGACCGTCCCTGCGGACTCTGAGTCCAAAGCCGATGAAGACGACGACGACGACCATGACAATGATGACAGCGCTGACAAGGCCTCTGCTCCGATCGACGGATTTGCGCTTGTGCGTCAAGCGCAGACGACTCTGCAGGACTTGATCAAGGCTTCCTGCCTGGGTGACTTTGCCGTCCGTGTGCGCATGCTCCACGCCTTCTACTGTCACGTGTCCACCATGTGCAGCATGACCTTTGGCGCTGCGGACAAGCAACGCACACCGCTGCATGCGCTGCGCGACGCGCTCTTGCAATCGTTCTTGGTTTACGTTCAGTTTGTGCCCTCGGTGGTGGATGAGCTCGACAAGTTGCGCCGTCCTGTCGTCGAAGAGCTTGACAACTTTACCAAGATTGCTCGTTGGAAGGATGTCAACTACTGGGCAGTCAAGGAGAGTGCCGAAAAGTCTCACCGAGCCCTGCACAAATTCAGCAAGCGATATCAGGATGCACTGACGACTCCCGCAGCGTCCATCTTGCAGGCAGGCCTCTCCAGTCTCTCCGCCGCTCGCGAAATCACTGACGCAGCCAACGTGGTTGGTGCGCACATCAGCAAGGTTGCACGTAAATTGGCCGCCAAACGCACTCGCGGTGCTGCTGGCCATGCTGCTGCTGCGGCAGGTGATCAGTCACTGATTGCGAATGAGCTCGAGAGCTGGGTGCCGCAACAGCTCAAGACGCGGTTTGCCGAGGCGGTCGCGCCCGTGACTGCTCGCATCCATGCCCTCGAGGCACGTGCGGCGCTTCAATCGACGTCGGACGACGTGATGATGGTTGTCGTCGACCAAGCTGGCGATGCCGGAACGAACACCAGTGGCAACACTGATGGAAATCTGCTTGCCCGCATCCCCGCATTGAGCGCACGACTCTCCAAGATTGCCTCGCGTGATATTTTCGAGATTGTTAGCAGAACAGCGACCCGGTCTCCGGGCTCGGTCATTGAGCATATTGTCGCCGTGGACGAGTTTGCTGTGGAGATTATCGCGCGTGCCAAAGAGTTCCGCGAGTGGGTCTATGTCCCGCCGCCGATTACCGACAAAGAGCGCATCAAAGAGCTCGAGTCGAAGGCTGTGAAACACCAGCGGCAGCTCAAGGGCAAGGCACTCGCCGCGCTGCTGCGCCATCTCCGCCTCGTTGGTCTGTCCGCCCGTGGCGCCATGAACGCCGCGACGGCAGATACAAGCCTGGAATCGCTCATGGCTGCCCCTGCGTTTGCCCAAGTCGCCATGACCACTTTGGCCTCTGGTGATGGCGCCGTTGCCACTGTTGGCGCAAATGCCGGCCTCTACAGCATGCTGCGTCGCAGCGACGAGTACTTTGCGCTGCTGGTGGTGCGTGCCGATGTTCTCCGTCAGGCCTTGCTCAAGCCGGAGGCCCGCGACATTCCGATGGATGCCCTGCAGCGCTCGAGCGGTTTTGTTGAGCACTTGCTCTCGGTGATTGCGAGCGACAAACGCATGCTCACTCGTGTCTGGTCGGAGCGAAGCGCGCTCCACGATCTGCTGCACATGTTTGCCTCCTGTGCCGTCTTCCAACCAGCTGAAGCCGCTGACAATGCTGCACCGCTCGCGTTGGACGTGCAGCGCTCTGATCGCCACGATGCGCTTGTGCTCATGTCTCTCCTGGCAGCCGCGGGCAACATGCTCAATCAGGTTGACAACGTACAGCTGCTGCTGCGATTTGCGCTGCCAACGTCGCTGGCGCGCTCGCCCAGTGAGATGCAAGAAATTCAGGCTGCGCTTGCAAGCGTTCGCCAGATTCTCGTGTCCACGCTCACGACTCTGCGCTCGTGCTTGTCTGCGTTTGAGCCACTGCGACAAGCCGCGATTGCAGGAGCCTCGTATCGCCAGGTTCTCTTGCAGCTGCCGCTGCCTGGCACGGTCTCTGCGGCAGTTCTCACCGGCAAGAGCTTGGTGAGCGCGATTCCTGCGCTGGTCTCCCGCTTGCAACACCTGCTCGTCCCCACACAAATTGGCCAGACGCTGGAAAACGCATGCCAGTCTCTCGTTCAAGCTGTCACTGCTGCAACGACCACCCAGCTGCCGGCACTTGCTCCAGCTTCCCACTCTGACCTCGAAGCGCAGATGGACGAGCTGGCCCGACACGCCTTGGTTGCAACTCAACGCATCAAGACAAGTGTGGATGCCTTGCACCAACACGCTCGCACTGCGCAGGCCGAGTCTGCATCCTCGTCAACTCAAGCTGCAGCAGCGCCAGACGCGGAAGCCTCTTCCACCACCACCCACTATGCGGACGAAGAGGGCGAGGACGACCACGACAGCCCGGCCGAGCTGGAGCCTGGCCACTTGATGCACGCCAGCCACCACTTCCGGGAAGCACTGGAAGGTGTGGATCTTGCTCTTTTGACGACGCGCCTGGTTCGTGTGGCGTCCCTGGTCGCCAGCGCTTCTAGTGCAGCAACTGCTGAAAACGAGCATGCCATGCTCGAGGCTCGCTTCTTGCAGGTGGTTCTTCTCGTGTCTCAGCTTGTTGGCGTCATGGATGGCGTGCTTACCCAAGCCGTTGTCTTCCACAAGTCTCTGTGCAAACTGGAGCACGTTCTGGTCAACCTGACGCTCGATCTCACCACAAAGGGTTTCTGCACTCCAGCAGACAACTCCAAGGAGGGTGGCGAAGGCGAAGGCGACGGCGACCCTGCCAGCGGTAGCAAGTTCCTTGCTGACGGCACTGGCATCGGTGAAGGCGAAGGCCAGAATGATGTCAGCGATCAGATCGAATCCGAAGATCAAGTGCTCGGAACCAAGCAGGATGACAAGCGCGACGCGTCCAAGGAGCCTCTCGACAAGAAGGAAAAGGACACTGGCCTTGAAATGGATGATGACTTTGATGCCGAGCTGTACGACATGCCCGAAGGCGACAACGACGAGCAGCAGGACGACGACGGCGAGCAAGACGAGCAGGACGACACTGACAAGCTTGACGAGCAGATGGGCGATCTCGACCAGAGCAAGGCTGACGTTGTTGACGAGAAAATGTGGGGCGAAGACTCTGATGACGAGGACAACGACCCAACCGGCGGCAAGGATGACAAAGTTGAGCGAGGCGCTTCGATGCAGGACGGCAACCAGGAATCCGAGCTGGCCGCCAAGTCTGATCCGAGCAGCTCAAGCAAGCCCGACAAGAAGGATCAGCAGCAAAAGTCGCAAAAGGAGGACAAGAAATCCCAGGCCGACAAGAAGCAGCCCCAACAGCCATCGGGCGAGGACGAAGAGGACCAAGCCGGCGAGGACCATCCGATCAACGAGGATACCGAGGACCGATACGAGGAAAACCACGGCATTCAGGTTGAGAAGCAGTCCAAGTTTATGGAGGACGAAGACGCTGGCGCCCCTGAAGAAGGCTCTGAAGATGGCGAAGACGGCTCCGAGGAGGAGGAGGAGGACGGCGACGACCATGACGACGAGCGCGATGCCGACCCCGACGCTGCCAAGCGCCTCCAAGAGCAACAGTACGGCACCGAAGATGGCCAGGAAGAAGGCGAAGGTGGCGAAGGCCAAGGCGAAGGCGCCGACCAAGAAGAAGAAGGCGACGAGCTGCCTGAAAACATGAACTTGGACGGCGACGACGAGGATGGCGGCGGCGGCGGCGAAGAGCCCATGCCCACTGGCGGGTTGGACGATGACCAGCCAGACGAAGGCGCCGACGGCGAGAATCCAGCCGACGCTGATGCGCAAAAGCAAACGACAGGCGAAGATGCAACCGACGAGCAGGAGCCTGCTGGCGACGACGAGGGCGAGCGCACGCATCAAGACGACCTTGGCGATGCTGACGAGTTTGCCGATGCCCCACAAGAGCAAGACCAGGCCACTGACATGGACGTCGACGAGCCGCAGAGCAATGCGAGCGCCGATCGTTCGTTCAACAACCGGAACTCTTCGGATCAGGGATCGACTGCGACGAGCTCCATGACGCAACCCGATGCCAACCATGGCAACGACCAGCGCAACCAGCAAAAGCAGCAAAAGCAGCAACGCGGCACGCGTTCGTCCCAGCCCTCTGCCACGCAGTCCAAGTCGGCTGGTGGATCGGACGACAAGCGTGGCGAGGATGCCGAGCAGGAAGAGGAAGACCCGTCTGCCTCGACCAGCAAGAAGCAACCGCAGTCCGAGTCTTCCGATATGGCCCAAGACGATGTCGAGGAAGACGGGCAACAGCCAGAAAAAAGCAGCTCCTCCTCCAGTGCTCAACAAGACGCTTCGGCTGATGGCGAGTGGCAACGCCATCAGGCAGAGCAGACCCGCCAGCAGCAGCAGTACAAGAAGCGCAACGAGGTCAATCCCAACCGTCAGCTCGGCGACTTGCTCAAGGCCTGGAAAGACCGTCTCAAGCTGCTCAAGCAGCAGGATGCTGATGTTGACGATGCAGCTGCCGATTCCATGGATCTTCATGACGACGATGCCGAGACCGAGGCCGAGGACCAGACCGCTGGAGACGATGGCGAGCCCGACGACAGCGATGCCCAACTTGCTGGCGAAGCGTACGAGTTTGTTGGCAAGAACGAGCGAGCTTCGAGCCGCGACATGCAAGCGCTTGCTGCCGCCACCGAGTCCCAGCAATCGGCTGCTCAACCTGATGCCCGTGACTTGTCGGACGACGACGACGACGACAACATCAAGTCTGAGAACGAGCTCAAGGACGACGCCAACCAGCCCGAGCCGATGGACGTGGATGACGACCCCGCGGCATCACCAACCTCCGCCGCTCAGGATTCGACGAGCGCAAGCAAGCCCGAGCGCTCCGCCAAGCCGAGTCAAAAGCAGCGCCAGCAGCAACGCGGCCAAGGCGCCAACCCACAGCTCGATGAAGCCAAGCCCGGTACTGCTGCTGAAAACGACGACGGCGAGGGCGCCGTCGAAGACGAGCGCGGCTGGGGCGAGGTCGTTACTGCTCCGGACCAACAGGACGCCGATGACGAGGGCGACGATCTGGAGGCGCAACTCTTTACGGATCAGCCCGTGGTCGACCCCGAGCAGATTGCTGAGATGCGCGCGGCGCTGGAGGACGAATTGATGCGCTGGCGCAACGATCCCGAGCTCGCGCAGCGCGGCCAAGAGTTTTGGCAGCGCCTCGAGTCGCTCACTGCACCCTTGTCGCAGGAACTCTGCGAGCAGTTGCGCCTGGTCATGGCCCCAAGCTTGGCCACCAAGCTCAAGGGCGACTACCGCACCGGCAAGCGGCTCAACATGAAGAAGATTATTCCCTACATTGCCAGTCAGTTCAAGAAGGACAAGATTTGGCTCCGTCGCACCAAGCCCAGCAAGCGCGAGTACCAAGTCTTGCTCTCGATCGACGACTCCAAGTCGATGGACGACAAGCACTCTGCAGAGATGGCCTTCGAGGCACTTGCAGTCATTTCCAAGGCGCTCACCAAGCTTGAAATCGGCGAACTGGGCGTGCTCAAGTTTAGCGACAAGGTCACGCTCCTGCACCCGTTCGACGCACCGTTCACAGACACTGCTGGCGCGGACATTATCCACCAGTTTACGTTCAAGGGTGAGGGTTCCAACTTCCGCCGTTTGATGGAGACCTCCGTCGAGCTGCTCGCGCAGGCCAAGCGCTCCACCAGCATGGGAGGCTCTTCTGGCTCTGCCGTCGAGTGCAATCAGCTGCAGTTTATCATTTCCGACGGTGTCTTGTCGCAAGACAAGCAGCTGGTTCGCAAACTGGTGCGACAGGCAGCCGAAGCCAACATTTTGCTCGTGTTTATCATCATGGATGCCAATGCCAACCAGGACCACTCCATTTTGATGCGCGAAACGCCAGAGTTCCAAGTTGGCGGAGGTGTCCGCATGGTCTCGTACATGGACTCGTTCCCCTTCCCGTATTACGTGGCTCTTCGCGACATTAATGCGCTTCCCACCATTTTGTCTGATGCCCTTCGACAATGGTTTGAGTTGATCAACATGCGGAACAGTTCTTGAGAATGTCTGCCCTTATTTTGAATCTTGTACTTTTATTGATGTTTGTATTTTCGTGTTGTTTTGTTGTTGTTTGTTTGTTGTTGTACTTTTACCTGTGATGTCTTGAAATCCCATGTTTTCATTTGTTTGTTTGTGTTTTTTTGTTTGTTCGTGTATATCAATGCAGTATTAGCACACTGAAGCTGAGCGTACGCTGTACTTTGAGTTGAACAAGCAATAACAACACCACAATCAAAGCAGAGCGACAAAAGAATGACAGCAACACTCCACACACACACACAAAAAGCAGACCAAATACGAATTAACAAAAGACTTTGCGAAAACAGACACGCATGTATCGGGGGAAATTGCTCAAGACAATTGATCCAGTTGTTCTTGGATGATTTCAAGATTGTTATAGAAGGCAAAGAGTTCGTCATGCGAGAACTCGACGTGAATTCGCTCCGTCTGCAACATCACATAGCAAAACAAAAACAAATAGGTGGAAAGAGCAGAACAGGGGTGGAAGGCATGCGAAATGGACGTGAGCAACAATCAACCAGAAATTTTGCCCCGCATTTGATGGCTGCTCGTCTCTGCCCTTGCAATATGCAACGAAAACGCGACATCCACCACAGTGGTTGTTGCATGTACGATCTTCCACCACCAAAAGACCATGCTGTGATTCTCAGCACAGCAGCAAATGACTGAACGTTCGACATTTTCTACCCCACTTTTTCAGACCGCGCGGCTCTGCCCTTGCAGTCTGCAACGAAAACACCACTGGTTGTTGCATGTACGATCTTCCATCCACATCATGCTGTGATGCTCAGCACAGCAGCACAATCACTTGGAAAAACTGCTAGCGAGACTGCAAACTTACTGGTCGCTTTGGAGTCGAGTCGTGGGCGACCTGGAGCTCGAGGATGGCCGAGGTGGCCTTGACTTTTGCCGCGGATGCCTGAGCCATTTGCAGATGGAGCGACCAGTTGACTGCATCGACCTTGTCCGGGTGCAGCGAAAAGTCTCGCAGGCGCGTGACAATCTGGGGTCCTTCCTTGCGCCAGACGGCAATGAACGCCTCGACCTTGTCGTCGTCGAGCTCGATGGCACGCAACTGCGCTGCGAGTGCGTCGGGCTTGGCTGCGTGGTAGGCGCTCTGCTCCAGCACGAACGCAGACGTCTCCAGCAGCAGCGCAATGGACTCGGCGCTCAGTCCCAGTGCCTCCTGCAGCTGCTGCTCCTCAATCTCAGTGAAGCTCTTCACGTCCTGTCGAGCGCACAAGACAAACGTAGATGGACATTATTTCAAGTGAGTGAAGTGAGAATGAAGCGAGTGAGTGAGTTTGACCTCGAATCTCAATGGCTCTCAATGGAGCTCAATGGAGATTCAGCCAAAAAATCTCGAGATCTCAAACCCAGCACTCCCACGATAGAATCCACACTCGGTGATGATGATGATGATGATGATGACGATGGAGAACGAAGGACGCTTGCTTGCCTTGAGATGGAGCTTCTGGCTGACGCGGAGCAGGATGCGCGGGAACTTGGACGCGTCGACCTGGTTGATCGCGAGCACTGCCTTGCGCAGGTTTGGCGTCAGAGTGAACTGCAATCCGCTCGACATTTGCAACTAGGAAATGGAAGAAATGATAAAAATGAAGAGTGAAGGGTTTTGGTCACACGTTCACAATGGAAATGGAGAATGGGTGGTCGTCTAGGAATAAGATTTTGGGATGTTGAAGGGTCAAACACGGCGAGCGACAGCAAAGACAGCTTGGGTCACGCAAAAGTCGGCGTGAGACAGCTTCTCGATCGCTTCGAAATGGTCATCTTCGGGGCAGTACACAAACTGGGTCTTGTCCGTAATGTTGCCGCGGTGCTGTACGAGATTGTCGTGAAACTCGCGAGATTGGCGTCGGAACTCCTCAGGGTCGTGCCGACCAACGGCAACGATGACATGAATGTCGTGAGGAATGGATGCAAGAAGGAGGAGAGGCGAAGCCACTTGAGCATCTACAATAGTGCAATGAAATAAGCGGTGAGTGCAAAACGATGTGTTGCGGGTTTTCGCAATCTAAAACTGGAGCCCGCCCAAAGATCTCACCGGCCATTGTCAACCTGACAGCATCATTGACGGAAGGAACCATTGTGATTGGTCGCAGATCAAAGACGCCCGAAACCAGTGTAGCGCTTCGAATCCAGCCAGCAGGCACTCCGTACTTGGCTTGCCACTCTTCCGCCGAAGTCGCGATACACATGGCTGCTAGGTGTCCACCAGCGGAATGACCAATCAAGTGTGCTGTAGTCCCGGGGCACAACTGGTGGGCCAAGGCCACTCCGAGCCGCGTGTGATGAATAATCTCGAAAATGTTGGCTAAGAAAAGCAGAGCAGCGGCAAATCGATTGGGAACAGAACCCTCAGAGTTGTCAGAATGGGACGTGCAGTAACAAAAGCGTGCTTGTCCAAGGGCCTTCTTGGTCGAAAGCACTGTTTGCTGGCGAGAAAATACCGCGCGCAACGAAAAAAAAAAAAACAACAACAAAAAAAAACCAACAACAACAAACTCTCACCTGCTGGCGCCAACGTGTAGCCGATGGCCGCTACGGCAAGGCCGTGCTTGCAAAAATTCTCTGCCATGAATGAAGACGCATCCTTACTATCAACAAGAAGCATCCACGTTGCACAGGTGAGAATCAAACGATTGTAGCAAACGCTAAAACGAAATCAATCCAAAGCCAAGTGTCACGCCTGTCACTCACTTGAGAAATTGCCAATATCCACCATGGATGTAAATCACGAGCGGGCATTTTGCACGCTGTTCTGGCGTCTTGGCCTCGGGCGGGAAGAAGAGATCCAGCGCGGTTTCGCTGGAATCGGCTGGAATGGCTGCAGCACCACCACCACCACCACCACCAGCAACCTTGGCCTCGAGTGTGCTGTAGCGCACGTTCAACTGCGCAGACTCTGCAAGCACCTTGCGAGCGCGATCCGAACCTAACGAAGCGCGTGGTAGCCATCGGAGTGAGTAACCCTTCAAATCGGTTCACCAGTGTACGTCTCGTATCGTCGTCGCACCATTGACGAGCCAGGCAACATGCTTGTTGATCACTTCGTCCGGCGAGCCGCGGATGCTCCACTGGGACGGCGAGTACTGGAAATCGAGCTCCTGAGGTCAGAATCAGTGCAGTGAGCTCCAACACTCAGCCTCACTCACTCAGAATAGCCACTTTGCTCGGCATTGCGAGCCAGAGAAGCACAACAGTGACAATATGGAGGACGAATGGAGCAAACAACCTTGATATTGAATGTTCGGTAGACTGCTCGATTCGTGTCCGTCATTGGATGGCAAAATGGAAACTGAGCTTTTGTTTGTTGGCCAAAACGACGAATTCAAATCGTGACGACTCCAGTGCCGCGTTCGTTCAATGCATTACAATAGTGGCTCGTTGTAGATCTATGGGGTGGTGGTGGTGGTGGTTGGACGTGAGCTGGCCGTTGTTTGAGCTGTTTCGGCAATGAAACGGGAAATCAGGCCAAATCTCAGATCCTTGGCAAGCCAAATCTCACGCTCTCCTTGCACTACAGACCCCTCGGGCATCAAAAGAACACCGACCAACGCGCTTTTCTTCTTTTTCCCTCGTCTCAGATTTTCACTGCGCAATGGATGGAAACCGTCATTCAGTCATCTTTTCCCATTGTGTTTGTTCCTTTTCCCCAAAATGTCTGCGCCGTATCTGACGCCCGCTCATGTGAAGGGCATGCGAGAGCACAAATACGCGTGCTCGACCAACTCGTACCTTGACCTGTGAGTCAAACGGGAAGCACCTCCAAACGAAAATCCGCCTCACTCACAACGCGGCGTGAACGAGAGCAGAGAGCGAAGAGCAGCGAGAGTGAAGAGAAGGACCAAGCTCGCTCCAATCCCTCTCTCTCTCTCTCTGTCTGGTCGGATGTCCGATTGCCCATCCACTGTCAATGGAGGAGGACCTCGTTGTCAATACAGCGGAACGCACAACAGCTCGCTCATCCCCCCTTGACACACAACAGCTCGAGCTGGGGCGTTCGTTCGCTCGTTCCTACTCTTCATAGTCACTCCCTTTCGTCCCTTTCGTCCCTTTCGTCCCCCCCCCTCTCCTGTTCCCCCCTCAGCCACCAACTCGAGGGGAATGTCTCGTTCTCCTCTCATTTGCTCTTCAATCGGGTCTCTGCGAAACTGAGCCCGCAAACTCAACCTTTGCTCTTCCCCTTCGTCGTTCATGCCTTTTGGATCTCTGTGCTCGTTCCTGCGCCTCGCCTTGTGCACGGGCTCACAAGTCGCACGTTGAATGAATGAACTCGTGAATGACTTTTACATTTCATCCATCAGCCGTCAGCTCAAAACAGCAACAGCATCAAAAATCAAACTTTAGCATTGACTTTTGCATTGCGCACTTTTTTTTTCTTTCTTGTTCCTTGGCTGCTGAGCTTTTTGGCTGAGCTTTGATTGTCGCAAAGCCACTCACTTGTCAAGATGCAGGTGATTGATAAATACTTGAGAGACAGCCGATGTTCAATGGGGAGGAGACAACGCTGCAACGGAACAAAACCAGACTTTCTCAGATTTTTTTCTCAGATTTTGCAAAACAGCATGTGCCGCATCGCAAATCCACTCACACAAACACTCATTGGTATTCTTGTTGATACACAGACATGTCATGGTCCACTTTTGGAATTGGCTGGTCAAGCTCGTCCCGCTGTGGGTCGCGCCAAACCTCATCACCATGGTTGGCCTGATTGTCAACGTCGCCACTTCGGTCATTTTGCTATCGTTTGTACCAACCGGTCAAGGCGAAGCTCCGCGATGGGCCTATGGTGCGTGTGCGCTGGGCCTGTTCATCTACCAGTCGCTCGATGCCATTGACGGCAAGCAGGCCCGCCGCACCAACACGAGCTCGCCACTCGGCGAGCTGTTTGACCATGGCTGCGACTCGGTCTCGATGGCATTCCTTGCGCTTGCCGGCGGTGCGGCCATGTCTGTCGGACCCACATCGACCCTCCTCGTCCTCTCCTTGCTATTCAACTTTATCTTCTTCTGCGCTCACTGGCAGACCTATGTTCGCGGAACCATGATTTTCGGCGTCGTGGACGTGACCGAGGGCCAGATGGCTGTCATTCTGGTCCACCTGCTGACCTTCTTTTTCGGCTCGTCCTGGTGGCTCGAAGAGACGTTCGGCGTCCCGCGCAACATGCTGATTATTGCCGTTTCGTCGTCGGGTATCATTCTCATGTTCTTCCGAACCTTCCAGACCATTGCTCAGCACGACCCCAACAAGGGCACCGTGGCCAACACGAGCGTCGTCTCGCCCATCATCCCGTGCATCATCCTCTTTGTCTGCACGTACATTAGCTACCACAACTCGGCCATCGGCCTGTATCAGACCCACCCGGTCGTCTTCATTTTCGCCTTCTCTGTGTGCTTTGCCAAAATCACAAACCAAATGGTCATTGCACACATGAGCAAGATGCCATTCCCGCTCTACGACCGCGTTCTCCTCGCCCCGATCGCGCTGACCGCCAACATTTACTTTTTCAACTCTGCCGTGGACGAGCTTGTCGCCTTGTATGTCTTTGTCGGCGTGGCCTTGTTCGATCTGATCTGGTCGTCCTACTTTATCTGCAACGAAATGTGCGTGGCATTCGGCATCAAGTGCTTCACCATCCCATACCCTCCTTCTGGTGCGGCCGCTGCCACCTCCTCAGGCCCAGTGACTCGCTCTGCCAGTGCCAAGAGGTCTTGAGCTGCCAAAAAGCAACAAACAAACAAAAAAACAAAATACAGATTGGATTGGCGTCATGTTGGTTTAGTTCTAATCGCCATTGTTGTTGTTGTTGTTGTTGTTGTTGTTGGTAGCTGTCAGTTTTTGAGTGAGGGTGCGAGGCTTCGATTGGTGGCCCGACATGAATCGAGAGCGAGAAACTACATTCACACAAATTTGATACAACAGGGCAAAACAAGAGCCATAGAATCAAGAAACACACCTCCCTCATAATCAACAGCAACAACGACAACAGCACAAGCGCAAGTGAGCAATGGAAGAGCAGAAAGGGAGGACTACAAACAACCAACAACGAAAAACCTCCAGAAGAACCCGGAAATCAAAAATTACGCACTGACACGCTTCAAGGAATGGAACAAGACAAGAAGAGGAAGAAAAAGAAGAAGAAAAATACAACAGGAGTGGACAGTCAAGCCGCTCACAAGGAGACCAAAAAAAGGAGCCCAACAAAACCCTCTAATGTAGCTCGCAGAGCCGGGTACGGGCCTAAATAAACAGTGATACCAATCGCACGAGAACACAAAAAAGAATCGCTTCGGTTTTTCGGAAGAGACGAGGATTACCGACGAATCTCAACTTCAAGGTCGTTGGCGTACATGCGCTCAATTTCGTGCACATACTTGGACTCGATCACGCGACGCTTGAGCTTGTGTGTGGGGCCCAGTTCGCCGCCCGCCACACTGAAATCTTGTGCGAGAATCGTCCACTTTTTGACGGCTTGGGCACGCGAGACACTGCGCTCGATCGTGCGCCGCATGCAGACGTTGATAAACTCTTGCACCTTGCGGTCGTTCACTGCCTCCGAGCTGGTGCGGCAACGAATGCCTTGCTCGGCCAGAATCTCTTGCGTTTCGCGCGTCAGGGTTTCGTAGGGCAGGCCGTTTGCATCGCAGTCTGTTTTCAGGGTGAGCAAGGCCGTCACGTACTTGCGGCCGTCGCCAATGACCAAGGCGTTTGAGATGACTGGAATGGCCTTCTTGATGGACTCTTCGATCGGAATGGGTGCCACGAGCACGCCGCCAGACGTGGCAATCAGCTCCTTGAGCCGGCCAGTCACAATCAGGTTGCCCAGCGTATCGAGCTTGCCGACATCACCCGTCTTCAAATAGCCGTCTTCGTCGAAAGCCTCGGCCGTTTCCTCGGGATCGCGCAGGTAGCCCATAAATACATGTCGGCCGCGCGTTCGGATTTCGCCGTTTCGCGCCTTGTCGCGGTTGGTGAGCTTGAACTCGGTGCCAATCAGAGGCCGGCCGCTGCTTCCCGCGGCAGACCGCAGGCCAAACGTGTGTGCGGCGGGACCAGTGCTCTCCGTCAAACCAAAGACCTCGTCCACAATAATGTCGAGGCTCATCATGAACTGCAGCGCATCCGTGCTGAGCGGGGCCGCGCAGCACGCAGCAACGCGACATTTGGCCAAGCCAGCGTGTTCGCGGAACTCTTTGACCCAGAGCGAGTCGACAAGGCGGCCAAACAGGCCCTTTGAGACTTTGAGCGGCTCGCCTGCAGCGGACGCCGGGATGGCGTTCGGGTGGCTCGAGTGCTGGCCCGAGCCGGTGGTCGGCGGGGTGGAGCCCATGGACGGCAGCGTCGAGAACGAGTTGTTGGCAAGGGCGGCGTCGCTGCCCGTGGTGGCGCTGGCGCGACCGAGGTTTTGCACGGCCAGGTGGCGGCGCAGCATGTAGTTTGCCGCCCACGAGCACAGCTTTTTCCGAAACCATCCCTGCGATTGGTGGAAGATTTTAACGCTTTGCTGGAGCTTTTCCCACATGCGTGGGACGCCTAGCACAATGGTGGGCATGACCTCTCGCATGACCTCGCGGAGACCAGCTCGCAGCGCTTCGGGAGGGGCAAAGTAGACGGCAGCGCCAGAGACGAGCGGCACGTAAATGTCGGTGAGCTGCGACGCGACAAAGCACAATGGCAGACAGCTCACAATGCGGTCTTGGACGGAGGCCCGCATGACCTTGTGGGCGAGCTGCCGGGCCGTCCAGACAAGGTTGTCGTGCGAGAGCATGACGGCCATTGGGTTGCCCGTGGTGCCTGCCGTGTACAAGTAGCCGGCGCAATTGCCTGGCACGAGATTGCCGCAGCGGATTCGCACGTCGAGCTCGCGCACATCCTTGCCGCGGCCGAGAAATTGGTCCCACGAGAGCACCGGGACGCCCTCACACGTTTCCTCAATCTGGCCGCGGTACTGAACGACAATGCGCACGTCGGGCAGACGTGGGATGATTCGCTTGAGCACGCGCAGGTGCTCGGTGGTCTCGACAAACACAATCGCCGTTTCGCTGTGTTTGAGCTGGTACCAGACGGCCTTGGGCGAGCTGGCGCCATAGACGCCCGTTGGGATGCCGCCTGCAAATAGCGTGCCGCTGTTGATGAATAGCCACTCGGGACTGTTGGCGCCGTAGATGGCAACGGTGCGAAAGGGCTCCAATCCGCAGCCAATGACGCCCTTGGCGACAACCTGCGCCTGGTCGTAGTACTCGCGCCACGTCCAGGACTGCCACTGGCCCATGCGCTTGGCGTGCAGTGCAGTGTGGTTTGAGTACTCTCGTGCCGCGCGTTCCAGGGCCTCCATCACGGTCACGGGAGTGGCATCGCCGATGCGAACGTGTACGTCCACCGGCGCGTTCGGCTGGGTCACCCACATTGCCGACTTGCCGCTGCCCGTTCCCGAGCCTCTACTGGCGGCCGGCTGTCGTGCGGACGACGACGTAGACGACGAGAGGGAGGTGATGTCTTCCGAGGCAGCCGCCGTGGCCGCTCTGCTGCTGGTGCTGCGCGATGATGACGCTTCAGCCATCGCCGCCGCCGCCGCCGCTCGCTGAGCCTGCTGCGATGATGATGATGATGCTGATGATGCTGCAGCTGCTCGCTGCTGGCTCTGTGATGGTTGGGCAGCAGCGAGTGCCGCTTCGAGGTCTTGCTTTGCAGTGCTATTGCTCGCCTTTGAGCTTTTGCTGCTCTTACCATTGCCATTGCTGCTGCTGCTGCTGCCACTGTGATGGTGATGGTCCTTGGCCTTGAGCAGCGGCGCCTCGTCGATCTGCTGCGACTTTTTGTGCTTGGGCGGCATCTCTTTCCTTTTGTGTTTTTGCTTTCCTAGGTCTTCAGAGCCGACTGACCAATGGGGGGGGGGGAATCAGAGTAGCGGAAGATGGGAGAGAGAGCGACCAGGTGACAATGGACAAAAAAAAAAAAAATCAAAAATCTAATGCAAAAGCCAAAGGCAAACAGTTGGGGGAGTGAGATTTGAAGGCAGACGAGGGGAGATGTGACAGTGAGCAGCCATTTCAAAAGTGAAGAGAGGGAGAAGAGGGAGAAGGGGAAGAGGGAGAAGGGGAAGAGAGGAGGATGGGGGGGGGGAAGGGTGATCCAATGGAAAAGCAAATGGCAATGCAACGAACATAAGGCCAAAAAGCACACAACCGAAGTCGAAGTGGGGGGGGGGGGACAAAAGTGAGCGATGAGATGGATGATGAAAAGAAATGGGAGGATGTTGGATGAGAGTGGAGATGGGTGGGGGTGGAGGGAGAGAGAGAGAGAGAGATTGAAGGGAAGAGACGTGGAAAGGACAAGAAACGGTGAGGAAGCGTAAGAGCGCAAGACAGCAAAACGAAAGCAAAAAGGCCTTACAAAAGAGTTAACGCAACAACAACAAGAATAAAATGAATGAACTTTGAAAAACTGCATTCATTCATTCATTCACTCATTCCACTTGTTGTTTGGATTGAATCAAGTTGATTCGAGTTCGAGTCATGTTCGCTCATGGAAAACGCATCGTGATGAAGAAAAAAAAAAAAGAAAAGCTAAAACTGAAGGATTGAGATTTTTCGTTCGCTTTCCAATTCAACCACAGCAAGCAACCTCACCGAAGCACAGCGCTGCACAAAAAAAGAAAAAGACTCACAGTGAGATTCTGCATGATTCAGATTTTGGCCACATTTGCTCATGCACCACACTCTTAGTTTCTTGATGTTCAGAATTTGCTGCTCGCGTCTGTACTCGCGCCTCGCAACGCCCGGCCAACGCAGACTCACTGCGTTCTGCTTTCCAGGCCAAGGGACGCAAACGGTCGGAATGGGCAAGGATCTCGCCGATGCGCACCCGGTCGCCCGGCGCACCTTTGACGAAGTGGACGCTGCGCTCAACGACAAGCTCAGCCACCTCATGTTCAACGGTCCACTGGTGCGCAATCTTGTGCACAACATTGGATGAGAATCTTTGTGGTAGTGCTCGGAAATCGCTCACACTGTCTCAAATGTCTCAACGTTTTGACAGGACAAGCTCACTTTGACGGCGAATGCTCAGCCTGCCATTCTTGCACATTCAATCGCCCTGCTAAGAGTGATCGAGGTAACAGACAACCCGAAATGCTGATTCGCATGCTTTCGTGAACTCTCTTCTGTTGTGGGGCGGATCACACTGTGCTGAAACTCACGCCGCGTACAAAAAAATTGGGAAAATTTGTGCAGGAAAAGACCGGCATACTTCCAGAGCAATTTGGGTGCTACCTTGGCCACTCGTTGGGAGAATACAGTGCGCTGGTTGCCACACAGGCGATTTCTCTGTCGGCAGCGGCATCTATTGTTGTATGTTGGCCAATTTTTTTGGGCACAGTCTGCAGATTGGTTGTCAAATGTTGCTCATCTCCTTTTTCGTGGACCGTCCCCCCCCGTCCCCAAACTCGAGTTAGCGCCTTCGTGGAGAGGCAATGCAAGGGGCGTTTCCTGGCACCCTTCGCCCGCGGATGGTGGCGCTCTTGCCAACAACGCCCGCCGCCCTCCAACCGATTTTGCAATCCGTCAACGAACAATTTGCAGCCAGTGCCACGAAAGGGACACCGACCGAGAGTTGTGATATCGCCAACGTCAATACCCCCAAACAGGTCTGGTTTGTACTTCTCGAAGCAGCTGAAGCTTTTGGTTTTGGGGCACGAGTGTCGAAAATACCCCCAGCTGATCGCTTTGCTTTTTTCTTTGTCCTTCGCCGTTGTGCCTTTGTGCCCACACACTCACAACCAAAACAACAGGTCGTCTTGAGCGGCTCTGAAACTGCCGTAGCACGTGTTGTGGATGCCGCACTTTTCAGCAAAGTGGCTCGCCGATCGGTCGACCTGAACATTTCTGCGCCCTTCCACAGCCGATGGATGGCGCCTGCGGCGGATGCTCTTCGTCAGCCCCTTGGCCGCATCAAGTGGCGCGACCCAATGAGTCCGGTGATTTCGAACGTGACCGCCGCCGAGGTTTGGCCAAAGGATTTGCCTGCTGCTTTGTAGTGTGTTGGAGGTTGGTTGCCTGTGCTGCCGCTGATCTAACGATCTACTTTGCGACGTTTTGGCCTTGATTTCGTTCGACTGTAGTGCACGGTGGGAGAGGAGTGGGTGGATCTGTTGCTTCGACAGGTGACAGCGCCGGTTCTCTGGAGCGCTTCCGTTTCGCGAGCTGTAAACCACTTCAAGATTACCAACTTTGTCGAATTGGGTGGTGGCACCACACTCAAAGGCCTCATCTCGCAAATCGATCCTTTGGCAGTCACCAAGTATGTTGCCTTGCTTTGCCTGTTGCATGGATCGACGAAAAAAAAAAACTGTTGCACAACCCGAAAGCGAGCTTCTAACGCAATTATTTGGTGTTTGCTTTTGACTCACAGAACGACTGCCTCGCTTGAAGAATTGGAGCTGTTGATTCGAGATTTAAATGCATCTTAGGTGATACAGTATATTGTGAAACAATGAACAAAATTCATTTGCGTGACTGCTTCCAAACTTCAATAACCCAAGCGATCATTGAGCGAGGTCCGTCCATCGCCGCTCTGCCCAGAAGGAGGAACCCACTCGTCAATTTCGCCTTCATCCTGGAACGAGGGCGCAGGAGCTGCTTTGGGTTTGGGTTTGCTAGCTGCTGCCTTCGGCGCTGCTTTGGGCGGAAGCATTGCTCCGTACTTTGGCGGCTGGGGAATGTCATCGGCGCGCTCAAACGCATCATCCTGGACGTCGAGCCTGGCAAGCTTTCGCGGCGGAGCGTGTGCTTCGGACGATGCTTCTTGAGCAACGCTGTCCGTCTCGAGCAAGCGCTTCCCTGGAACTATGGCAGGGGCAGCAGCATCAACAGCAGCTACTGCGACATTCAACGAAGGGGGCTCGCTTGTGGTTGTTGTTGGCGGCGGCGGTGCAGAAGAAACTTTGGGTGCAGCGGGAATCGCAAACGCCCCTCGCACCTTGACAGCAAGTGGCGCGGAGGTGGCTGCAGTTGCCTCGTGTGCACCGGCCGTGCGCGCTGGTACCTGCGCGGCGGTGGTAAAGGTGGTCGGTTTGGCAATCTGAATCATTTTCTCGACCTTGCGGGTTTCGACGCTGAGGTCTTGCAGTTGCTTGCGCAGTTTCAGCTTTTCTTCCTTTGGCAGCGTGGCCGAGACTGCATCCATGTAGGCGTCCAGTGAATCGCCCGATGATCCACCAGCCTGAATTTGTTTGCTGTGTGCAGCGTCTTCAGCCAGGCGTGCCTCGATCGCCGCTATCTCTTGCGCAAGTTCCTCCCGACGAACAAGCAGAGTGTCGTACGTGTACACGATAGATGACGAAGAGTTAGCTTGACTCGACGTTGCTGGAGTCGCCAATCCCGACTCTGTTGCTTGCTGTTGTTGTTGCTGCTGTTGTTGGCGCTGGCGACGAAGTTGGCGTTTGCGCTCCATCTCGCCCGAGGCGTCATACATGGTGTCGTCGTCGTCGTCGTCGCTGTAAATCTCTTCGCCATCGCTATCCACGAGTCGACGCGGCCTGTTGCGGAAGGAGCGATGACCGGAATCCAGATCTGCTCCGGCGTCTGCGGAGCCCGCGCCTCCCTTGTTGGAGTTTGAGGCAGCGTGTCCAGGTTGGAGTAAATCCAACTGATCCAGTTGCTTACATGCTTCGAGCGCAGCGGCCCGCTCGGCCTCGCGCTTCCGCCCAGCCGTTTCCTCGATTTGAATCCAACCAGAGGCGGCCGTGTAGGACGGCACTTTGATGCGGGCAGTGTAGTTTCGGTCATGACCAGGGCCACGTTCCTCCACATCAAAGTTCATGTGAAGGCCTTCGCGGTCAAAGAAGGCGCGCAGGGCCTTTTTCGGGTCTTTGAAGTAGTATCGCTGCTTGCCTCCCAAACCGTCTCCGTTGCTGTCGTCGTCGTCGTCGCCCCCAAACACAATCTCGCCACTTTGCTTGTACTTGGAGATGACGTCCGCATCGCTGAGGTTCTCGCGGGATGAGCCCTGCGTTGAAGGTCGGTTGCCCATTTGTTTCGAAAAGCTCGACAGATTGTTGGCATTCCTGTGGTCGGCCTGTTCCAACCGCGCGCGCCGGTTGCTGTCTCGCGCATCCTCCTCGTCGCCGTACATGGACGCCGCATTCACATGGCGAGCGGATCCGCTGCGATCCGAGTCAGCGTCGTCGTCAGCATCGGCCTGGCCTTCAAACTGGCGCGGGGCGGACGAAGCACTGCTCATCCCATCGTGATCGTCATCGTCCGCCAAGCCCCACGACACGCCCTGTTCGTTCTCCTCGTCGTTGTCGTCGGTGGCTTTGCCTGATGAGCCGGCCTGTCTTGCATCTAATGCTCGCTGTCGCGATTCTTGCTCCATTTCTCGAAAATCAAGGTCCATGCGCTCGTCGTCACCGCCATCGCCACGTGCTGCGCGCTGTTTTGCCAATGCTGCAGCTCCCGCAAATGCAGACACGTGCGGCTGCGCAGTTGTTGTTGTTGCTGCTGCTGCTGGCCGACGCTTTTGCTGCGACGTTTCTTCTGCATGGAGCTCATCCTCGCTGACGGGCCCACACAGCACGAGCATGCGCGTCGAGTCGCCAAACTGCATCAGATGGCCGACTTGCACTCGCACAAACACCTTTGGCTTGATGGGCGTCTTGTTGACGAGCGTGCCATGGGTGCTTGCCATGTCGTACAGGTAAAATTTGCCAATCTCAGCAGCATCGTTCGGGCCGTCCTCGGCTTCGGCTGCCGACTCGGCGGGTGCGTCTGTCCTGTACTGCAGCACGGCGTGGTACCGCGAGATCGACGGGTGCTCCATCGCAATATCGCAGATGGGCAGTCGGCCCACCGTGAAGAAGCTCTTGTCTCGCAGCGGGATGGTCTCGACAATGCTCCCGCCCTTGATGACCTCCAGCATGAACGACAACTGGCTTGGCACAGCACGGCCGCCCCACGCGGGCTCCGAGTAGTTGAGCGGCGGCGCAGCAGGTGGCGCGTTTGCATTGACTGGAGCAGCGTTGGCTTGAGATGGCGCTTGAGCCAGAGCTTGGGCCTGAGCCTGTGCTTGAGCTGCAACTTGCGGCAGTGCAGGCACAGCAAACGTCGCTGCTGAGCTTGCATTGCTCGGTGCTGGCTGTTGTGGCTGCTTTGGAGCCGCTGGGCGCACGGGCAGCGGGGCTGCAAAGGTCATTCTTCTGGTGTGTGTCAAAGAAGGGGACTGAGTTGAGTTGCCGATCAAAGCGAGATCAGTAGCGTGTGTGTGTGTGTGTGTGTGTGTGTGTGTGTGTGTGTGTGTGTGTGTGTGTGTGTGTGTGTGTGTGTGTGTGTGTGTGTGTGTGTGTGTGTGTGTCTGTGTGTAATAGATGGATGTTGACAACACACGACTGTGCTTTTGCTCACTTGCGACCAATTCTCCAATGCTTCTCTCAGCGTTACGTGCTTTAGCTCTGCAGCTGTGCAGAGTTTTCCAAGATTAAACAATGATAACAATCAGTCTTTGTTTTTGCTTATTTGTGTTACCAAAAATGGCGCTGCTGCGATACAACTATTCGTTTGCGGTTTTCCTTTTGATTGCTGCACTCTGCGTCCCGTCGGCGCGGTCGTGGTGCTTCCCTCCTTCCGAGCGTCGTAAGAATCCGCACACAGCACACACGCACACCCCACACACTGTGACTACATTGTGCCGTATGCGTCCTGAAGCAAGATGGGGCCCGATGCGACGAGAGGGAGGCATACAGTATTCGACATTATCAAAGGCCGCCTCCTTCCGGGCTCACCTCCTCCCATTGACCGCAGCGCAATCCCGCTTCCCCACAACTCCACCCCCTCCACACACCCTCACACAACAGCCACACACACCAGTACACACCTACGCATTCACTGACGCGAGCGCAGCCGTGCTTTTCACATCCCGACGGAACAAAACAAAAACGCAATGGGTCGATTCGCGATAAACAAAAAAAGCGAACCAAACCGCTTCGACTCTTTGTTTGTTTCCCCAGATGGTGGCTGCTGCCTCTCTCTTCTGCTGTTCGTTGCCCACCACCACCACCACCACACACCCCGCCCTCTGAGACGTAACTCTAGACTCATCACGCTGCTGTTGCATGTGGGGACTGCAAGCCGTGCGCCACCGAGATTGTTTTCAACAAAATATGACACACGCGTGCGTCGGTTTATTTTGATCGTGCGCGTGGCAAGGCAATGAAGCGGTTAAATCTGGATTTTGCGGTTGGCCATTAAGCAGCGTTTTGTGATTTACCACCAAACCACCATCACAAATGTATCACACTAGAACTTGAGATGCAGCACAAAAGCCATTTGCGCAGAACGCACAACCAAGGAAAGGAAAACAAAACAAAAACCGACAGAAGACATGTTCGAGGTTGGTGACAAAAGTCAAAAAAAAAAAAAGAAAAAAAAAAAAAAGAAAAAAAGAAAAAAAAAGGGGCGGGAATGGCGTGGCGGCGAAATAGATAACAATCCGACAGACAGAACAGCGCTCAATGCTGAAAATAGCGAGGAATTGGCATTCACGCACGCTCAAATTGATTGGAGACACAGTGCGACAACAACAACCACAAAAAAAGCCGCAGAAGATGCGCAAGAGCAAACTGAACTTGGAGCATTGCGGCGGAGGGCCGAGCAGTGAGCCGTGTGTGTTGCGCTGGGAACACAAAGTGGGAGAAAAGGGGGTTTGGTATCAAGAAGCGAAAGCGAGTCTGATGTTGCCAGAGCAATTGAAGAACAAATGAGTAATGCGCGAGAATTTCTCATCCTGTGAGGTTTTTTTTTGTTTGTGTTTTTTTGCTCTTGTTTTCATTCAATGTTGCAGGAGCGCTGCGCACAGACCTCGAGCCGATTCGCCTGGCTTCGGGCGGCTGGGACGGCGCGATTGTCGACAACGTGTTGGCCACCATTTTGCTCCAGGTAAACAATATGGGCGCGCGCGTTGTGCTCGTTTTGCCGTTGGGTACAATGGAATTTTTGAATTGATGCGAAATGGGGGAGCTAACACGACGCAACTATAAATAAATAGGAAAAATTGGGCATTCCAGCCACAACTGTGAATGTGGATAATCTGTCCGATGAAGAAGTCGTTGAAATGCTGAATCGCGGCGAAGTCGACGCCTACCTCGAGCTGTGGGGACTGGACGATGTGCTCGCCCCCTTCCTTGCCTCCCAGACTGTTCAAAACCGTAAGGCTGGCGGGCTAGGTTGAACTTGATGGGGTTGAGTTGCAAAAAGAACTAACTAGTTATTCCTTCTTGGACTGGCTTTCTGCCGTCCTGTAGTTGGCCCCCTTGGTTTTGTTGCTCGCTTGGGTTGGTACATCCCCGACTATGTGGCCAACATTAGCCGCTCTATGACCAGTTACGACGCGTACTAGTAAGTGGTCTCTCCGACCTGCAGTGCTAACATGACATGCGTTCAGCCTGCTCACTATTGGAATGCTCACTGTTTGTTTGCTCTTTGATTATCTTGCCAAAATCATCACCGCGCGACACCAGCTTTGCCGAAACGGTCGAAATCTTCCAGCGGGAAACCATCAACTCGTCAACCTCGACTGCCGACACCATGACTTCGTTGAGCGTGGCAAACTCCGTCGATGACACCCTGAACAGCGATGTGTGCAACCCAAGCAATGGATCCGCAACACTGCAAGACTGTCACGACGCCCTCTCCGCCCTGGTCGAGCAGGTGCGCGAAACCAACCGCTTGCAAGAAAACAACACTCAGCTCATCACCTTCTGGACGCCTCCGGCGTACTGGTTGCCGTTGGACGCGACCATTGCTCGGAATCTTGGCCTTCCGTTCAACGTGACCGACATTCCCATGATTCCTGAAGATGGCAACGATGTTGAGGGCGCGATTGTGCGCAATGTTCACGCGGCGTATGCAGCCCGCAAGCCCTTCATTACGTACTTTTACAAGCCCCACTCCATCTTCTCGTCCATCTCTGGCGTTGGGCTTCGTCGAGTCTCGCTCCCCGAGTACACCGAAGAGTGCGCGGCTTGTAAGCTCTCGTTGGATTTTGCCGTTTGTTTGTTTGGTTGTTTGTTTGTTTGTTTGTTTGTGTCCTGCTATAGAATTGTACTCACCTTGCTTCTACTTGCAAACAATCCTCTCCCTGTTTCCCTGGCCCGCGTTTTAGTGGGCGACGGATACAACTGCGACTACCCCTCGGAAATTGTCAAGAAGGTGGCCTGGGCGGGATTGAAGCGGAAAAACTCGGTCGCGCATTCCTTCCTGTCCCAGTTGACCTTCTCCGAGTACGCCCAGCAGGACATTGTTGCTGCGTATGTGTACCAGAACAGGACCTTCGAAGAGGCCACCTGTGCATGGTTGCTGGACAACCGCGCGGCGTGGGAGAGCTTGTTGCCCGACCCAAACACGCTCATCACGCCAGCATCGACGTCCTCAGCTGCCCGCGTCGCCCTGTTTGTTCTCGCTGGCCTTATTGTCCTGCTTTGCATGATCATGGGACTGATGACCTGGCATTTCCGCCGCATCCGCATCATCCAGTCGGCCAGCCCCACGTACTTGCTGCTCATCTTGTTTGGCGCCGTCATGTCCATGCTCTGGATCTTCCTGGACTATTCGGATGACCCAAGCACCGCCCAGTGCACGGCGCGTGTCTGGATGCGCCATCTGGGCTTTAGCATCATGTTCACGGCGCTCTTCCTCAAGACATACCGAATTGCGCGCGTGTTCAAGGCCACCGTCACCAAGTCCACACCCCTGAATGATCTTCGCTTGTTCTACCACTTCTTGCAGATGAATGTGGTTATGGTTGTCGTTCTCGTCATCTGGACCATTGTCAATCCTCCGCATGCCGACCAGCTCATCTCGGGAAACGAAAGCTACTTGGTGTGCGTCATTTCTTGGTGGGACAATGCCATCTACATTGCGGAGGTCGGCTGTCTCGTCGGACTTGCCGTGGTCTGCTTCAACGTTCGCAAGGCGCCCTCCGCGTTCAACGAGTCCAAGTTTATTGCCCTGTCTGTCTATAACTGGATTGTGGTCGCCGTCATCTTGCAAATCATCCTGCGTGCCACGACCGGCAATGCCACATTCTTCTTCATTATCGAGGCGCTCGAGATCTTGCTGACAGTCCCGATCATTGTCGGTCTGCTTTTGGTGCCCAAGCTCTACCTGACGCTCAAAGGAAAGGGTGGCGAGGTGAGCACGAGCAGCTACCGCGCTGCGTCCACGCCTCGTCCCCATCAGTCTGGCGATCGCTCGTCCGCCAAGAGGCAGGACATTGAAATGTCCTCTGGCAACGGCTCCGATAGCGTCGAGCAACACACCAGCCAGAAGCAGAGCAGCTCGATGGGGCCTGTTCCTGCAACCAGCAGCAAAGCCGATCAGAAGGAGCTCCGAGCGCTGCGCACCGAAAATGCTCGCTTGCTCAAGGAGTCGGAAGCAATGCGCCTCCAACTGTTGCGTATGAACAATCCGCACATGTCGGAGTGAGCGGTGCCTTTCCAAAGAATGCCCGCAGGCGGATGGAAGCATTGGAAGGCCCCGCTCGGCCAGAGTGTACATTGTTTGTTGACGTTGGATTGTTTTTTGACTTTTCTTTGTTTTGTTGTTTTGTTTCGGCTCGTTTCAAGAGGAGATTTTCATTGTTATAGTTGCTGCTGTTTGTTTGCTATTGCTGATTGAACATTATAGATGCGTTTTTTTCTTGTTGTGTTTTCATCCATTCTGCTTGATCATGCTAAGTTGTATTGGTGCGTTTTCTCAGTCACTTTTCCTTGTTTTTTTTTTTTTTTTTTTTTTTTTCAAATTTCGGGTTGCTGTTGTGCTGCTGCTCAATAATGCAGTCGTCGTCGGGAGCGGCCTGCGCCCAGTGCATCCAGCTGCTGGACGAGCACCGCGCACTCACCGAGCAACGCAGCGCCGAGGGACAGCGTGACATCCAGCGACTGCTGACCGAGGCGAGGCTGGCGAAGGAGGCCGACGAGCGATCGAGACAGGACTTGCGGCTGCTGCAAGGGATTTACACGCGCCGCGTCGCACAGCTGTCCAAGGACATTGACATCCGACAGATCAAGATCGACCAGCTGAAGGCGGCGTTGCGGCGGCGGCGCGCAGGCGGTGGCGGTGGACTGTCCCTGCACGACCACCACTCTCAAGGCGTCCTGCTGAATGGACTGAATGGATTGAACGGGTTGCTCCTCGAGGACGACGATGACAATGACAATCACGACGACCACGGACAACCAGCGTGGAACAGTCATAGTAGTGCCAATCACGCTCCTCACGAGCTGGACATTACCCACGATATTCCGGCGAGCAGCGACGAGGATAGCGCAGAGGCAAGCCGCGATGACAATCTGCTCGAGGAGCTCGACGACTTGCAGCCGCAGCTCGATCATGCCGTGAATGTGCCGCTATCCGATCAGCATACGCGCGCAAACCGAGCATCGGATGGCGAACACCTCAACTTGTCGAGTGTCCAGCTGAACGCGTTGGGCAGCGACGGCACAGCTCACAGCAACGGCGCTTCTGGCTCGTTCCCTGACACGGCTGTGTCGCCACTCGTCTCGCTTGGGATGGCCGAGTTTGCCAGCTTGCAGCAGTACAAAGCAGCGTGGGAAGAATTGCATGCACAACATGCCGAGCTTGACGACAAGCACGCGAATCTCAGCGCGCACTACGATTCTGCCCTGGCCGAGTTGAAGCAGGTTGAAAGTCAGTGTGCCACGTTGAAGTCCGTGGCGGAGAGCCAGAAACATGTCTTGAGCGCAAAGGAAGATGAGTATCGCAAGCTCGAGGCCCAACTCCAAACGACCGGCCGCAACATTGCCACCTACCGAGGACAGATTGAGCAATTCCGCGCGACTGCCGAGCTGGGCAAGCAGGAGTTATCCGATGCACGGGCCGAAGCTGCCAAGCTGCGAGAGGAGTTGCGAGGAGTCCGACAGAATGCTGAACAACGGTTGAACGACCAGCAAGCGCAATTTCAAAAAGACGCCCAGAACCACGCGGCCAAAGTGCAAGAACTGCAGGATGCCATTCGTCAACAGGCAGCACAGCTGCAGCAACAGCCGGTGCATGACGCAGACCATGCACTTGTTCAGCAACAGCGGCAGCAACTCGAGCAGCTACAAACCCAACTCCAGCAGCGGCAAACCCAAATTCAACGGTATGAGGCGCAATTTCAGCAGCAACAAGCCCAAATGCAACAGCTGCAGCAGCAACTTCAGCAGCAACAAGCACAAATTGAGCAGGACGGGGCAAATCTGCAACAACAAGCGTCGCAAATGGAAGAGCATTATGTCACAATCCAGGAGCAACAAACCCTGATTGGAGATCTTCAAAATCAACTGAATCTGTACCAGGGAGAGCGCGAGCAACAAGCCAAGCAGCACGACATTCAAATTCAGCAGCTTCAAGCCAGCCTTAACGACTTGCATGCCCAGCTGCGGCGACACCAAGTTCAAGAGCAAGAGCTGCAAGCCACAATCCAACACCAGCAGTCGCAGTTGCAAGAGTATCGTCTTGAACGAAAGAATCAGTGGCAGCACTCGAACGGTCCTGAAGACGAGCAACAGCAGCAGCAGCAGCAGCAGCAGCCAGGTTTTGCAACGCCTGCTCACCACAGCAAGGAGGCTTCCCAATGGGATGCAAGTCCAGTGGCGACTCCTTCTGATGGTAAAGAAACAAGAATCGTGCAAAAGCTGCTTCCAGATTGGCGAGGGGGGTGTTTTGTTGTTGTTGTTGCACGTTTTTCTCAACCATTGTTCCTTTTTTTCCGATTTGGTTCCATTTACAGTTCTGGCCAAACTTGACGACGATCGAAGGCAACTCCGTGACTCAATCAAAAAGTTCAAGCAAGCAAACTCCCCTCAAGCAAAGGCGCCGAAAATTTTGACAACGCAATCCCGGGTTGCCGACCATTCTCCTCGTCAGCTCGCTTTCAATCAAATACTCAAGAAGGTACCGCGACTCACTCCCTCAACTGGCAGCAGTTTAGTGCTCTGTTCTTTTTGTGCAGGTTGTTGTGACTCACGTTCGCGCACTTTTAATGCACTTATCGCAGATGGCCGACCCGTCAAAGTCGTTACCTTCTGCTGAGCACTCGCCACTGTCGTCTCCGACATTGCGTGCGCGGGCAGAGCAGCACCGTGTGGTCGAAGACTCCAATTCTGCTAGTCTGTCATCGCGAGGCTTGTTTGATCAGCCGCACCTCAGCCTTCCCTCACACCAAGTTGTCGAGTATCAAGTGGCTTCTCCAAGCGGGTTTGTGTAGAATGAGAGCCAAAATGATTGTTATTCAATAATTCTATGACCCCCCGATTTTGCTTATTGGGGGTTTGAAAAACTCGAATTCTTCGTTGAAGATATTTTTTTTATAAAAGGGGATAATGAAATTCACGACAAGCCAGCAACAACAACAACAAAAAAAAGTACAACCAAAAGCACAAGGCCATTTGTTTAAAAATACTCGGTCCGAATCAAAATAAAGCGGGGATGTGGAAAACAATGGTGTTTGCAAAAAAGCGAAGAGAAGGCGTTTGATCTGGGAAGAAAAATGTCAAACAGGGGAATCAAAGGATAGCAAGGCATCATCCCACAATACTGCCGGAGTTTGGGGATGACAATCTATGCCAAGTAAGAAGGTGCAAGAAAAGAAGAAGAAGAAGAAGAAGAACAAAAAACGAAAAAGAAAACCCAAAAAGAAAAACAAGGCCAAGAAGGCAACGAAAGTGCCAGGAAATCCGACCCTGTTAGCTTCGCATTGGCTCAGCAGACGAGGTTTGAGGCGCAGGGGCAGGGACGGCAGCCGACGGAATTACAATGGGAGGATGCTTGAGCTCTTGCGACGTGCGCGCTTGATACCGAGCTTTCCAGCGCTCGATATTGCCCAGGACTTGCTCAAACATAAACTTCATGTCGTTCGTCGGAATTGTGCGACAGAACGAGTCAAACAGTGGAATGACGAAAAGCGTGATGAATGCAACCTGGACCTGCTCCACATGCGTGGTGATGCGATCCATGTTCATCGAGATCTTCATGTTGCGGCGACGCTCTTCATCACCTGCCAAAGAAAAAGAAACAAAAAAAAAAAAAAAAAAAAAAAAAAAAAAAAAAAAAAAAAAAAAAAAAAAAAAAAAAAACAAAGGCAACATCACACGAGAACAAGCAATCAGTGGGGTCAGCCAAGTTTCACAAACACTTCCCTCTCTCGGTCGGCCGCCGCAAAAGAAATCCAGCGCTCCAGATCCACATTTCATACCTTGTGTGAAAAACTCGTCAATGACCCGCTCGGCCCAAGCCTCGCAGAGGTTCCAGGGTCGACAGGGGTTGCTGACATCGGCACATTTGATTGAAATTTGAAGGAGCAGGACGCGATCGGTGGGATTGGCAAGCGGGTCAAAATTGCGCGAGGCGAGACGCGCATTGAACGCCGAAACAATTCGTGCGTGATCGCTCATGTCTGTGGCCAGAACAAGCGCAGCGAGAAGCGTGCGGACGCGAAGCGCATCGTTCTGGTCGAGCGAGCTCAAGAGATCGGCAGGTCCCGGCACGAGGAGAGCAGCTGCAGCGCCGCAGTGGTGCTGCTCGAGCGTCGACTTGGTGCCGTGCAGCTTGGCAAGGGGATCTTGGGTGTTGACCAAGAAGGCGTTGGTGAAACCGGGATGATCCATGTCGTGCACAATGCATGCGAGCAGGAGAGCCATCACCTCGCAGGGCTCAAGCACGCCAAAGAGCGGAGGTTGGATGACAAAATGATGCATGATCTGAAGCACATCAGCAGCATGGGTGGCATTGTGGTACGAGTTGCTCTGATAGCTCGTCTCCACCTCGTTCAAAAAGTAGCGGAGCTTGACGATATCCAAGTTGAAGCGCGACACCAATCCGTGGCGCTCAAACAAGTACATGCCAAGGAAGAACAAGGGTCGGCCGTTGGTCACGCGCGCGAGCTCAAACACATCAAACGAAATCAGATCAGCGTCACGCAGGACATGCAGCACGCCATCGCTTGCGCCCTGCAGCACGAGAACAGACGAGCCCTTAGCAACACGCGTGTAGGCATGTGCCGAGGCCGCGACTTCGAGAAATTCGGCAGGCCGTCGGCGAGCAGTGCCGAGCTTGCTCCGTCCAGGCCAAGTCAAGCTCTTCTGCAGGGAGAGGAAGCGGACTGCGGAGGGGTCCTTTGCTGGAAATGTCTCGCTAGCGGACGTGGGCATGCCCGTCCACATGAGCTGCGACGCGGAGCGGAAATGCTCCAAGCGCGAGACAGAGGAGGACGGCACGATGGTGTGCCCGTTACTTGACTGCGTCGATGCATCTGCGTCTTGGTTCATTGGCGCCGTGGTGGTGGTGGTGGTGGTAATACCAGGTTGCGCACCATTCGACAAGTCTGCAGCCAGAGCAGTCGCGCGAGCACGGACGGTGGGCATTGAGTGCCGTGAGGGATCAACCGTCATCGCAAGACGGCTCGCAGTGAAAGCACCGTCCGAAAACTCGGACGTGGGCATGCGCATGATCTCGGCCGTCGCGCAACCAGTGCCGCGAATACCAATTGCACGTGAAACGAACGCCGTCCAAGCACTCCAGTCGTTCACAGCCGGTCCCGAGATGGACGTCGGAGTTCGCGCCGCGCTTCCGTTGTCAGGTGTCATGCTCGAGTAGGCATACGAGATGGCATCGGCCGCAGCAATAGCAGCAATTTCGGCGGGCGAGGGTGGAGGGGCCGCGGCTGCTGTTGCTGCAGGTGCTGTTGAGGCTGCGGCAGCGTTATTAGCAGCAGGAACGGTGCTGGGCTGGGATGTCGAGACAGTAGGTGGCTGTGCCACAGAGGAGGAGGAGGAGGAGGAAGAAGAAGAGGAGGATCCCCAGGATGCTGGTGTTGAAGAAGCACTTGGGGCAACCGCAGAAACGGGCGTCGAAGTTGACGGTGGCTGGGTGGGTGCGGAAATCATCATGTCCCTCGGGTTGACACCGGCGAAACAACGATTGGGGCGCCGTTGGGGCATGCCAGAGCGAATTGAAGGGGAGAAGGATTGAGTGGAAGGGGTGGAAGGGGTTGAAAAAGGCAAGCCAAGGGATGCATGTTGGTCTGGCGGCATGGTGGCAGCATAGTTCAATTCCATCTGCTGGGCACACTCGACCGCTTGTCGCAGCATTGGCCCATGGCAGCGGCAGTGATCCTGTGTATGGGGGTGGCTAGTAGTAGTAGTAGGCGCGGAGACAGACTGCCGCCGTCGTGGCTCCAACGATGAATTAGAGATTGCTGACGAGCCAGCGCCCATAGTGCGATGTGGTGATGATGATGATGATGATGACGGCGACACCGAAGCGGCGGCCGGTTGTAGTTGTTGGGTGCGACCAGCCAGCGCGAACGGGCGCACAGACGGTACTGGCACTTCATCTTCAACACGAGCCCGTTGGGCACGGCGCGGCGAGGCCGATTGTTCATCCGCGAGCGATCGGCGCATGACTGTTCTGTGCTCTCGTTCTCTGAAGCGAGGGGAGAGAAATCAAGGGGCCTGGGCGAGTACGAGGAAGAAGAAGAAGGAGGAGGTTTGTTCGGATCCGGCCTTGGATGCAGCAGATAGGCGAATGTGACCGAGATTCAAAGTCAAGCCAACGCGAGCTGGCAAGTCAAATAGATAGGGATCTGGCGAGGTGAGCAGAAGCAGCAAAGAAGCAAAAGAAGCAGAGGAAGGTGAGCAAACAGGAACGGAGAACAGCACGGCAATGCCATCTCGGCACAAGAATGCAATGACTGCCTGAATGAAACGACAACAAGCAAAACCACTCTCAGCCGCCGCCAAACACCAACCGACCGGCGGGTGCGCGAAGTGAAGTGGTTGATGAAGGCACAAAGTGGCAAACGGCAGCACGCTCATCTCAGTCCCGCTCTCAAAGTCAGTCTGCTTCGAATACGTCCACTTGTGCAAACAGCAACAAACACCACCCCCCTCTTTAGTCAAACCAGAGGCAAGACGACAGAACGAAGCAGCAGTGAAAGAAAGAAAAAAAAAAGAAAAAAAAGAAAAAAAACAAAGAAAAACGGTTGAATTTTTTTTTTTTTTTTTTTTGCGTTTCGTTTGCTGTGGTGCGATTTCAAACGTCAGACAACGCCATCCATCACCACTACCGTCTCGAATGGCATATCATCGCATTGAGCATCGCAACCAAACAAGGGGAGAAGGGGCGCATTGGTCTCAAAGAAAAAAAAAAAAAAAAACAGCAAAATCCCACAGCAACCAAACCGTCTCGCTCGACTTTGGGGGGTTTTGCACCTCCGCCATCGCTGCTTAGCTTGGATCTCCAACGAAGGAGGGGGTGACACTCATCGGCCGTGTCAAGTGCATTTGAAGGCGGTTGTGGTGGTAAAGTGCGTGTGTGTGGTGTGTCTGTCAAGCGTCCCAAAGCACAAAAAAGAGCCCCCTTTCCTTCACAACGCTCTGAAAAAAAAAAAAAAAATAATTTAAACGCAATGGAAAAGCCATAGAAAAAAAAAACAGTTAAAAAAAAAAAAAAAAAGAACAGATCTCGCGTTTTGAGGCCAAACGCGAAATCCACAAGAGAAAAGACCATCCGCTGAAGACGGAGAATGGCAAGGCGCAAGGGTCAAAGATCGACGAAGGCGCAGCGCGGAGAACGACACAGCAAAAAGCCAGGGAGAAGAACAGTCAAGGGGAAAGCAAAAAAAAAAAAAAAAAAAGGGGGCCCGGAGGAGGGGGATTGGAGCGACCAATGGTAACCGACTGGGGTCCTCCCCGCGTCTCGCTCTCCCCGGCATCTCATGAGAGGGAGAGAGACGTGCCAGCAAGCACAAGGAAAGAGGAGGACCGGGTGAGGCGAGGCGGGGAGGGGAAGGGGGGGGGGAAGGGAAAAGGCAGCGTTACAGAACAACAACAACAACAAAAAAAAAAAAAAAAAAAAAAAAGGAAAAAAAAAATACCCACAAAATGAACGACTGAGAAATGGCTTGGATTTTGACTCAACAAGAAAGATCTAAAATAAAAATACAACTTTCATATTACAAATACAAAAAATAATAAACAGAAAAAAGGTCATGATGCGTTGTTTTGTTTTGTTTTTGGCTACACCCAAGCTTGCCAGCCGTGGTACATGAACGCAAGGTTGTCCGGACTGATGGCTTGTTGGATGAGAAGACTGACTTGGCCTTGAACACTCAGCGGAACACCATCCTCGTAGCCCTGCAGCTTTTGCTTGCATCGGATGAGGACACGCTCGGCTTGCTGGTTGCGCTCGACGAGATCAACCTCCTTGGCGGAATCGATCATTGCGCCGTCCTTGTCGCTGTTGCTGCCGCTGGACACCAACTCTCTGGGTTCTGGCTGCTGCGGCTGTTGCATCTGGGCCGCCTTCTCCGCACTGATCGTCCAGTTGAACAACGGATCGTACAGCAGCACCTCGAGAATGGTGAGGAGCTGTGTTTCACGCGCACGCATGACAGTCATGGTCTCCTCTGAGCAGCGGCGGAAGGTACCTTCAATGCCAGACACACCCATTCCATCCACCATGTCGCGGGTCAAGCGGAAGGGCACGCGCTCTGGAGTTCTCAGGATTTTCCCCTGATCGAACGCAACCCCAAAGTCAATGTGAACGACCTCGGCCGACTTTTGGTCCACAAGGAGGTTGACAACGTGGCGGTCCCCGAGGCCGACAATATAGCCAATCATGCAGGAAACGGCGACGCTTCGCGTGTAACTCAGCCGACGAGCATACCAGGAGGCTGGATCGGCAAAATGCTCAAAGAAAAAGTGACGAAACACGGGCTTGAAGCGGTTCAGAATGTCCAAGAAGCACTTGAGACGCTTTTGCTCTGCTCTGGCAATCAGGGCATCGAGGTGCTTCTCTTGGCCTGGTGCTGCTTTGCGCCTGTCGTCGCGAAGTTTGAGGGCAGCTTCTGCGGCGCTTTTGATTATTTCGGAGCAGGCTTGCTTTGACAGGTCGCTCGGACGGAAGCGTTCGTGGGCCGAGGGACGACCCGTGCTGGACCCGACCAGATAATCTCCAAATGCGCGAGTGTGCTCGACAAACTCAAGAACACCGCTCTGCTGCGAAAGCGGAACGATTCGGTACGTGCGCATGCGCAGACGCCGCGCTCGCGTCTTTGGGTCATTGGCAAGCAGCCGGTTGACGAGAACAAACACTTGCTGCATCACAGCGTCTTGACGGAGATCGTCATTGCCTTTGGCGATTTGCTTGTACCATCGCCCATCGGTGCCGCGGCATGTCAAGATTCTCGGTTTGCTCAGCCCACCTGCGATTGTCACAGTGGTCCCAAACTCGCTCACAAAGACGACCCGCGTCAAGTGTTGCATGCGGTCTTGTCGCACGCCTGCACTGCCATCATTTGTTGAACGGCGGCGACCGGGATTACGGTCACTTCCGTCGCTACCATCCTCCTCCTCCTCCTCAGCCTGGTCATAGTTGCCATCTTGATGGACAGGAAGCGTAGCGGTGAGCAGGGGTAGCTGATCCTGGGCAGACAGTTTGAGGAAAGGCGCGGGAATCTCGTGCGTCTTGTTTGGATCCAGACCGTGCGGTTGGTTGATCAGCCGTCGATACAAGTTGCACATTCGCTGGACACGAGCAACAACGTCTGCGGTCGCTTTGGTGTCGATACTGCTCGAGCGCCGCCCAACAGCACTCGGTTGGTGGTGGTGGTGGTGGTGGTCGGCATCCCCAACAGCCTCGAGCGGGGAGAATCGTCGCATCGCCTCGGCGTTTCGATTTCCTCCCGCTTCAAGCGCCTTGGTCACCCGAGAAATCATAATGATGGCAGCTTTCGTTTTCGCCTCATCGGTGGAAATCAAGTGCTTGTGCGAGGCGTTGTCGTACGGGTCGCTCAGCGCCAAAACAATCGGCACGGTGTGGTAGGGATGGTCGATCGCGCAACGATAGATGATGCTCTTTAGCACACCCTGGAAGGCGGGCATGCGGCGCGCGGACGAGCTGATGCTGCCGTGTGCAAGACCTTCAGTTGCGGATGCCGGCAGCGGGGACGATTCTCGTGCGCTGCCGTTCTCTCCAACGTCTTGCGGTGCTTGTACCCATTCGTTGTCATGGCCGCTCATTCGAGCGGCAAACTGATGCAACAGCGGCAGGAACTTGTAGGAAGGAATGTGCGACGCATACTCGTGGACGAGCGCATTCACCGAGCCTTCCGTGCTGTTCTCAAACCAGAGAGCGCAGACGCGGAAGACGAGCAAATCGCTTGCATCATCCTCGCCTGCACAGAGACAGTCGAGATAGCTTTGCAACGCCTTGCGCAAAAACTCGAACGGAGCCTGCCGTCTGGACCGCAGCTCTTCGTCATCTTGCCGGATTTGCTCTTCAATGCGGTACAGGTGCGATCGATTGGGACCACTAGCACTTTGTTGAAACTGACGCAACTCTTCCCGCGATTTGACGAGCAAGCGCTCGCGCGTCTCGTGCCAGTCGGAACGCAAATCGCTGAGCGCCTTTTGGTACTGCGCGTCCGCAAACTCTCCCAGCAAAACCAACGCCTTCTTGGCTACGGGCCAAAACGCCTTCGCAACATGCTTGACGGTCGGGAGGCAAACCGGAGTTGCCTCCTGCTGGTGCATGAGTGCTGACGCGCCGCCCGAGAGGGGAGACACGGGCCGGGATGACAGACTGGCTTGACTCTGGGACAGTTGGGACAAGGACTGGTGCTGGGAAGGAGCGCGAAGTGACACTCCGTCCGGGTCGAGGCAAATTCGGCGGCCAAGCTCAAAATAGTCCTCCAGAATGACTCTTGGGCTCTGTGCGCGCGCCTCAGCCAGCCACTCGCCCGCTTGCAGTCGAGCGCGAGCCAACGCCACGAGCAACTCGGAGCGCGACGCACTTGGTGGTGCTTCGAGACTGGAGCCATCGTTCGGGATGGTTGCTGGAGCGAGCAGAGTCAACGACTCGATACGTCGCGTCAGCGTCTCAATGCTGCGCTGAAGAAGACGGAACGAGTGAGTTTGCTGGCCGCGTGCCCATGCGAGTTTGGCGCTCTCCATTTGTCCTTCGAACGAAACAAGCTCGGCGAATGCTCCGGCACTTGCTTTGGCCGCTGTCAATTCAATGCGTCGAAGGGCATGCGCTGCAACGTGCAACCGCGACACCTTTCGGGCCCACTTTGCGACAAAAAGCAAATGTTGGCCCATATCATTCATGAGCAACGAGGCCGCAGAGGCGACTGCAGGCGAACGGGGCGACACGTCGTTCTGCGCAAGGTCCGCCAAGCCTTGAAGAAGCGAAATGCGCACAGCAAGCAATGGCTCAACGGCATCAAACGATGCGCTGGAAAGCACGCCGTGTTGGAACGTGGCCAACCGGTTGCGCCACGCGCCAATCATCGATTGAGCGTGCGCGAAGCAGTTGGTCCTGGACGATGCTTGCAAGTGTTGTCGTAGCTGGACCGCCTCCCGAATCTCGACGGCAGCCTGCAACCTTGCAAGCAGCGCTTGGCTGTGAGGGACTTCTTCTTCGTGCATTGTCGCACAAAGGGCTGAAAGACCGCCTTCCATGACAGCAACCGCAAGGTCGCCGTTGCAGCGGTCGATGCTGAGGTGGACTCCGTGTTTTGGAAGGGTGACCACAACCTGCACAGCAGCGTACAAGGCAGATTGGTAGGCCGCGACATGAAGCTTGTCGCCACTGCCATGGCTTTGGCTTGCGGCAGCTGCAACAGCGGCCGAGCTCTTGGCATCCAGCGAAACGTCCCACTGGCAATTGCGCCACGCGGCTGCGAGCTGGTGCTGCAATAAACTAGAGCTAGAGGCAGATGCCGCGGCGCTCGCATGCTCTGATGAGTGTGCAGCGGCAGTGCCCTCCAAGCCCCGCAAAAAGGTCTCCAAAAGCGGACGCATTCCGTGGTGGCGCAGCGCATTCAGCATGCCTGTTTGCGCCGGGTTGTGGGAATCTTGCATCTGCTCCCCAGCGGCTCTGTGCTGCAGAGCATCGAACAATGTGGGAAGGGACAACACCGAAGAGGAGGGAGGCAGCGATGAAATCCCGCCAGCAGCAACAGCAACAGCAGCAGCAGCAGCAGCAGCAGAAAGCGAGGGCAGAATGGCAGGTGTTGTTGGATGGCGTGGAGGCGCCGTCCCGACGGAAGCCAGCTGCAAATCGTACAGCTCCAGGGCGCGGCCCCAATCCCCCTCGGTTTCTGCCATGCATTCTTGTGAGCTCAAGTCCCACGCATCGGTCAGCGAACTCATGTTGTCTGGATCGGCGATTCGGGCTGCCGCAGTCAGCAGCAGGGACCGGTAGTCCCGCTCTTGGTCGCTAGCAGCCAGCGAAGGGGTCACACTGGAGGGCGCAGGCGAGGCGACGCCTGGGGCTGGCACCTCAGACCCAGTTGCTGTTCGTTTCGTGCTTCGCCGTGGAGTTGTTCCGGAGGCGCCTTGCACTTGTCCAGCAGCGTCCGTCAGCAAGGCAATCGCGGACACTTCGGTTGCCGCATTGGACGCATCCTGCCACAGCTCCAACAGCATGAGCGATGTGAGATGAGCGCCGCACTGTTGAGCCGCTCGAGCAATCTGCAGCCAGTCCAACCGAGGCGCAAACTCGCCACCACGGTAGATGGACAGCCGGGGCGATGTCGATGCCGGGCCTTTCAGCTTGAAAGACTCAAGCGCATACAGTCGAAGGACGACTGAAAGCATCGTTCGAACAGCGGGTGCTGGCTGCGAGCTGCAGTGGGCAAAAAAGTGGTTGATGCCAGCCGCGACAATTTTGGCGCGCGCCTGCGTCGTGGTGCTTCGCCCGTCAGAGGCAATGGTGTCCACAACCAGCTCTGGCAGCACGACTTGAGCAAACTGTGGCTGATCGCCGCAAATATCGCAGAATTGTTGCAATTCCGAGGATGCCGCTCCGCTGTTGGCGAGATGGCTGGCAAGCACGCACACCCAGCCCGCAAAGCTCTGTGTCGGCGTGGCGTTCTGAACGAGCCAAAAATTGGGCGCAGCGAGAGGTGACATGTCGAGCTCTCGCCGCGAAGCCGGAAGAGCAGTCTCTTGGTCGCGGACGAGCAGCTCGAGGTAGTACACAACCGCCCTTGTCAGCACTGGCTGGGCTTCCAAGGACTTGCAAGCGACGCTCCATAGATTACCCCCGACCTCTGTCAGGAAAATGCGCTGCAGCGTGTGCACGATGATGCGGTAGGATGCGGCAGAGCCGTGTCCAAGCAAGCTCGCAGTCACATACAAGCGAAACAGCGTGTTCTCCTCGGCCTTCTCCTCGCAAGCACAGATTGCAGGCGCAATGGATTTTAGCCACTGGGTCGATGGAATGACTGAAGCGATGCATGAGCCATCCCACGCTTCAAACGAACGAAACACTTCCGCCATGTCATACTGCTCGCCTCTGGGCAGCCCTTCCTGGGCAGCGCTCGGCCTGGCGTGCGCAGCGTGAAAGTTCAGCACTTTCATGGGTGGCATGCGCAAATCTAGCAAGACGGTCGTCGGGAGATGCGCGGGCAACAGCGTGTCAGAGTCGAGATTCATGGCACCCAGCTCGCCGAGGCAGCGAACAGCCCATTGTCGCGTGAGGGCAATTGAGCTCGAAAGGGCAGCTCCCCAGTTGGCCCGGGGCGCGGTAGCATCCGCCACCACCGCCGCCATCGGATCCTCGTCGTGGGTGAGCAAGCGCAGCTGCTGAGCGAGAACGGGCACGATAAACCCAAACTGCTCGGGATGCGCCATCAGCACTGCAAGCTCGCTTTTGGAGGTTGACAGCGCTTCGTGCAGGCCCTGGACAGCAACCACTCGCACAATGTACGAGGGCACAAGACTCCATGTCATCATGCTTCGCGCCAGGAGCAGAAACCGACGTATGACAAACATGAGCGAGCCAAGCTGCTGCGGACGCACTTGAATGGCAAGACTATTCACAGCTCGGCATAGCTGCTTTGCAGCACGGTGCAATTTCGAAGGGTAGATTGACAAAGAAGACGAAGGAGAAGGAGAAGGAGAAGGAGCACCGGAGGGCTCCACCTTCGGCAGCAAGCCAATCTCCGCTAGCGGAAGGAGCATGTTCCCCGCTACTGCAAGCCTCGAGAGATTCGGGGCTTTGCACGTTGGGACGATCAGCTTGGATGCAATATCAGCACACAGCTGCGCGGCAAGGATTTGCTGATGAGCGATCAGCTCACGACCAAGGTGGTTTTGCGTGATGGTTGGGGCAAGCCACCGCTCGAGGGGCTGAGCGATGGTGGCTGGCTCAAAGACGTAATGCACGCGCTGCCCATCCTTTCCGATGCTCGACTGCGCCGCGTGGCAGACGATAAACATGAGAAACGACACAATCGGCTGCAGATGGAACTTGGCAGAGTCCGGAAGAAACCTCAAGTCGGGGTTGAGGTCGGTTGCCGACGGTGTGTTTAGAATCCCCTCGCAAACAAACGACAGGACTTGCGCAACGGCCAAGTGAAGCGCAGGGAAGCGCAGCAGACGCGCGAGGGCGCACAGCACATGGAGGGAAAACCCAACACTGTGCGGCGTTTGCGAGCAGCTATACGCGAGAAACAACACGTAAACTTGCATACGCCGCCGCAGTTCCTGCTCACACCCTTCTGCCTGCTCGAGGGCAACGCAGAGGTGTGTGTGAATGACTTGTAGCCGTTTAAAGTTTTCGTCTGGAGGCAGTGCGTCCACACGAGTCCACTTTTCGAGAGCTCGCTCAAGCTGGGTCGTGGAGATGGTTGAGCTGCTGCCGTGCGTGTCGCTGGACTGGTTGGCAAAGCCATGGTCGATAGAGAGACAGCCCAGCGCGAGGTTTGGAATGTGAAGCTGCAAATGCATCAACGTCAACTCTCCTTGCGGCGCGCCACTATTGACTGCCGAAAACAGATGGCTGGCTTCAAGGGCGATCTGGCCGTGCAGAGTAAACTGCTGCATCGGGGGCGGGTTGGGTGCAACGAGCAGGAAGAGCTCGGCCATCGTCTCCTCGCGATGTTGTCGCTCCAGGTCTTGCAACGAGTGGCGCTCACTGTACTGTGCAAGTAGCTTTCTCACCATGACACTTTCTTGTGCCAAGTGGCGGGCCATCAGTTTTGGGTAAAACCGCTCCAGACAAGCCGACAGGCTTTCGCGCACCGCCGCGTCCAGAGTAGAATCGTCGGACTCGGAGGGCAGGATGTGCGCATGACATGCGGTCAGACACTCGGACAACACCTCGTATCCATCGGGATCATCAACGCACGCCAGGCACATGTCAAGAAGCCAGTCATCGTGAAAGGCTTTGACAGACTGCACCAACGCAGGATAGGGGAAGTGCACAAGTGATTTCCCGACGTCGACACACCATGCGAGCAAGAGCTCTGTTTTCCAGGCCGGCCGGCATCGAAGGGTAGTGGTGCTTTCCAGAGCGAGGTTGACGAGAGCACATGCGTCAGCGAAGGAAGAGTTGCCCACCGCTGCAGCCGTGTCAGAGCAAACAACTTGCGACACGTCGGAAACGTGCCAATCGCTCGGCTGAAGAATAGAAAGAACCAACGCAGCGCCAAAGGTTCGCATTCCCAGCGAATACTGCACGACCTGAGTGAATGCGTTCAGCACGAGCATCAGCCGTGCGGGATGCTCGTGGTCACAGCATCGCATAGTAGACCGTCCGAGTTTGACTCCGAGGCTGGAGTGCGGCGAGGACTGGGAGTGTCCACGCGGGAAGAGCCAAGCGAGGAACGCGGCAACGATCGCGCGCTCACGAATGTCGATCTCGACCGGTGACATATCTGGCGCGCTGGATGACGCAAAGAACGCAACCACATGTGGCGCTGTTGTTAGGGAAACTCGGGCGGTTGGGGAGAACAGAAAGGCCAGCAGAGCCAAGTCCAGCGTCGAGACCTGAGCTCGAGTACACGTCAGCGCGTCGTGCGCAACATGGAGAGCCACAACCTCTGCAGCCAACTCAAGCAATGCCGGGACGGGACAATCGGCGAGCGCAGATTTAGCCAAGTGTTGTCGGCGCGGTGCAGGCGGAGGCTGGCGCGCAGATGGCGGCTGGCGCAATGGTGATGTGGACGTGTCCATGTCGGTCAACTCAGAGTCGTCATCGTCCGTCGTTGTGTCTGCATCGGCAATAACAGCGGTCGAACGCCCGATACTGGGACTCGAGCCCAAGAACTGGCGGCGTCGAGGAGGAGGAGGAGGAGGAGGAGAAGGTCGTGCGGCATTGCCAACACCGTCAAATAAGTCCATTGGCTCCGCAGCACAGGCCAAGGACGGCAGGGTCCGAGTGTAGTTCACCACATCAAGCTGGTGAGTGGGGCACAGGGCCACCAGGATTTCGCGCACAGCGACAGCATGGGAAGAGCCAACCTTCCACTTCAACGTCCAAGCCACGCTGATGGTCAGCCGCAGTTCGCCGAGTAGGCCGAGCAGCGCAGCATGAATCGCGGGTAGCGCCGCCAACTGGCAGGAAGAAAGATACTGGCGACAGACATCCAAGGCACAATCCATGGCGGTGGAGAGTACGTCGGTCAGAGGCGAGTCGTGTTCGGCCGGCCGACTGTGCTCGGCAGTCAGAACGAGCGCGTGCTGCACTGTCTGCAGTAAGCCAATAGCCTGCGCAATGCGAACCCCAGGCGCCACCCATGACGGTGCAGAAGAAAGAGACGCAAAGGCACGCGAGTGTCCTTGAAGGAGCTCGCAGCCTCGGGTCACAGCCAGCGCGCTTGGAACAGGGACTCTAGACCTCGTCTCCATGAGGACAGCATTGTCACTGGGAAGTGAGGGCGCCTCTGCAGCAAGTGCAAAGCTCAAGCGGCTCCAGTGCAAGAGTACACGCGATCCCAAGAGGTGCAGCCAATCGCGATCTCCAGGTCCGATCGCACGAATGTCCAGGTCTGCGTCCACAGGGTTGGTTCCGGCATGTTCCTCCACTGTGCTCGTCCCAAAGGCACCAAAATCGTCGTCGTCATCCAGATCAATCACCACGGAAGAGGAGTCGGCGGAAGTTCGTTGCTGGAAGGAGCTCGAAAGGAAGCGAGATTTCGGGACGACCTTGGGCTTTTTATCGTCGTAGCTGCCACTGCTGCCTGGGGCGCTGCTCGGCAGCGACAATCCCCGGGCTGATTGAGCACCAGACGACTCGTGCGAACGATAGACACTCACTCCCGTTAAGGTTGGCAGGGCGACAGCGACTGCGCTGCCGAAACTGGATGCGTTCACCAACAATGCAACAAATCGACACCACGCATGCTCTGCGCGTGAGAAACCACTACTGCTATCGGGAGCATCGCTGAACTGACGATGAGAGGACAATGCCAGAGAGTGCAGCGAGTATGGCGGCGCCAGCACCTTTTCCATGAGCTCTAGCAGCTGGATCCGATCCTCGAGGGTTGGCGTTGGACCAGAAAGCGTCGTTGTTACACGCTCAGACCAACGCGAAAAGAACTTGTCGATGGCAGACACCGCTGTTTCAAGCCCCACACCAACTCCGGCAGAAGGGGCTTGGTGTGCCGACTGAAACAAGGAAAAGACGGACTTGCTGATCACGCTGGTCCAATAACAGAGCGGTGCCAGCGTTTCTGCGACAGCCGGCGAGGCTTTCTTTGTGGAGGACAATGGAGCGGTCGAACCAGCAGCAGTGAAAATGGCGGGGTTCGACTGCTTGTCTATGGAGTCGAGCTGCTCAAGCGAGAGAATGGCCTTCACGATCGCTCCTATTGCAACAGGGGATGCGGAGTGCCCAGAGATGGACTGTCGAACACCTCCCTCGCATACCGTCGGTGCATGTCGGGCGGATGCACCGCGAAACGCAACATCCACCCATTGCCGCTTCAAGCGACACACGACGTCGTCCAGCAGCTGAACGTCGGACAGATAGTGATATTGCAGGCCAACAAGCCATGACTGGACGTCTTGGGCGTTTTCGGGGCGAAGGGATGTACGACCAAAGCAGGCCAACGCGGCAGCGTGCAAGTCGGCGAGCGTTCGCAGGTCTGGCGAAATCGTCGGAATTTGGCGCGCGAAATATTTGGCGGCAGACGACGAATTGGGGAAATTCGGGCCCTGCAGCATGCCTGAGAGCGTTGCAGGATTGAACGGGGTGGAGGGAACAAGCCAGCGCAAGAACAATAGCGCAGCATCAGCCTGGAACGCCACGTCAGATCCCATAGAGTGCTCGGGATGCCGCTCGTTCTCGCACTCTCGAATCAAGTGTCCACAGGCGGCCTGCACGGCCGAAGGATGGAAGGCGTTTCGCAACGCGATATCCGACTCAACAGACAAGTAGGTCAATAAAAATACAAGAGCTGCGTGGAAGATGGATCTGTTTTCAGGTCACATATTCCCTTCAAGTTAGCCAATTTCACGACGAAAATCCCGAGCGAGGACTCGCTTCTTTTCATCATGTGTTGCTTTGAAACTCACAGAGACGCGGAGCTGGGGCAAGAGGTGGCGAGAATGTTGGCGACGGCCGATGGCGATGGAAACAGCTCGGCAACATCGACGGATTTCGTTGCGAGGAGGAGCGAGAGCAATCGAAAGCAGACCTCGGGCTGCTGAGCGACCGCCAGACGCCGGACAAGATGCAACGACAATCGACGCAGCTGGTCCGTCGTCGAGGCCAATTGCATTACCAGGCGGCAGTCGTGCGAGGCGACTTGGAGGGCAAAGCAGGAGGCGAAAGCTCTCAACGCTCCGTCCAGCACATCACGTGCGTTGGGCGCTTGCATGCGCGTTTTGCACACGAGCGAGGAGACTGTCTCAACGACCTCTGGCAGCTGTAAGGTCTTGTACTCGCTGCCCACGACAGAGCAACGTTGGATGGCCAGAGCGAGCACGCGAAGCCACACGGGCGACCGCTTGTTTTCAGACAAGAGAGCGACTTGTTCCAGCACGTAGATCAGAGCGTTGGACGCCGACGCATTGGCAAGAATACGCGGCTCTACCAAAAAACCCCAGGTTGTTACAAAAGAGTCAGCACTTTTGTCGCATTCGCTTGGAAGAAAACGGTTGAATTCTTTTTTCAGTTCTTACTTTTCGGATCGCGTGCCTCTGCTGCAGGAGGAGGAGGAGGAGCAGCGTGCAGGTGCGATGCAAGCTGCAAGTGGAGTACATCTGCAGCCCAGTCAGCAAACACCACCATCGTATCAAGAGTGGTGCGACTTTGAAATGCATCCGGGACCTCGAGGTCACGGCATATAGACTCCCAAAACAACGCGGACAAGGTGCTAGCGGGATAGCTTGGGCGACCCTTCTTGCTAGCACTCTCGGACTTTGAAAAGGCTGGTCGTGTTAACAGCAGCAATTGTGTGTGAAGGTGAAGAAAGCGGATTGAGGGTCGCAGCGCACTCACGTCGCGTCGCCATCGATTCGGTTCGCATAGCACGGGAGACAGCAGGTTGCCCAGCTCTCGGGCATCGTCGAGCGCTCCGTTAGCAACGAACTGCTCCATGACGATGCCAGAGAGTTGCACGGAGGACGCCGAGAAGGTGAACTTGTCGTCTCGGTCATCCGTAAAGTGACTGAAAAAATTCAGCACCTTGCGTCGTTCTTCGGCCGACTGCATCCACTGTGCATGAGAGAGGAGGCCGCAGAGCACTGCGGCACACTGGCTCCGATCAAAGTCGACGCGCATGTTGGATTTGGAGACGGCACGCGCCCAGTGTATCGAATAGCGTCCCCAGAAAGCTATGGAGCAACATCAAGCCAGAGCATCATCAAGGCAGGCGTAAGTGAGGAGCGAGCCAAGGATGGTGGTCAGTGGAGTGATCTCAAGGAACAACCCCTCGTTACCGTGGAACTGCTTTTGTGTGAGCACGCAGGCGTATGACGGCACAGATACAATCGACTCGAGGAGTTTGCCATATTCCACAAAGATGGCATCGCTGACTTGCGAGTCGGCGACAACACGCTCGAGGTGCTCGAACAGTTTTGGCACGACGATGCTCAGATTTTCTGCAAAACAAAAGGGAAGCGCGCGTGTTCAACCACGTCTGTCAGTCAGTCTGCACCGTCCCCCCCCCCAAGGTTCACCATCGCATAGCAAGTTTCACACGCGCAACTTCGCACTTTTCTCGGCACTCTTGATAGTCTCATTCATGGCCTGGAAGTCAAAACAGTGACCAAGTTTTCCGCATGAGCCTTCCCATCCATCCAACCCACACATTTGGTTTGTTCAAAAAGTACGCACCGTTACGATGCTCAGCCGGGCTTGTTCTGACCGGTCCATGGATGACGCAACCTCAACCAGTTGCCGCAAAATGAGGGAAAACGTCCATGGCGCTTGACGCTGCAATGCTGAGCTCTGCACCAGCTTCAATTCGATGGCTGCATTTGATTGCAGCAGCTTTTTCACGGCAGAGTTGAACTGGAGTTCGCTGCATAGTTTGATCACCTGTCGAAGGAGCAAGAGCCAAAAAGGTGAGTTTCAAAGCAAAGTCACTGAGAAACGGACTGAGAAAAAAAAAAAAAAAGCCGCCAAATCCTGTCGCGAAAGCCGCCAAAAAAGCCGCCGCGACCAGGTGGCTGCGCATCGATGCCAACGCCATTTTTAACAGCGGTGAAGCAATGGCAAGAGTGATGCCACGTCCGCCAACGCACGCCGCCGGACGCCGCGGCAGTCTGTGCCATGCTGGTGCGCGGGGAGAAGAGGAGGGCAAAAAGTGAAACGCGGCGCCAGAACGCGATCAACTTTGGAGCCAGCCAGCCAGCGCGGCTCGCGGGCCCAGGCGGCCAAACACACCAATCACCTGCACCTCGTGCATCAGACGCTCGGATCAAGCGATCTCTTGGCGTGGGGGTTCGCCAGTCGAGTCTGGTTGCTGGGAACGCGTGCTCAGACGAACGAGCGTTGCAATCCTCTGCAAGCAGTGGTCCACCGGCCCCCCTCTTCCCAAATCAGAAGCAACGTGGAGCCTAAAGCATCTAGTCTTGACTACCTGCTTGCTCGTCGTGGCGGAGGCGAGTTGGTTCAGCGTGTCTTTGACATGGCGAAGCGGATCGCTCATCATTTTGCGCGCCAATCTCAACACCAACAACACACAGGTCGACAAAAAGGAATTGGAGTGAACTCTGCCATACAAAAGGACGATGCGTTCAAAAGAAACATCGGGTTCATTCACATCAATATATCTACATGGGCAGATCGGAAGGGCGCAGCAAAGTCGAACGGCGAGTGGAGTTGCGCTGAAAGCGAGAGAGCGAGAACAACACGCACACAAAGTCAAAACAAGCAAGAGAAAAGCGGAAAGCCACACCTCCCATGTCCCATAACAGACACACAACGTTCAAAGACAAGCACCGAAAAACAACAAAACAACCAACCAACCAAGCAAACAAAGACAACCAGGCGGCACTGGGAAAAGCGAAGACCAGCCTCAGCTTTCAAACAGCCAGTGCAAGCATGCAACAACCAAGCACGCGACACACTTCCAAGGAGCACATCATGACAGAATAGCCATGGCACTCTTGGGCTCGTACAACTCGCAGCTCTTTGCGCGTTTTCGCAAAGGCAGGTTTTTTGCTTCTCGTTCCTTCGCCATGGACATTGCCTGATCGTGAACAACCGAATCCGTGGGGAGAATCGGGGGGGGGGGGAGGTGGGGTCAGTGCCGAATCTTTCGCCACATAACAAAGACAACCGCAACTAGCAAACAACACAAACTCGGCGTCATTGTCTCACCTCCATCTTCTCGGCTTGTTCCTGAGTGAGAGGCTTCAAAGTAAAAGTCCTATTGGTGTCCTCGGCAAGACTTCGCAAATCCAAGTAGTACTTTGTGTAGACGCTGGCTGGGACGCTGACATTGAACATGATTTGCGTGATATAGTACTTTTCTAGCTTGTTGCTGCATGAGGGGGTAGAGCATTGTTCCAAGAAGGAGGTCAGCGATGTGCGGGATGCTGAAAATCAGGACACACAAAAAGCTCATGGAAAGCGGCGCCAAACCAACCAACCAATCAAACAAAACGAAAAAACAAGCGACTTACAAATCTTCAACGGTGACATCTGGGAAAATGGTGCAAAAGTCGACATTCCAGACGGCTTGGTCGTCCCACACCTTGCACGCCAGCAACACAGCGCCCAGAGTGATTCGCTTCCAGTTGGTGGCGTGAATGGTCAGATTTGCGCTCATGATGAGTCGCTCGACATAGACCAGTGTAATGATGGCACACTCGGCCGTCAACTGTTCATTTTCGACAAGCAGCGCAGTTGAGTGTCATGATTACGCGAGAAAGAACACCGAAAAAACAAACAAACATCCCACTTACTGCTGCAGAGACAAACAGTGTCTTGATAAATTGGTAGATTTTCTCTTCACTGGCCATCAGCTTATCGTAATGATCAAAGTTTGTTCCCTTCTATCAAATGGGAGAGCGAGGTAGGGTAGTGTCGGGTAGGGTAAGGGGTTTGACAGGAGCGTGAGAAACTGAGCAAAACGAAAAAGGCAGACAAGCAATCGCCAAATCACGTACCGCAAGGGGGTGCTTCTTTTCATCAAAGATATCCACAAAGTGCGGGGTTTCGACCTTGTGCCCAGCTTCCATGCAGTAATAAATGGCCAAGGCAACACTAAAGAGGGTTGTTCCGCAAAAAAAAAAAAAAGTCAGCATTGCGCCGCCGTCACCTGCTTGTTGGACCCCCCCCCACCCACACACACCCCGCATCCAACACGCATGTGCACGCGCTTGATCGTCCTTACCATTTGAATGTCTCGTCCAAGTCAGGCTGAGAAACGGTGGCATCCACAAAGAAGGTCGAGGTCGAGTTGAACTTGGTTTTCGTGTCTGTGATGACGACCGAGTTTGCCTTCTTCTTTCGCTTTGAATTGCTGTATGACAGCGGGCTCGGGTCTGCCGCCGACTGGTTGACGGCTGCCAAGAACAGCGACTCGCGGCGATTTGAGTTGTCCGCTGTGTTTTGCAGAAAAGCAAAAATTTACAAGAGGATCAGTTTCAACGCGGAAAAAAAACCCAAAAGTTTGGTTCCAAGCAAAACCCCTAAAGTGTCCCGCTGCGTGGAGTGGTGATGATGATGATGGTAAGAATGAGTGGCGCTTGGTCGTTGAGTGAGAGATGGATGAGTCACCTTCCTAACAACACATTCTAATCCAGATTCGCCGCCAAAAGCACTCAGATGACCGACCCTTCTTCAACCTCCCGGTTCCCCACGCACCGACGCAAGGTGAGGAGCGAGCCTCAGAGTGGCTTGAATGCCGCTGGTCACATCGTGGGACGAGTCTGCAAACACAAACCCCAAAGCGTCGCGGTGATTCATAGCACGAAGAGGTGAAAAAAAGCCGTTGTCTTGGAGAAAAAGAAAAAAGAAAAAAAAAAAAAAACGAACTGAGCAAGATCTCGTTCACGATTGTCACACCACTTGCGGTTCAACGTGGTTGAGTGCAAAAGATGACAATGATGACAGTGACTGGAGAATGGATGTCGGATAGGATGCAAGCGACCACATGAGGATTCTGTGGAATGGGAGCAGAGCGCAACAACCGCAAGCGGGAAATCCAAAAAAAAAAAAAAAAAAAAAGTTGCCGACGAAGAAGGGACTCAAACACTCGACGATCGACATCGGCATTGAGCGGCAGAGGACAGCAAGTAGAATGAAGGAGATAAAGGAGAGATAGAGAGAGCAGGAAACAAAAGAGAGGAGAGGAAACCAAGGTGAAAGAGCGAGTGGTCGTGCTGAAAGGAAAGAACAGAAAGACAAGAAACAAAGTCTCGCTCTGCGCCTCAAAGTCATCGGCAAACCAGCCCAACCCCCCCAAACCACAGAGCGAGCACATGGCTTCTGGAACAAGCAGTGGAATACACACTCAAACAACAACAACGGTGGAGAGTTGGAGCAGTGGGGGGGGGGGAAAAAAAGGCAGAAGAACAAGCAAGTGGAATGGAAAGTTTTCAATTCAACATACGCTCTCGCTCGCTGATGTGCTGGACAAGGTCATCGACGCTCGGAGCGGCGGTGTCAGTCTGGGAGGACTGAGATGGATCTTGCCCGCTTCCTGCGGCGGAGGCAGGGGCGTCCTGCCGCGATTTCGTGAGCTTGGCGCCAGACAGACTTGGCATGCGACTCAGGAGCTTGCTGCCTGCTCTCCGCCGCTCAGTCCCCGTGCCGTCTCTTGGCGATTCCACGTCCACCTGGAGCATCTCTGGCCGTTGCGATGCCGGCGACGTCGATGCTGCCGCTGTGGATGCGACTTCGGTCGCTTTGTGCTGTTGATGAATGCTGCGCGCTGCGTAGGGGTCGTTGCTGCTACTGCTGCCCCCGTCCATTGGCTTGGCCAGACACGAGCCCATTCTTTTCTTCTAGTTCTACTCGATTCTTCTCAATGCAATGTTCGAGGTTTGACGTGGCTGGCTTGGCTGAGTGTGCTTCTCTGGTAAGTTGTGTTTTTGAGCGAGTTTTGAGGTTTTTTTTTTTCTTGTGGAAGAAGCAGGAAATAAAAAAATAAAAATAAAAATAAAACAAAAAGCAGGAATGATTGTTGCAAGATCGTTTTGGTGGAAGTCTCAGAGTCAAATTGGGGGAAAATGGGTTGATGACGATCATCATCAAAGTAGACTTTGTCAAATGCGTGCTGGTTGATGGTGGAGGAGGCAAACGAAAGAAAGAACCGCAATCCAATTTTGCATCTCCAAATACTCGCCGTGTCGTGGGCCTTTGACTCTCTCTCTCTCTCTCTCTCTCCCTCTCGAGTGTGAATGCAAGTAGTAGTTCTGGGTTGTTTTTGACGAATTTTTGATGCTCCAACTGCGGGGTTCACTCTTGCAACTCCATTCAGCAACAATGCGTTGTCGACTGTTGGTTGTTGTTTGTGCCGCTCTGCTGTTGCTCGCCTGCCTCCAAACAGCAGTGGATGCGCAGTAAGCCACACCGCCTTTGCTCCCCCACTTTTGAGTCCCCAACACCCTTCTTTGTTCTGGGTTGGCCATGCATTCCCCCACCCATCTCCTCTCATCCATTGTATGGAAACAGCCGGAGCCTTGATCGGCTGAATGCTAAACAAAACCCAACCCAACCCAACTCACTCCACTCACCCGGCTCCAACTCCAACTCCACACTCAAATCAGATCATTCCGCCTCGAAGCAGGCGACGGGATTGCCCTCACTGTCGAGACCACGCCCGTCGTGTCGTACGAGGTGCTGGTCGACGGCCGCCCTTGGCTGCAATCGGGCGTCACTGCGCTCTCGAGCCGCGGCAAATTGTACACGTCCAGCGTGGGACTGCGCTTTGTCGATGCCGCCATGGTCGCCGACCGCGATGCGCTCCTCGGCGAGTTCCAGAAGCTCACTCTCATGTGGATCACGGCGGGCGGCACGGCCTACAACACGTCCTTTGTTGCGTACAAGTCGGCGCCCGTTCTGCGTTTCATTCAGGATTTCCCCTATGTAAAAAACACAAGCAAATCTCGCATTGACGACGGTGGCAAATTGTTTTTTTTTAATTGTCAGTCTGATCATTGTTCTAACTTTGTTGGTTCCATTTGTTCTTTTGGTGCCGCACACACAGGGCGTGGAGGATTGCTCGAACGGCGGCAACTCGGACATCGTTTCAGCATTCCCGGCTTTCCGGACCTCGGAATCATCGGATCTCAACTATCTAACCTACTACAACACGTTTGCTGTTCCGCACATGGGTGAGTTTGGGCGCATCTCTGTCCTGGCTTGGATTATTCGGGAGAACTTGCCGTGCCAATGTTGAATCTGACTGTACTCGCCCATACCCGTCAATTCTCAGCTCATTGGCCCGATTCGAGCTATCCAGGTGGGGGCGGCAGCGGTGTTCCACTCGTCTTGTACAACGAGCAGCTGCGAACAGTCCTCCTGTCTCCTGCATCAAACTTTTTGGTGGCGACGCAGACTTATGCACCTTCCCTTGACGGCCAGTTTGCCGCCGGAATTCTCGGCACGGTCGAGTCCATTCCGGTTGGCTTTTCGCAGGACTTTGTGCTCTTTGGCGGCTTTGGTGTGCGCTCCACGTTCGCAGTTTGGGGCGAGTACCTCCTTGCGCGATACAAGAAAGCCCGCGCGACCTTTGACTCTGATTTGAGCATCTCGCATCTTGGCTATTGGACGGTAATGGCTGAGTTTGTGCTGAGCTTGTGCTGAGTTGGTGCTGGTGGGCTATAGTGAGTGCATCTGGCTCACATTGTACTGTGTTCTTACTCTACTCCACAAACACACACAGGACAATGGCGCGTACTACTACTATCAGACCGAGAGCAACACGACCTATCAGCAGGTAATCATACCACTTCACAGTTCCTGTTTTGGGTTGGATGTCCTTGTCTCTTGCTTGCAGTTATAAGCTGACGCCTTGAGCCGTGCGCGCCCAGACGCTGCTTGACGTGCAAGTCAACCTGAATGCCACAGGTCTCCCCGTGCAGTACATGCAGTTTGACTCTTGGTGGTACTACAAGGGCATCAACGACGGAGTCACGCTTTGGGAGCCCATGCCGTCAGTGTTCCCGTCCGGCCTGAACCAGTTCCTGCTTGGCGACATGCCAGTTGCGCTGCACAACCGCTACTTTGCTCCTGATAACCTGTACCGCGCGAATTACTCTTTGATTTGCGAAGACTGGGGCTGCTTGCCGCTCGATGAAGCCCTGTTTGAGCACATGATGAGCCGTGTCAAGCCGTGGCGTACCTTCTTGTACGAGCAAGATTGGCTTGTGGATACCTTCCTCAACTTGAACTGCACCCGCAACAATGTCACCAACGCAATGACATGGCTGCAGGCCATGGGCAACGCTGCTACTCGCCAAGGTGAGGGTTTCAACGCAGCTACCAGCCAGCCAGCCGGCTGGGTTCGGAGTACTCCAAAGCACTGTAACGCTCACTTCCGTTTTGCATTAACTTTTGGTAGGCATGACCGTTCAGTACTGCATGCCTCTTCCCAACTTCCTGCTGGCTTCGGTCACAGTGCAGGCTGTCAACCAGGCTCGCGCGTCGGACGACTATCGCCCGTCTTTCCGTCAGGTAAGTGAAATTCTGAATGAGTGCGCTGTCGTTACAAGATAACCCTTCCACCCCCCCCCCGCCCCGCCTCCTCCGACTTACGAATTTTGCACTGCTCCATCCACTGCAGTGGGAGATCGGTCCGTCCAGCATGCTCATCTGGGCCCTCGGCATGTTCCCGTTCAAGGACGATTTCTGGAGCAACTCGACCCAGCCAGGCTGCAGCACCAACTACCCTCGCTGCTACGAGCCGCAGCCGTATCTGCAGGCGCTGGTTGCCGCACTGAGTGCCGGTCCTGTCGGCCCTTCCGACCGCATTGGCTACGCCGACCCGGATGTGATTTTGCGCACTTGCCGCGCCACGGATGGCCTCCTCTTCAAACCCGACCGACCTGCGATTCCCCTTGACTCGACTTACCGCGTGGGCTTTGCCAACGCCAGCACAGTCAACGTGATTGAGACCGAGAGCGACTTTGAAGGTGTCCGATGGCACTACGTCCTCGCCACCGAGATCGCACAGCCGTTCAACGTGACCTTGGCCGAGCTTCAAGAGCCGAATCAGCGCGAGTTTCTTGCGTTTGACTACTTTGACATTGGTGCTGGTGGCGTGCGTGTCACCCAGCAAGAGCCGCTGGTCATCACAACGCCGAATGTCCTGAGCGATCCTGCCAACGCAGTCCCGATGCGCTACACTGTCTTGGCGCCCGTCCTGCCCCGCAGCGGTTGGACCCTCCTGGGCGAGGCGCTCAAGTATGTGACTGCGTCGCGCCAGCGTTTCGCTGCGATCGACGACTCGGAGCAACGTCTCATCGTCGAGTTTACCGGCACCGTGGGCGAGGTTGTTGATCTGTCGGTTGTTGCGCCTGGTACAAGCAAGGTCAGGGAGAGTTGATAGGCTGGTTTTGTTTTTGCGAGTTGGCAAAAACACAAAACAAAGTGATGTACTCATTTCTTGTTGGCTGACTTGATTGTGCGCTTTAACAGGCAACTGTTGTCTCATGCCGCGTCTCAAAGCAAGGCGGCGGCACGCTCCTGTGCCGCGACAGCAATGGCTGCCAGTGCAGTTGAAGAAGCTCGAAACAGAGTTCGTCGTGTTTAACATTGGGATTTCCGTTTGCTCCCTCCATGCAGCATTCTCCGAGGCCATGTGTGTTTATGATCTATCTGTACTGGATACGAGCAGATGCAAAGTAGTACTGTGCTGGTGCACCACATGAACGTGACGACGAAACAAAACTCCAATCTGTGAAAAGTTGACAGGATTGTATTTTGAATTACGGTCCTTTCCCCGATATGAAGAGGACTTGACCAGCTTTCCTGCGGATCTCTGTCTGATTTCCCGAATTTCTCAGAGCGACACCCTATTTTGCTCAGACTTTAGTCTTCTTCTTCTTCACCAAAGCGAACGTCAAACTTGCCGTTCTCACCCTCTTCCAACCACTTTTCAACACAAACGCAGACAAGCCTTGATCTACCGCGATTATTGCAACCATGAGCTGGTTTGGCGGAGGCAACAACATGGAGAGTACGTTCACTTTCACTGTGCTTCGCAGCCAAAAAACTGTCTGTTGGCGTTCTGAGAGAGGCTGCAGACAACACCATCAACCGACTTAGAACATGCTACAGCTGTAATGAGCTTGACTGCGAAGTGCCGTTGCATTGTGAGTGAGTGCAGCGAGGCAATGGAGCTAGCAAGACTCGGAAAAGATGATGACGACACGCTCGGGTTTGTAGCCAAAGTCGCCGCGCCTCGCTTTCCCCAATGCAATGGTGCAAAAACAAGCCCAAGAAGAAAAAAAAAGCAGCGGTTTGTTATGACCGGCATCGGGCGCGGCGAGTGTTCGAAGCAAGGGGCGAGGACAGCGAGGACGAGAATGCAGAGTGGGAAGTGCGTTGCCGCTCGCTCGGAGGTCTCACTGTTTGGGGTTGGGTTGGGTTGATGGTCTGACTTTAAGCAACAATCAATCTACGTCTCATAGTGGAAGTGTGGTGGCGGGAGACGATGAGATGAGTGGTGCTCATATTCACTGTTTTGCTTGTTTTTGCTGCATTGGCACAGAGCACCTGTTTAATCTCAAGGTGAGAAGCACGCAAATGAAGATCAATCGCATATGAACAATGCGTCTTGAACAGAACGCGGGAAGAGCGCGCGAGTCCATCAAAGGACGAACGATCGCTTGAAACGGCCGAAATGATGCACTGGCTCTGAAACGGCGGCTTTTGTGGCTCTGTTTCGAGTCGACGCTCACGTTGGTGCTGTTCTTTTCCCCACTTGGCAACAGTTTGCAGCAAAGCAACTCGAGCGAACGGCCAAAAAGTGCGAAAAGGAGGCGAAAACCGAGCAAACCAAGCTCAAACAAGTAATGCCCACCCAGCTCATATTATTGATGGTACTCTGGTCCTCAATCGTCAAACCCGTGGATTCTCATTCATCAAATTGTTTTGTATTTGTTCACACAGGCCATCCAAAAAGGCAACATGGAAGGAGCACGAATTCACGCTGAAAACTCAATCCGGAACAAAAACCAGTCGCTCAACTTTTTGCGAATGGGTTCCCGCATCGATGCAGTCGCATCGCGCGTCGAGACCGCCGTCCGCATGAAGCAAGTTACTTCCTCGATGGCTGGTGTGGTCAAGGCCATGGATCAGGCTGCCAGCTCGATGAATATTGAGAAGGTTTGGCGTGTTTCGGGTTGCACCCGTTATTTTTGTTCGAAATGCCCTGTTTGAGCGTTGATTCTGATGCGCAACCGCTCTTGGCGACAGATCTCCATGATTATGGACAAGTTTGAACAGCAGTTTGAGAATCTCGATGTTCAATCACAGTACATGGAGAACTCGATGAACTCGTCAACGACGTTGACCGTGCCAGAAGACCAAGTCGACTCGCTCATGCACCAGGTGGCTGATGAGCATGGACTCGAGCTGAACATGGAGCTGAATAGCAACAAAGTACCTGACACTGCAGCCTCCAACGCTGCTGCCGAACAAGACGAGCTTTCCGACCGGTTGGCACGCCTGCGACAGAACATCTGAGTTTGGCCACGATTTCGTCTTTGTTCATGGTTTGTGATGCATGCATTTCATTCTCTCTCTTCCGTCCGTTTGTCAGCCAATCTCGGGATGAACATTCCTTGTCCCAAATACAAAATTCAGACTGCTTTCAGGATTAGCACACTTGAAAAAAAGCAATATCTGTATTCGCTCGAAACAAAGACTCGAGCAAAGAAAAAAAAATGAAGGGCAACACAAGGTGCGAATGCCTTAGGGATTGCCATCCTTGATGCTGCGTCGGGCAAAGACATTCTTGATGACCACGCACTTGCTATAATCTAGACGCAACACTGGAGCAGGCGTGTCGACAAAAGATCCCGGCGCCGCAGCACGCTTGTGAAACTCGCTTGCTTGTTGAAGCTTGATGAATTCCGCGAAAAACTGTCACAAGAGCACCATTCAAAAGTACATCAGTACGCAATTACCAATAACAGGAGGCGGGGGGGGGGGGGAGAAACACATCACTTGCAAAGAGTCTGCAGGCACTTACTTCAATAATTTCGGCATCTCCAGCTGGAACATCCAACTCGTTCATGACATCGACAGAAACGCGACGCGACCGGACCGAGTTGCTATTGGCCCAGTTTCCCGTGAGCGAGCTCGTCGCGCTGGGTGCGGTGGACGACGGGAGGGACATGGAGTTGAAAACGCTGACATTGGAGAAGGAAGCCATCGAGAAGGCGTTGGGCGAAGCCGGGACGGGGCTGCGCGGCGAAGGAGAGAAGGGCGTGACGGCCCCACTCACGCCTCCGTACGCTGCTGACGCGGAAGGAGGTGGGTAGTAACGCGAAGAATGAGCTAGCTGTTGTTGTTGTTGCTGCTGCTGTAGAGCGGGGAGGTTGGGGGCCGAGCTCTGTGACCGCATCGCCGGGTTGGATCCTTGCCAAGCTGCCGGCCCAGCATATTGAGTCGAGGATACGGTGGGCGTCGCAGGCTGCGAAGCATACGCGGAGGTGCTCGTGACATGGCCTGGAATGGCATGCAAATTTCCACCGGCCCGGTTTGCTTGTCCAACAGACCCGCGACGCACACTGCCTGTGGAACTACTACTGCTGCTGCTGAGCGATGCGCGCGAAGTTCCACCCAATTGGGGAAGTTTCGCGCTGCCAGCGCCTGTCTGGGCGGAGCGATCGCCCGCCGAGAGGCAGTACAGGTGATAGAAAAAGAACGCCTTCGAGGCCATTTCGAGCAGCGAGCAATGCACGCTGGCCAAGAAGGCATCTTCGTCTTTAAACAGTCTGTTCTTGCTGAGCATGATGTCGATAAACGTGCCCTGATACGTGGGTGTTCGAGCTGTTTCATTCTCGAAATCGAAAACGGACACGTATCTCTGTCAAATCGAAAAACAACAACCACAAGTGAGAGATCGTCATGGCAGGCGAGAAAACCACCCCCACCCCCAAAAAAGCAGTCGAAGCGACATACTTCTACAGCTTTGGGCAAGCTATACTGCTTGCTCATTCCGACCAGCTTGCAACGGGCGAGATCGCTGAGGGCGAGTGGGCGCAAAATCCATGGAATAACTTGCTTGTTGGAGGGACCGGCAACAAACAAGGAGAGCGCAGTGACAATATTTCGGACGGATCTAAATTAAAAAAAAAAGCGCATGCCCCAACATCGGAACGAGTGAGACAAAAAAAAAAGCAAACAAAAAAAGCCCCTTCGACAATCATTGCAATACGTCCCAAATAACCATACCCTTCGTTCTCATTCTTGCCAATCACCACCACCGGACGCCCCTTGAGGAGGGCAAACACGAGGTGCTTGGCAAAAGAGTAGCGAGCACGGAACTCGAGCAACCCAGATCCTGGCTTGGTCTTTGACCTCGAGTAGACATGATCGGCGAAAGAAAGCAAAGAGCTTGTGACGATTGCTCTAGATGATCGTTTGGTAGGAGGCGACAAGGCTGAATGAGCGGGATGCGCTGGGGTTGCGTCAGATCGATGGCTGCCTCCGCCATGACCGCTGCTCAGGTTGGTGGAATCGCCTCCAGCACTTGTATTGTCGGAATGAACCAGGACTGCGTGGCCAGGATAATTCGCATGCGTGACGCTGACGCCATCGAGATGCACCGAACCAGAGTCGGACGCTGTCGTCTTGTACGCACCGGTAAGGTGGTACAAGGCGTCTCCGGGACTGCGCCATGCTCCATGCGACGATATCATAGAATCCGTTCGGCGACTCTCGCCAGTGCCGCTGCTTGGCGATGGCGAAGACGAAACCGCCGGGAAGGGCTCGGGACCAGCCGAGTTGATCGTGGCAAAGCTGCCCGAGAAGCTGACATCGCTGCGGGTGCGCGGGTGTGGATAGACGGCCATGTCTTGATCGTGTCGCTGACTTGTAGTGGACATGGCGTCATCATGCGGCTGCTGGTGGTGCTGGTGCTGCTGTTGCTTTGAGAGTGCCGGATCATGCAGATCGGTCTCTGGCGACAGCGTGGCAGAGTCGTGAGTGAACGAATCAGCCAGGACAGTGGGCGACGGGTGCTCTTCGTTGTTCAGAGTAACCAAAGAGTCGCGCAGGTGAACTGCGCTCGGTTGTGTGTTTGACGGGCTGGCAAAGGGGCTGTCAGTGTCCAACTCTTCGCCGTGCTCGGAGATGGACCGCGGCTGCGATGGCGGAGCGCCACTGGTTGTGCCGCGGCGGGAGCGTTCCACGGGCTCTGAGAGACCAGACATGGGGTCTGCTGAATGCAAGATCATCGGGCTCGGAATCTGTTCAATCACCATGCCCTGGTCGCCGCCAGCTCGCACGACACACTTGTTCATATCGAGATCCTCAACGGCATCAAAGAATTCCGACTCGTTGTCACTCATCGACTCGGCGTCAAACCCAGCACTGGTGGCGCCCGACCGCGACGACGAGCGGTACGCGGACATGTTGGTCGAGCTCGAGTTGCGCGTCATTCCATGCACGATCGGCGCAGCAGAGGCGGGAGTGCTTGTCGCGCCGGACGCGCTGCCTCCGAGACCAGAGTAGTAGGCTTCAGAGGAAACCGGCGCAATCGGCGAGGTTGGGGTTGCGAGGGATGCCAGGGACGTCGATGACGGCGATCCTGGAATACGTTGAGGTAGCGCGTGCATCGGCGGCTGGTGCTGCTGCTGGGACGCGACAAACGAGCTGACCCCGCCGACAAGGTCATCGTACATTTTTTGCCGATCCCGTCGCTGGACTTCCAGGTCCAACAGGGCCCGCTCGACCTCGGCCAATCGATCTCTAAGGTAGGGTGGCGGAATGCTAAACCCGTCAATTTCGAGTTGAATATCCAGGCGCAAACGGCTGTACTGATGGATCAAGTTGACGAGCGAGGTGGTTGACATGCGATGGGCCTCCACACGATCCACGAAAAAGTTGAGCACCAGGCTGTGGCCGAGCGTGAGCAAGGAGCTGGCAGGCGCCATGACCTGCATTTCCTCCTTTTCCACTTTGAGCACAAAGGTGGGGCGCCGAAAGTGGTCGAAAATTCGCTTGAGTGCCGCCATGGCAGGATCATGCGTAATTCCACAAAGTTCCTGCAGCTGACGCAACCGAACATCAAAGCGACGTGGTTGCGTGACGGTTTCCAGGAATCGAGGCTGCAAAGCAACAGAACAAAACAAAACAAACAAACCAAACCAACCAAACAAAAAAACCAAACCAAACAAACAAATAAAACCAAAATAATGACAGTCCAAGCGTCGACACACACGTTCCGAGTGAGTCGAGGTAGGCAAAAGCTCCAACACACACACACACACACACACACACACTTTGTGCTGCAAATGAAACGTACAGCAGGGCGCACAGAACTGTCAAAATCAAGAGTATGATCAGGCGAGCTTGGATTATCCGGGTTGAGGACCGAAGAGCGTCTGGAAGTGATGGTGTTCTGAAAGACGGAAAGCGGCAGAATAACGGATGAGGATTGTTGCTTGTTTGGACCCGCGTGCAACTCCTTTTTCAAACCCTCTCACAATCTCGTTTCATTTTTCAATACCTTGGTCTGACGTGCTCGCAATTGCGCATGCCAAGCACTCATCTCAGGATGAGCCACTCGAGGACTAACAGCATTCATCATGAGCTCCGTTTCACGAATGTACGAATCGACGGAATCGGCCGTGACTGCGGTCGGGCGTTCCAAGTGTGACTGGCGTTGATGGGATGGAAGAAACAGTCAGTGTCAAAGAATTCCACAATTGTTGGCGATAGACGAGAGGCTTTCTTCGAAAGCAGCTGACCTTTTCTCGCAGAACGACCGAGCTTTCGAGGTCGATTGACTGGTAGTCGGACTCTGGGCGCCGTTCAAGCAAAATCTGCTTGGTGTAGACCAGATCGTTGCGCCGGGTCTCGAGATCTCGGTAAAAGCCAAGATGGTTTCCGTACTTGAGGTACTCGGAGACCTTGGCGTGAATGGGACCAAAAGAAAGCAACAAACAAGCGTTCCGAGACATCAAATTCGAGATTGTCAGTCCTTTGCAACAAGGTGCTACAGAGAGCGAAACACACACTCCCATGCATGTACTGTATTTGTAACTCACCTTGGAAAAGTCTGCTAAAAAGTCTTCAAAGTACGCCATGATTTTGTCAGGACTTCTGGTCACGTAGCTCATGCAATACGGCCGCACAAACCCACGCGCGTGCAAGTCATGCAAGGTGAAATGGTGGACCTGCAGAACAGGCAGTTCGTTTAGAACAATCCGGCAAGGCTTTCACGAGTCAAACCCTCAGTGGTGTGCTTACATAAGCATGCGCTTTGTCGCTAGCTTCTGTCATGTACACTTGTGCATCAACAGGCATTGCAAATCCCTCACTAGTTGAAAATCCAAAAACAATGGGATTGCATTCGTGTAGAAGCGCCTCGAGTGAAAACGCGATCAAATGAAGTCCAACTTTCCACCCAAAACTCACCTGGATGACTGCTGGTAATCAACAGACATGATGCGCACGACAAAGCTGTTGAGATTGAAGCGATCGGCGTTCTGGGGCGGAATGACCAGCAAGGGCATCGGGCCTTCGAGCTCGGAAAACTCGGACAGAACGATAAAGTCGTCGGTGAAGCTGGACGATGACGCCGACTGCGCCGCAGACGTATTCATCGATGTTGCTGGGAGTGCTTGCTGGGAGTATCCTGGCGTCGGCGAGCTCGAGTGCGACTGGTGACGCGACGCCAGAGAGGACGACGATGATGCAGCAGCAGCAGCGCCGGGTTGTGCAAACGCGCTCGGGTGTGGCGACGACGTAGCAGGGGGCGCAGGCGACGCCGAGCTGCTGCTGGCGGTCTGAATCACAGCGCCAGACAGCAGCGACATGATCGCAGTGAAGGGAGCGTACGACCCCGAGCTCGTCGGAGCAGCAGGAGCGAAACCAGACGCCGATGCCGGATTGCTGCCGCCGTCAGCGCCACCAGGACCGCCGCCACCGCCGAACGACATTTGTGCGTGGGATTGCAAACGAACCTGTGTGGAGCTTGGACGAGAAAGCTGGGAGAGAGGGAGAGAGGGAGCGAGAGAGAGAGCCGGAGATCACGCTTGGCTGTTGGAATGGATTCAAGCCTGGCTTTGGCCTTGGTGCTGAGAAGCGATGGCGACTGTGCCAGGAGCGTGACAACAATCAGAATGGAAAAACAGAAAGCGCGAGTTGGGGGGGGGGCCCTTGTTTTGCGAGCGGGGATTTTGACGTAGACCAACAGGCAATGGAGAATCAATACAAATTGGAACCAACAAAGAAAAAAAAAAAAAAAAAAAAAAAAAAAAAAAAAAAAAAAAAAAAAAAGAGTGTAGCTCGAAAGGGCTTCGATTGGGTTACTCGTTTTTGTTTTGTTTTTTGTGTTGGTTTTTTTTTCCCTTCCAAATGCTGTCATATAAGAATATGAAGCCGAGCCAGCGCGGGTTGTACGACAGGCTCAAGAATACACTTCAACATTTCTGGTAAGAAGCAATCGAATGTATTGCAGAGTATAACAACGTGTGTCTTGACGAAATGGACAGCCTGTACGGGGAAGAGGTTGGCGATGCTGGAGCGCTGGCGATTGCTGAGGCACTTAAAGTCAACACGACGGTGACCAAGATCGAGTAAGGCACCTCACTTTGATTCGTGCATGTGAGTGGGTGATTTCAGCAGAGGGCATTCAGAATACTGATGATGGGGGATGAACAGGCTTTGTCAGAATCAGATTGGCGAAGTTGGTGCGCGCGCGCTTGCCGAGACACTCAAAGTGAACGAGACAGTGACTTGGATTGCGTACGGCAGCTCACTTTGACTGATGCATGTTAGGAGCATTTTTAGAGTGCTCATCGACGGACTGAATGAACAGTATTTGGAGGAATCAGATTGGCGATGCCGGAGCGAGCGCGGTTGCTGAGGCGCTCAAAGTGAACAAGACAGTGACTTGTCTCATGTAATGATCTCACTTGGACCGATGCATATGAGTGAGTGATTGAGCAGAGTGCTCACTGAGGGGGAGAATCTGGACAGTCTGGCTGAGAATCGGATTGCCGATGCTGGAGCGCAGGCAATTGCTGAACTGATCAAAGTGAACAAGACGCTGGCATGGCTCAAGTAGGTTGCTCCGATATTGAACCAGGGTCAGCCATACCTTGCTACGCCGTCATCTTACTCACCGATCGAGCGACAGTCTGTCATGGAACTTCATTGGCGAAGTTGGTATTCAAGCGATTGCTGATGCACGCGAGTTCAATCCCACTCAGATTGATCTTAAGTAGGGCGTTTGTCCGATCAAGTCATGCTTTCAACCGATGGAATGGCCCTTGCTGACTGATACTCATTTATGTTGCTTGTTCGTTGCACAGCATTGACGACCAGAGTAACCCTCTTGTACTCTCCTTGCTTCCACGATTGGCGACTGCTGACGACCTTCAGACCGTGTTTGGCTTGTTGACCAGCGGACCGGAGCTGGAGGATCAGCTCGCATCTCTACCGGCACTGCCGACTGAGATTGCCGACCTCATTATGGACGAAGCGTGCTACTGGCAAGGCGTGCAGCGCACCAATCGAGCCTATTATTTTGATAGTCTGAGCGTCACTGTACCAAAGAGCAGCACGGGGAATTCGATCCGTGTAAAGGCAATTCAAGTGCTTCTTGACGTGAAGCATGTCGATGCCAACGACTCAGAGCCGTGCGTTGTTAAATTGATTGTCCGAGATACGCAAGGTGCTGTTCAATACGAATGCACTGCGAAACCGACTTTGGTCGATTCGACCGTCTGGCGTGTGACAATCCTGCCAGCCAACCATCCTGTCATCCGACAAATGCGTGAGGGCTGGAAGGTTGACTTTCAACCCAGCAAGTCTCCGGGCGGTGGGCGATTCGAGTCACTTCATGTCGGATATATTGAAAGACAAGATACATAATGGAAAAAAACCCCTCATGGTCTGAACGCATTGAAAATCGTACTACGAGATCTAGGGCATCCGCACAAAGCACACAAAGGAGAGCTAAATTGGGCGAGTGATTCAGTGAATGAACTCGCACGTTGTTGTGCGACCTGCAGCGTTCCACTTTGCTCGGCGAGTATGAACATGAACGTCAAGAATGAACGAGCCGAGGCGAACACGAAGCACTCTGGCATTTTGTGACTTTTTCGGGGTTTTCGGTTTGGTTTATTGGTTTTGACTCGACATGTTTAGTTGCGGTCGTCTCACCGAGACAGCGCGAGTCGAATAGCAGTCAAGAACACGAGTAAATGTTTGTTGCCAAAGAGAGTTGCATGTAGTGCAAAGTGTCGAACGTGTTGTCGACGTGGACAGGATGGATCGGACTGGCAATGACGAAGGAGGAAAATCGACCAAAGTAGTTTTGAGCTCTTGTGAGACGAATGTCCGGTATCGTTCGTTCCCAAACTCCTCCAACTGTAAATAGCTCGGCTTTCTTCCACTTCCATCCCCCTTCTGTTCGTCCAAAAGCCAAACCGCTACTCGCTTGCGTGTAGCTCGGCCTCCGCACAGCGGCCGCCCACCGCAACCTCGCCAAATCGTGCGCCTGTTCAACGTCTACAGGTATCCCTGCAAATGACAGTTGTAGACAAAACCGATCGATTTCACATGAACGCTCGCAGCAACAAAAAGCACCACACACAGTCAAAACTGGAAAGGATCCCCCTACCGCTCAGCGCTGGGAGAGTTCTGGTAGGAGGGCGGAGCTGACATCACAGGTTGGAACGCTTTCTTGCTGACAAGCTTGATGAGGGCCTCAACTAGCGAGTGCTTGTCGACTTTGCAAAGCGAGTCGCGAGTCAGTGTCAAAATTGACAAGCGCAACTCTTCGAGGGTCTGGATGGTGGGCTCAGCAGCTCCCACCGAACGCAACGATGCCATCAGCGCGTTGAGACGATCGGGTTCGTACTTGACGACCAGAGCGATGTCAGGTTCGACCGCAGCGGCATGACTTTCTGCCGTTTGGGATGCAACGTCGTCCTTGCTTGTGTCGGAGCTGGGTGCAGACGCTTGTGCAGCCACCACAGATCCAACTTCAACAGCTACGCTCGCGGCCGCGTTGTCAGCCTCCAGTTGTTCGCTGGCGCCGTCGTCATCGATTCGAACACGTTTGCGTGTCGGGTGCTCGCCAAGATTTCCCTCCACGTCGGTCGTCTGACCATCCTCCGGTTGCTCCGGTTGCTCAGATTGCTCAGGTTGCTCCGCCTCATCTTCGGCAGGGGCCACCTCGGGAGACGATCGGCTACTGCTGCTGCTTCGTTTGCGCCGCACACGAACGGGCGATGCAAGCTCGATTGCCTCAAAGTTTTCGCTGCTGCCACGAAGGGAGCGACGCGTGGCACTGGTCGCAGATTGCGATGCGTTGGCGGCGGACTGTGTTCCTGATCGTCCTTGTCTCGCCTCCAATCGGAGGGCGTGTGCACGAGCAACGTTGGCCGCCGGATCTGCGAGGGCCTCGTGACGGCGAACACGGGCAGCCTCTTGCCAAGCACCGAGGGCCTGGCCTGGCGAATGGAAACCGCGAGCCACACGGCGCTGGTAAACTTGTTCCGCCGCCTCCAGAAACTCCGTGTTCATCGTGTCCATGACGGACTTTGCTTGGTCTTCGAGCTCTCGTGCACGGCTAATGACATGATCTGGGTCATCGGGCTCGTTGTAGATTCGCGCATTCTCGACAATGTGCTCGACGTCTTGCGTGAACTGGGATGGCAACTCGTACTCGTGGTCGTCCAGGCGACGGACCATGTCATTGAGGCAAAGGGGATTTGGCACCAGCAGCGCGTAGTCTGGGTGCGCATCGCTGTCGACCGGTCGCGCAAAGATACGCAGACGGCGATTTCCCGTCAGCTGATTCAGGACGTTGCGCAGAAAGATGCGGAGATTGCGCAGAATGGTCGTCTCATACTCGCGCATTGCGTCCAACTCGCGCGGAGTGAGGTGGGCCGTTCCACTGCCAGCGGTCGACTCTGGCGGAACGACTTGCAATGGTTCTCGGAGCAATTGCTCCTTTCGCTCGAGCAGGCGTCGTTGCCGCACACGCACGGGGTCGACCGAGCCGTCGCTGGCCAGGTCGCTCGCTTTAAACGTACCAGGAGGCAGGGCCAGCACTCTCTGCGGAATGTCCTGCCAGAATTTGGCCATGCTCTTTTCGTTGCGAGGGAAGGTGGCAGAGATGCACACCGTCGCGCGATGGAAGATGGCCAGGAGCGGAGCCGGCAGCTGGTCGCGAGTGGTGTGACTGGAAGTGGCAAACACGCAAACAGCCAACGTCGGCGGCATTCCGAGCACCAGCGACAGCAAAGTCGCGTGCACCTCTTCGCTGCTCGACTCCCAAAAGTTTTCAATCTGCGGAATGTAGAGCACGCACGGGGCACGGCGGCGCGCCTCTCGGCACAAATTGACACAGGCCTCCTCAAGAGACTTGGCAGACACGTCAGCAATAAGCGTAGGAAGGTCCACCGTGAAGATGGGCACATTTTCGAGCGCGTGCAGCGCCGCTGGCGCGATATGCATTGCTTGGCCATCTCCATCTCCCGCTCGACCGAGCAACAAGACGCGCGCGCGGGGATGGTCCACGTGGTCCCACAGTCCTGGCGTGGTCAGCATGGCATCCCCATTCGTTGCCATGGCGTTGGCGTTGGCGTTGGCGTTGGCGTCGGCGTTGGCGCTGTCGACGCTGTCTTGGTCATCGCCCTGCCGGTGAGTTGGCGCCATCCAGCCCAGCTCGTCTGTAAAGTCTGCCTCGATGAGCTCGATGGCATCGGCAAGAGATGCCGTTGGACCTGCTGCAGACTGGGACGTGCTTTCGCTGCTGCCAACAGCACTGCCGCTGGCGGACGTCTCCTTGCCGTTGGGTTTGGCGTGCTTGGCCTCCTTTTCAAACCATTCGGCTGCGTAGGCGGGAATGTTGATTGTGGGGCGCGGAACAGAGAGGAGCGTCGCAATTGCCTTGATGACCTTGAACGTGAGCTTGCCGAGCAAAGGCTCGAGCCAGGACGAGAGCGGCCGTCCGACCGGAATGACAGAGCGGTGGGAGGCCGGTGTGACCTTGCGCAACGCGTGCACCAGATCGCTTTGGGTGACCTTGACTCTGGAAAGATCGATGGCAAGCTTGTCTCGAGTGCCATAGATTTGCGGGAAATTCCGTCGAAGTGCGACCAAGCCTGCTTCTGCACACAGAGCCTTGAGATCGGCGCCACAGTAGCCCACAGTGCGCTCGGCCAACCACTTCAGCAACGGCGGCGCGAGAGCAGGACTCCATGCTTTGGTGTGAATGCCAAGAATGGAGGCACGCGAGGACGTGGATGGAAGAGGAAAGTGGAGCTCGCGATCAAATCGACCGGGTCGTCGCAGGGCGGGATCGATCGCATCCACGCGGTTGGTGGCGCCAATGATGACAATTTCGCCGCGATTGTCCATGCCGTCCATCAGGGCCAGCAGAGTTGATACAATGGACGAGTGGATTTGGTCTTGGCGACTCGAGCGCACCGGCGCCAAACCGTCAATCTCGTCAAAGAAAATGATGGACGGACGCATGGCAAAGGCCTGGTCAAAGAGCATCCGGAGCTGCCGCTCACTCTCGCCCACCCACTTGCTCAGGCAGTCTGCGCCCTTGCGCATAAAGAAGGCCACCTTGCGGCCACCAGCCTGGGAGCACTCGTTCGCCAAAGCACGCGCAACCAATGTCTTGCCGGTGCCAGGCGGCCCGTGGAACAAGACTCCTCGCGGAGGCGCAATGCCGAGCTTGGAAAAGACTTCCGGATAGAGCAGGGGCAGAATCACCATTTCCTTCAAAGCCAAGACATGGTGGCCGAGACCACCCACGGCATCAAAGGTGACCTTCGAGTCGAGGAGCATGGGGTCAATGTCCGCCGGGGTGCTCGGCACTCCGCTGGCGTTCGACTTTGCTCGGGCTCCAGCCTGCAGTTCGTCTTCGGTCATGTTCATCGGCAGAGTGCGAGAGCGCGCCTTGATTGCGCTCTTCCATGCCTTTTGAGCAAATCGGTCTTCAGGGTCGCTTGGATTTTCCGTGTCATCGTTGTTTTTGTTGTTGGTGTTGTTGCTGTTGCTGTTGCTGTTGCTGTCGGTGTTTGAATTTCGCCGTGTTGGACGCGGACACGTCTCTGAGAATCGAGGAATACCGGAATTAATGTTGTGATGCAGACTGGTACTGCGCCGTCGCTGCACTGGCAGTACGTCGCCCGGCAAGGCGTCCACGAGAAGGCTCCTTGGGATCATTTGTTTCCGGTCGCGCAACGAGTAAGCACGGCCAAAGTCGTCGCTCTCATAGCCGTCGATTCTGCTTTCCTTGCCACTCGAATGCCGAGCAGAAGCGCGCGTGGGCAAATTACGAAGCTTTCGGCGAGCAGACGAATGGTGAGCGGTTGAGCTGTCGTCATCGTCATCGTCATCCTCTTCATCATCCTCGTTTTCCTCCTCGTCCTCGAGCTCCAGGACGGATGCATCGCTTGAAGAGTCTGACTGCGAGTCGGCAGAGTCTTCAGACGAAGAGTCAATCTGTCTGGATCGACGACCTTGACTTGTGGGACGTGCCAGCTTGGAACTCGAAGCCAACGATCTGCACAACACCGAGAATGCAAGCCACGTTTGCAGTGAATAACCTCGATGCCAAACACGAAGACAAGTAACTTCAGAGCCCCAGACACCTGCGGAAGGCAAAACAAAGACACGTACTGATGGCGTTGAGGGCGGGAGGAGTTCGATGCGGTCGATTTTCCCGGTGTCGTGCTGCTCTCCTCGTCGGAATCCGTCTGTACCACTCGCGGGGTCGAGCGGCGAGCTAGACGCGAGCCCACCACCGACTGAACAGCCGCTTTGCTGGTCGGTTCGTGAGCTGGCGGTTTGGCGGCTCTCTTGGGACGCTCCGAGTCGCTGGCGTCGTCCGAGGCAGACCTGCTGTTGGTTGGTCGCATGGCGTGCGATTTCGGCTTGTTTTGCCTGTTGCCTGCGCGCTCGTCCTCAAGATCATCATCATCATCATTTTCGCTTGAAGTAGCATGCTCTGCAGTTCGGCGTCCGACCGACCTTCGATCGACGGGAGCATCGCGTGCATTGCCTCGCTTGGACGCTGAGGTGCCATGGTGGTCCGGATCATCATGATCATCATCGTGAACATCATGATCATCATCGTGATCATCATCGTGATCATCATCGTGACCTTCGTCCTCGTCGCTCTGCACCTGTGGCATTGTAAGGACAAAACCCGTTCCAAAACGCGAATCCGTTTCGATGATCATTGAGTTTGCGGGACCACAATGCCCCACTCCCTCCACCTTCCGACAATGTTTGATTTGCATTCTCAGGTCTGAGAATTGTTTGTTTTGATTACCTGTTTCGCATTCTGAGAAGCACTTGTCGTGCGACCGAGTCCGCTTGCGGTTCTTGCTCGCTTCGAATGCATGCTCCTGACGGACGAAGGCTCTTTGGTTTGTGCTTGCTTGACTGTCGCGTGGTTGGCGTTGCGAGCGGGATGTCGTCGTGAGTCGTCCTCGCGGTCGTCCTCGCGGTCGTCCTCGCCGTCGTCCTCATGGCTGATCTGTGCGTGCTCGACGCCATCACCACCGTCATCATCACCGTTGCCATCGTCATTGTCATCGTCATTGTCATCGCCTGTGCTGTCGTCCTGGTCGCTGCGATCGCGGTTGTTGCGTCGCGACGGACGGCTTTGGCTTTGCGCTCGGCTCTTCTTTGCATGGCGATGGTCAGCACGCGCGTCGCCGCGGGCACGCTCACGCTCACGAGCAAAATGCTGCTGGTGGGCGACAATCAACGCCGAGGCATGTGCGGCGGACTTGCGCTGCGTGCCGCGCATGGATGTTGAGTCGATACTAGTTGCAACACAATGAAAGGAGTGATGCGAAGCTGTGCACTGTCTGAGACTGATGTGATGCGGTGTCATACAGCAAATGCAATGGTGGCTAGTTGTTGGAAATGTGTAGAGGTGTTTTCTTTGCACTTGTGAATCTATGTGGAAATGCAAATTCAATTTTCTACGTCTCGAGACGCTAGCCAAACTTGCTGTACCGCCGAGCTGTAGGCTTTGCGGGTGGCTGCAATTTGGGTCATGGACTCGGCAGTGTCGTTTGGGTAGCAGCGGTTGGTGAGCAGGATGGTCGTGAAGCCGAGCTCGGGGTCGTTGCAGACCTGCGTTCCGGTGTATCTGTCGCGCCATCATCCGCACCAGGGTGCAATCATTGGACGAAACGGCAGCCAACAACGTAATCTCGAGACGACAGTGAGCCTCACATTGTCAGAAACAACACCCTCCCACAAAAAAAAAAAAAAAAACCAAACTCCCTCAACCAACGTCAAAATCACCCCCTTACCCAGTGTGCGTAAAGGTCGTCGGGGAAAGAGCTCCACAGGTCAAGTCCAGGTTGGTCGACCAGCCGAGGGCGCGCGGGGACTGCGTGGCATTGTACACTTTGGTGAAGAGCGCAACGGTGGTCGAGTTGATCCAGGGATTGTTGGGTTCGGCAAAGAGCAGCGAATGAACCAACACGGCAATGTCAACGGCGGTCGAAAACAGCCCAGCGTGTCCGGCGATCCCGCCGAGCGCGTACGAGTTGCCGTCCGAAACAACGCCTTGCAGCTGGATGTGGCGGTACCAAGTGTCGTTCCAGGTGGGAGCAATCCGCGCATAGTCGGCGCGCGGGGGCAGGAATCCAGTATCGCCGAGACGCAGCACGTCGATGACATGCAGACGGACGTAGGCCTCGTAGTAGCACTGCAGCCGGCCACTGATGGTGGCATGCGGATCGCCGCCTGCCGCCGCGCACGCCGGGAGCAAGTCTTGCTCCGTCACCAACCCGTGGTCGCGAGCGATGCGTCCAATCACAAACTTCATGGTGATCATGCTGAGGTCCGAGTACACATAGACCTGACCGACGGGGTTGGCGAGCGTCTGGTTGAGGACGGATTGGAAGATTTGCTCACGGCAGTCAAAGACCTCCGCAGCAAATGGCTGGGTGGTCTGCTTGCAACCGAATGCCACATCCCAGTACTCGGGGCTCGGATCCGGCGGGAAACCCGCGTTGTGCAGCATGAGATTGCGCACGGTGACCGTCTGCTTGCCCTGAGCGGCGAATGCGTCCGTCAGCAGGGACGGGTCCGCCACGGCCATGTCCAAGTCGAGCAAGCCACGCTGATACAGCGTCATGGCGGCAGTGGTGCTTGCAAGGACCTTTGTGAGCGACGCCAGATCAAACTTGGTCGTCGGGTGCATGGGCGGCGAGCCCGTTGATCCCGACGGCGCGAACGGCGGCAGGACATTGTCGTACGTCTGGTTGCCCAGTGCACGCAGGTACACAATGCCATTCGCTGCGACGACGGCCGCGACGGCGCCTGGGAAGACGCGTGACGCGAGCGCCGAGTCCAGCACGGCGTCCACGGGCGACCAGTCCACCGCGGCCCCAACAGCGAACGGGTATCGGTCCTTGACACGCACAGAAGGATGGGGAAGCGCGGCTGCGGCAGAGTCAGCGCGGCAGCTCAGCACGAGCGCCCCAAGCAGCAACAGGCAGCCACAAAAGAGCGGCAAAATCCGCTGCGGAGCGTTTTGCATTCAACAAAGAGGAAGAGTGGAGCATTTTTTTGTTCGCAGAACTGTACATGCAAGCGGAGGGTCGTTGCAGCTGCGATGGATGCCAAATGGTGGCAAGTAGCATGTACTGAAGTGAATCGGAGGTGATTTATCGTGACTTGTTGTTTGTGCGATCGGGCGGAGCTTTACAAATGGTGCAAGGCCCAAATGCGACCACGACACTATTCAATAGCGGGGGTTTGTCTCGAGTCAGTCAAAGAACAAGTTTTGAGAATCCGTGTTGGTGGATGAAGTTTGTATTAGTGTTGCATGAGAACAAGACAGCATTGAAAACTGAAGGAGACTTAAGATTGCAAAAAGAAAACGAGAAACATACATCGTCACAGACAAATGCGCTTATTCTTGATGCTGGTGCTGATGCTGAACAGCGGGGCTGGTGTACACCTCAAAGTGGCCGTTGGCATTCACGTCGACGGGCTTGCTACGGAGAAGCTTGGCAGCAGTGCCAATGACAACAAAGCGGACGATAATCGTCAGGACCAGGCAGAAGGCGTACATGACGGGTCGATAGAAGCTGCCAAAGCTCTCCAAAATGCCTATGAAACAGAATTGAGTTGGGAGGAGGGGGGGGGAGCGCGGTTGACAAACACTCATGTCAAGCTCAAAAGCAGTCGACTAACCAGTGGGCGGCGACATCAGGTAGTTGAGGTTGTTGCCAGTATACAGGGCCAACGAAGCGAGGACGAACGAGTGGTAGAGCGCATGCACAAAGAAGGCAAAGATGGTCACCGAAAAGCCGCGGCCGTACATGGAGACGAGCGGGAAACGACCCGTGTAAACCCACACCAGGGGGACAATGACGAGCGCCAAATGCTGCATGATGAAGAAGTGGATTTCGAGATACATTCCGTAATCACGAAAGTCCGGGAAGACCAACGCCAGGAGTCTGATCAGAGAAATAGGGAAACAGAGAAACAGTTGTGCAGTGAGATGAGTGAGATTGGCGTCATCATGCCTCTCGGCGCAGACAGACTTACGCGCCCCACAGACAGTGGATGTGAATGTGAAACAGGACGTGCCGCTTGAGGCTCTTTTCCGGCCAGAAGCAGAGCAGGAGGAGCAGGACGCTGAAAATGTGGCATGGCTGGAGCAAGAAGAGCAGGTGGCCGCGCACCGTCTTGTAGTAGATGGCCGATCCGTAGAAGACGAGCATGGCAACCGTGCAGAGCGCATCCAGAAGCCTTGGGAACCAGCCGCGGGACGACAGCGGGACGGTGGTCTCCGACACCAGCGTGCTGTTGTGCCAGCAGCCAATGTGTGTGTTTTCAGTGAGCTTTTCTGTACAGCAACCATCCACATCCACATCAACACACACACACACTTGACACCGCTTTGTGGATGATAGCGAAAAAGTGGTGGTGTGTTGGTGGATGTGGGTGGATGACACACTGAACTGGACAAGGGGGAGAAACGCCGACAACAGCAAAACAACGTTTACTGACCTCCAGTTGGGCAGGCGCTTGGCTGCGAGCCACACTGCAAGTGCAAACAGGATGTTGTAGATGACAAACTCGATGGCGTGCTGCTTGGGCGACAGGTGCCTTTTTGGGGTGTGTGTTGGGGTTTCATTGTGGCAAGTAACGGTTAGCAAGGGGTGAGTGCGCGCGGATGCGAATTTCGACAATCCCCCTTCGCTCAGTTTCAGTCTCTCTCTCTCACTTCGCCTCTCTTCCGCATAAACATTCACATTCACACAAAATAAGATGGCATCTCTGATTATTCAGCATCGGCAGTCAACGCTAAACTCGAGCAGCCGCTTCGAATAGAACCAAAATGCATCTGCGTTGTTGTATGTTTCAGCGTCGGTTTTTTTTTTTTTTTTTTTTTGTTACCAGCTGCCTTGCACGGACGTAACGCGGTCGGCGATCGAGGGAAGGTTGGGATGCAGTGAATGCAGGTGCTTTGCAATGGGCTCAAAGAAGAACTCATCGAGCGCAGTCAGCGTATCCAGAGCGACCTGCATCTTTGAAAGCGAAAAAAACAAAAAAAAAAAAAGCGGACTGTGTCCTCTCCAACAAAACTCAGACTGCTTGCGGCCAAATCCGGAAATGGACGAGGTGTCAAACAAAAATCGTCATTTATCAAAGGCAAAACAAAAAAAACAAAAAAAAGGGCAAAGTACAGTACCAACAACAACAGCAGCAGCAACAGTCGCAAACCCAAAATGATTTGTTAACAATGGCCTTGCTGAGCGGCATCGACATTGTCGTCTTCGTCCACATCGTCATCTCCAGCACGGCGAACAAGCCCGCACTGATTGCAGTAGCCAAGAATGCCATCATCTTCGGCAGACGGGTCGCCGGGCATGACAAAGCCGCAGTTGTGCCGTCTGCAAAGCATGCGTCGGTGTTCCGGAAAGCCCTCGAGCACCCGACGCTCGTCGGGACCCGTGCATCGTGGACACTCGCACAGGAATCCGTAAAACTGACGAAGATGCTCTCGGCGCTCCGCCTTGGGGTTTCGAATGTTCGAGTAGCACCAGGTGATTTCCGTTCCTTCAGCCACATCAATCACAGCGCGCGCTTCAAAGTGCGGCAAGCCGTCCACTAGAGGTCGGTGGAATGCATGGTGCTCGCGCATCAGAACGGGCGCGCACGAGTGATTCATCAGATGCCAGCATGCCGTGTATGCGCCGTACATTGTGTCCATCCGACCCGGCCCGAGCATGGAGAATGCGTTGCACTGATGGCGGTGAAAAATGTTGAGAAACTCGGGTCCGGGGATGCGCACTGCGGCTGGCACTAGCTCGTTGGCAAATTTCACGACAAACTGCAACAACAACAACAACAACAACAAAAAAAAAACCAAAAAAAAACAAACACCATTTTTTGAGTACCCAAACCAAGACCAAAAACAAGAATCAATCCAATTCAAGACGAGACAACAATTACGTACCTTCAACGTGTGATCGTTGTCATCCGCAAGAGTGGGACTGTACGCGAGATTCTTGGCAATGTTTTCGTACGAGTTTCGAAGCTGAGGCTCGCCGGGAAGTGGGAGCAGCTGCAATCGTTTGGCACGGATGGAAAGAATGCGAATGGCCTGGCGGAGAAGATCACTGATGACGTCGTTCGGGTGGATTGCATCGGTGCCCAGGAACGCCAACGCATTGCATTCGATCTCAGAGTGTAAATCCCTAGCTTTGCTTTCGTCGCGGCAGGCCGTCGAGCAAAAGTACACTTGCACGCACTTTTCGCAGCGCACGGTGAGCGCACATGGGTCGCTGTCATTCCCTTCGAGTGGAGGCTGCGACTCTGGTGAAATGGGCAGACGGGCTGCTCGAAACCGGTCTTTCGGCTGTGCCAACACATGCCGGAAACACGTCGAACAAACTCGGTCCTTGACATTCTCGCACACCGTACCAAGGAAGATGCACTCGCGCACAACCACTTCGCCTCGCCGTATTGGCCTTGTTGCGACCAAGCCGTACCCAGATTGTGGATTATACCTGTGCGAACCCGATTTCAGTACAAATTGGGTTTGGCATTTTCAGAAATGGTCAGCACCTGAGAATGCCGCACAAAATCCAAAGCAAGAATGATACTCGATTCCTCATACAAGCCTAACGAATTCATTGCACTACACCTGCGCACTTGTTGTACTGCTCTTCGACGGTACATGTGTGTGTGCGGTTTCGTTCAGCAACAACCGAACTCACCTCGTGCGCACAGGCATGCTATGCCGCGCAAAGTACTCGTCCATCGACCTCGCCCATGCTTCAGTGCGCGTGGTCTCTGGCGCCGGGTATGACGACTTTTGCGTGGCTTTGGCTCGCTGCGCAGTGGTGGATGTGCCAGCAGCGGCGTTGGCTTTGGCTGCTGCCTTGTGTCTCCGCTCGGATCGCGCCTGCCAACGCCGTTCGGCTGTCTCTACGTCGGTTTTGGTTGCTGCTACGTCGACTTCTGCCAACTTGCGCAGCGGCTTGGCGAGATCGAGCTCTTCGCTCATTTTTCAATGTTGTGACAATGGCTGGAAAACGACGACTGAAGCACCAATTTGAAATGAACCATTGTATGGACTGCATTTGCGTGAGTGTGAGTGTGATCATGTACAGCAAGTCATCGTCGCACTGTATGCTTTCACTCTTAGATTTCTGTTTTCTTTCTTTTTTTCGTTCTTTCTTCCATTTCCTACGTCCATGTCCAATCCGTTCGGGGGCGACAGCGATCCCGAGTCGGACGATGGCGGCTTTGGTGCGCCCTCTGCCACCCCAGCAGCAGCTGCGGCAACCAGCACCAACAACAGCACCAACAACAACAACAACAGCAGCAGCAGCAGCAGTGGCGGTGGCGCAAGTAGCGGGCTGTTCTCTAAAAGCAGCAGCAAGTCGGACAAGTCGGACAAGAAGGACAAGTCTGACAAGAAGGACAAGAAGGACAAGAAGGATGGCAAGAAGGACTCCAAAGACAAGGACAAGGACAAAAAGTCCAAAGACAAGGACAAGGACAAGGAGACCAAGGACAAGGACAAGGACAGGAAGGCCTCAAGTACGGGCTCGTCAAGCAGTGCTACTACGACCAGTGCTACCACTCCGAGTTCTGGTGCTGGTGCTGGTGGTCATGGCGCGCGCGGCTCGGCGGCGGACAAGGCAAACCCGTTCGGTGGCAGCGACGGCGATGACGACGACCAAGGAGACGATTCAAACCCGTTTGGAGCCAGTTCTTCGTCTTCTGCTTCAGCGACGACGACGGCCACGACCAGCTCGAGCGCGTCGTCCTCGAGCGCAAAGCCTGCCGGTGGTGCGGCGTACTCGGCGCTGGGGGTGCCGTCGGGACTGATGCCGCGATCGTCGGGTGCAGGAACGACTGGAGGAGGATTGTCGGGCTCCTCGTCCACACTGAGCAGCCGTCGCGGATCCATTCAGTCCACGGCAGACGGCGCGTACACGTCGGCAGCTGGATCCTCGTCGTTGTCCTCCTCCTCCTCCGAGATGGAGCGGGAACGCCAGCGGCAGGCCGAGCAGGAAAAGCGCAAGGAAGCCGAGCGCGAGCGGCTCAAGCAGCGCGAACTCGAGCGCAAGAAGCGGAAAGAAGAAGCGGCACTGCTGGTTTCAAGTGGTTCTCGCAGTTCCACGAGTGGCGGCAGTGGGTCGGCGAGCGGAACGACTGGGTCTGGTGGGCACGCGCCGAATGCTGGACAAAAGTACAAGGTCCTGGCAGACTACAAGGACCCCAAAGACCGCTCCTTCAACCTGTACGAGGGTGAAATGGTGACGGTTGTCACGCCAACACTCGCGATGGGTGACGAGGATCACACGATGGTCAACACGTCCTCAAACCTCAAGGTTGTGATTCCGACGCGTTTCATCGTCAAGGATTACCCTGGTGCGGCCTCCGGGGCCTCCGCCTCTACAACATCAGTTGCTTCTTCCACGGCCAAGCCAGTGGCATCTGCGTCGACTTTTGGTAAAGAATGGCTCGCTGTATTGCTCTGACGTTTTTTGTTTTTGTTTTGTGCGTGCGTGTGCGTGTGCATCCTGACCGTTCCATTCCGTTTTCCCTCAACGACTCCAGCTGCCAGCAGTAGTCGCGCTTCCACGGCCTCTGTATCACGCACAGCCAGTCCGTTTGACAACAGCGACGACGATGACGATGACGATACCGATGAGCCACCACCAAAAGCAGCAGCAGCAGCAGCAGCAGCAGCAGCTCCTACGCCCGCTCCAGCGGCAACAACGAAAACCATGTCCTCCGTATCAAAGCTCGCACGTGAGAGTGACTTTAACGAGGATGAAATCCCCATTGGTCCGGACGGTCGCTTGCTCATGAAGTGTTTGGACTGTGGCAAGCGAGTGCCTGTCGATGATTTGGAGGAGCACTCGGAAGTCTGCTCGAAATCCAACCGCACCGTCAAAGTCTCGGCAAAGGCCGTGCAGTCCACCAAGGCAACGACAAGCTCTCCTGCAAGCATTGCCGCCTCAAAGCTTTCGTCGGTCGTGTCTGTTCTGCCCTTCAGCAAGCTTGGCAAACTTGGCACAAAGAAGAATGCCAATGCCAGCGCCGGTGCATCCAACACGGCATCACCTGCCGCCACAGTCGTGGTGAGCTCTGCGCATTCTCCTCCAATGCCGCTTCCATCGTCGACCCCTGCTTCGGCATCGACCTCTTCGTCCTCCGCGGCAGCAGCAGCAGCAGCAGCACAGGAGGCCAACCCATTCGGTAATGACTCGGATGGCAGCGATGATGAGTCGGAAGACGATGCTTGGAAACCGCGCGTTCGAGCAACCACCGCCTCCATCGATCCGAACGCGACCGTGATCAAGGCTGAGCCGGGCGTCGGGGCGGTTGTCAAGACTGGTGGGGCGGCACCCGTTGCAGCAGCTACTACTGCCAGCGCGCCAAAGGCCAATCCCTTTGGTGGCGACGACGACGATGATGATGACGACGACTCTGACGACGACTCTAGCAATCCATTTGGCGGCAGCGATGGCGGCAGCTCAAAGGCAAAATCGGCAAACGCAAATCCATTCGGAGGTGGTGATGACGACGATAACAACCCATTTGGCGGAGGCGACTCTGGCGCTGCTGCATCCACTGCTGGCTACTTTAACAACGTTTTCAGCAGCACCTTCAAGAGCGATGCACCTGCTGCCGGTGCGACTGCAGCGAAGCCTGTGAGCAAATGGGGAGACTTTGGGACGACAGCCGCGTCGTCGAGCGAGTCGGACGAAAGCGAGTCCAGTGACGATGACAAGAAGAAAAAGAAGAAGCAAAAATCGAAAAAGTCCAAAAAGTCGAAAAAGTCCAAGCGCTCGCGGTCGTCGTCCTCATCGTCGGACGACTATCCCGTGTTTGAGGAAGAAGAGCCCGACGACTTTGATCCTTCGCATCTGGAGGTGTCTGTCAACGATCCCGAGATTGCTGGCAAGGTCAACAAGCAACTGACTTTTGAAGTCACCATGAAGACAGACCTGACCGAGTACCCAACAGACACCCACAAGGTGCGTCGCAAGTACGATGACTTTGACTGGCTGTACGAGTCCATCTGCCTCAATCACCCAGAGTGCATCATTCCGCCAATGCCCGAGCAGCAAACCGCCGTCCAGCGCTTGTCCGAGTACTTTGTCGAAAAGCGCGTGCTGGGCTTGCAGCACTTTATGCGCCGTCTCAGTGAGCACGAAACGCTCAGCCTCGACCGCCATCTCGTTGCATTCTTGTCGTCGACGCCCAAGGAGCTGAAACGCTACAAGAAGCAGGAAAAGGTTGTCAAGCGCGAACTGGGCAGCCACAAACCCTCGAGCGACAAGCACAAGCGCGATCCTCGAATCCAACGAGCGCGCGACTACCTCACCGAGGTTGACAAGTTGCTCAAAGTTTTGTCCAAGCGCGTCGAGATTAATTCGCGAGCTTTGGCTGGTGAGTTTGGTTGTTGTTCTTTTCAAAATGGTGTGGTGAGCTCTTCGATGCGGTCGTTCTCACCTTGTACTGTCGTCATCTTGTGCCTTCTTTGCAGCCGGAGATCCGGCACATGCGGGCGAGACTTTCACCAAGTGGGCCGAGATTGAAAAGGACGGCACTTACACGCAGAATTTGTGCCGTGAAATGGCTGGCACGCTTAACTCTCTCAATGTGGAGCAGGTGAGGGAGAAAGCTTTTGCTCAAGAGCTGCCCATTGACAGTCGTCGTTGGTCGTCAATGATTCGTGACTTTCTATTATTTGGGGTTTTGTTGTTTTGACAATTTCTTCTTGTTGTTCTCACTTTTTAGGAGAAGGCGGGCGAGTACAACTTCAAGATGAATCTCAAAAGCATCTCGGCATACGTTGAGGCAGGCATCGTAAGTGTCAACCATTGATTTGTTGCAGGACGATGATTTCTGGAGCAGCACTCTTTGTGGTTGACTCACCGTTCTTGAAATATCTACATTCAGGAATGGGTTGGTCGGATTGAAGCCGTCGAGGATGAACACCAGTACTGGGCCGAGCAACACGAAACCGCCAAGACTGAGAAAAATGAAAAGAAGCTCAAAGAGGTAAGGCATTTCACAAAGTTGTCGAGACTTCCATCCTTCCTGTGCGCGCTCACTGCATTGCCATGCTTGTGTCGCCAAACTTCAGATCGAACCAAAGAAGGCGTATGCGGACGAAACATACAAGCTGTTCAACGAGGCTCTGAACGACGAGCTGCACCACTTTGACATGCAAAAGGAACGGGAACTCAAGGAGGTCTTCTCGGCCTATCTCCAGACCAAAATGGAGCAACAGCAAGTGCTCATGTCCAAATGGGAAAGCACGATGAGTGCCGTGCGCAAGAAGGTCCATTCCGATCGTCGCACGCTGTATTGAAGACGCCGTTTTGGATGTGTGCGGTTTTTTTTTGTTGCTTTTTCTTTTCCTGCTCTTGGTTGTTTGATTTGCATTATAATCTATCCGATCTGTTTCCGTGCAAACGCTAAATGGCAAAACCCAAAGCAATAACCGACACAGCTGTTTTATTGCGACAACGACAAGCATGCACGCATCACAAGTCAAAGTCTTGCAACAGAAACGTATGAGGACACATGCCGACCTGAAAGACAACCACAAAAACATACGTGCACATACACACACGCACACACACAAAACTCCCCAAAGAGCAATGACGAGAAGGTCGAAATACGACAAAACACAAACGCCGAACCTCCCTCTGTCTCTGTCAAGAGATAGCCCACTCGTTTATCGCTGGGCTGGGGTGGGCTTGGGCGGAAGAGAAAGCCCGGACGGTCGTGGGGTCGGAGCCGGCTTGTTGGGACCAGAAGGGCGCGACGCAATCAAATTCTCGGAACTCGAGTAGTCATTGCTAGAAGTCATTGAAGGCTTGGCAGGGGGCGTGGGCTTGGCTGCGGGCGAGGGCCTCGGCGCGGCCTTGGGCGCGGCAGAGCCCTTGCCGGGATAGTCGGCGTTGGCGTCGAGCTCGCAGTAGTTGCCAGGAATCTTGCCAACAGCCTTGGTGCGCGTGTTCTTGCAGGTGAACCAACCATCCGCCGCTTTGGCCGTGACGAGAACAATGTCGTTTTCAGCCAGCTCGAGCTCGTCGGGGTACTGCGGCGCGTAGGGGTAGATGGCACGGTAGACTTCAAACGCCGCAGAAACACCAGTGGCGGAGGGCCGAGGGGTGGGTGCAGGCTTGACGCTGCGCGGAGGTGATGCAGTGATGGGGCGAGGAGTAACCTGGGCAGCAGCAGCAGGGGCAGCGGCAGCAGCAAGGCTGGGCGGCGCGCGGGAAGGCGGCGCACTCATCGGCTTCATCTGCACCGAGACCGACGACGCTGGGGACACGTACGCATCGTTGCGTTCGATATCAGCCTTGCCCGACGATGACGGCGAGCGATGGACTCGCTTGCGCGAGGACAATCCGCGACGACGGCGCAACAAGAAGATTACGAGCAAGATGAGGAGAAGACCACCCACAAGGCCACCGACAACCCCTCCAGCGATGGCGCCAGCGTTGCTGCTGGAAGAGTCTTCTGCTGGCGCGCCCTGGCTGGGAGTGGCACTTGCAGATGGGGTGACTGGGACAAATGCCGTGTCAAACGAGGCGCAACCGAGTCGGGTCGAGCCTTGGTTCTGATCGTGGATGACAATCGCGCGGTTGGTGACATTCCACGGTCCAGTGAGCGGCAGCCACGTGTCAGTCCACATTTGCTTGTTCACCGCATTGCCGGCCGTAAAGTTGAGCTGGGCCAGCTTGCCTGCCAAATCGCCCAACTCGCAGGCGGTCACGTTGCTGCTCGAGCACGCGGCGTACGCAATGGGGTCGCTGACGGGCGCGTTGGTCGGGTTGTAGTGTCCACCAGTCGAGAGACAGCGCGTGGTATTGCTGGAATAGCCGTCACCCTGGACCGGGTTGACATGAACGTGCCACTTGTGGCCCGTGGAGGCGGCCGAGTCGGTGCGGGCCAGCTTCACTTGCACGTAGGTTTCGGAGGTCGGATCGCTTGCAATCTGTGTCAACGTGACGGCACCCGTGAAGAGGCTGGACTGGCTGGTAAAGTTGGCCACAATCCTCACAACCGGCGCATCGTTCGGGTAGCCGAGCGAGGCGCACACCCATCGCTCGGATGTGGTGCGATGAATGACAATGGATCGACCGGCCACAGAGTAACGGCCAAAGAGCGGGAGCATGTAGTCCCAGCCTTGGAGCGAGTAGCCCGCAATGCGTCCGAGCTTGCCAGAAAGGTCACCCACCTCGCAGGCTTGGAAGCGACGTGCGCTGGTCGTGGTGCATTGGGTGTAGTCAATGGGCAGAGGGATGTAATGGCCACCTGTCGAGGCAGCACCGCAGCGATCCGCTTCCGCCGAGTCAATGGGGAAGGCGTGCACGTGGAAGGGCAGCGGCAAGGGGATCTGCGCCACGCCAGACAGAGCAACACTAATCCAGGTGGGGTCGTTGATCGTCTGCTGGGTCAAGGTGATGGTGCCAGTCACGCCGTTGGTGTTGGCGCCGTCAAACACGGCGGTGACGATGCGTGGCGTCACGTAGGACAGAGTTGCGCAAGCAATGCGGATGGTCGGGGTGGTGGCGTCATGAATGACAATCGAGCGATCCGTCACGCTGGTCGGGCCCGACAGCGGGAGGAAGGTGTCCACCAGCATCGACTTGCCGCCTGCCGTGGACAAGCCGAGGTAGCCTTGACGGTTGGCAAGGTCGCCGAGCTCGCACAAGTACGGCTCCTGAGGCGAGCACAGACCGAGCGCCGCAGTGTAGGGATTGTAGTGCCCAGTCGTGCTGGCACAATCGGGGGCCACAGGGAGGATGTGGACGTGCCACGGGTTTTGGGAGAGCGCCCCGCCGTCGGTGCGCACCAAGTTTGTCAGAATGGTCGTTTCACCATCGGGATCCTCCACGCTCTGGCGCAGGGTAATGCTGCCGCTGACGGGAGAGCCGGTAAAGTCTGCGCGAACAACCTTCACCTGCTTCGGGTAACCGATGGAGGCGCACACCCAGCGAGCGCTCGAGGCGAGGTGCACCACGACTGAGCGACCCATGATGGAGCGCGGGCCAAACAAGGTCACGGAGGGGTCCTGAATGTACATTGGCGCATACGTGAGCTTGCCCCACTTGCCGCTGAGATCACCAATCTCGCACGAGGACAGCTTGGTTCCGCTGGCAGGGTTGCAATTGGTCGCATACGTGGGACTGGCTGCAGCGGCGAACGGATCGTAATGGCCGCCAGTCGAAGGGGCAGAGCAGTCGCCGGGCGAGGCAACCTCAAACTGGTGAATGTGCCAGGACAAGGTCGATTCGGCCTGGCTGTTCAGGCCGGCGAGATCAACAGTAATGTTGGTTGGGCTGGTTGGTGTGGCTTGGCTGAATGTGATGGTGCCAACCACGCCATTCACGCCGTTGAACACTGCGGTCAGAGTGCGCGCTTGGGCGGTCGCTGCGGGGACAATGTCGGCACAAGCCAAGCGAGTCGTGGCCAAATTTGCATTGTGAATGACAATGGAGCGTCCCATGACAGAGTTGGGGCCAGAGAGGGGCAGCTGGACATCCGTCTCAAAGAATCGCTGGCTGCGCGGCATGCCACCCAGCGTGAGTGCCGTGTGCTTGCCAAACAGATCGCCGAGCTCGCAGCCGAAAGGAGTGCTTGGCGTGCACGTGTTGCCGTACGCGGGCTGGGTCAAGTCCACACCCAGCGGGTTGTAGTGCCCGCCCGTGGTCAAGCAGTCCGTGCCATTCTTGGGGTTGACGTGAATGTGCCACATGTGGTTGTTGGAGGTGGTGCCATCCATGCGGAAGACGTTGACATAGACGCTGGTCGGCGCGGTGGGGTCGTTGGCCTCTTGCGTGAGCGTGATGGTTCCAGTCACCACGGGCGACGAGAACCTGGCAATGGCGGTGATTGTGGGCACGCTCGTGATGGACAGTGTGGCGCATGCGTACTGTCCGGTTTGGTTGTTGCGCAAGACAATCGAACGGCCAGAAACCGACCAGCGGCCAAACAGCTGCAAGTTGTTGTCGGCAAAGGTGGTCGAGTCCGGCATGATGGTGCCGTGCTTGCCCGACAGGTTGCCTTCAACGCACGAGGCAAATCGGAAGGGGCTGGACGCGGAGCAGATTGGGGCGTTGGGGTCGAAGGCCAAATCACGACGCGCACCATTCACAATGCTGCCAGAGCTGAACATGGAGCCAACCGAGAGCGCGGCACAGCCTTGTTCGACGGGGAAGGCATTGATCGACCAGTCCAGGGGAGCGACCACGTTCGACAATGCAACGCTGATAAAAGTGGGGTCACTCGGGGATGTTTGCGACAGTGTGATGGTGCCGGTCGCCCATGGCACGTTGCCACCAGTCGAGCTGGCCGCGCTGAAGGAAGCCTGGACGGTTTTGGGCTGCACAACGTACAGCGAGGCGCATGCAATTCGAGCAGCGCCGCCGTTTTGGTCGTGAATGACAATCGAACGCCCAGCCACGCTGTTTGTGCCGGAAAGCGGAAGCATCACGTCGCTCGTAAAGGTTTTCGTGGCAGAGGTGGTAATGTTCAGCTGGTAGTGCTTGAGGGTCAGGTCGCCCAGCTCGCAGTTGGCGGGAGTCTGCGGGGTGCAAAGCGATGCGTAGGTTGTGGGATTCGACGTGTCGACGCCGAGCGGGTTGTAGTGCGCACCCGTCGACGCGCAGTCGCCAGGCGTCGCCACGGGGTTGATGTGCACGTGCCAATTGTGGTTGTTTGTCGTGGTACCGTCTGTGCGGAAGAGCTTTGTGTGAATGCTCGTTGGCGACAGAGGGTCGTCTGCAAGCTGCTTCAGCGTGACGGAACCGTTCACAACGCCGGCAAAGTCTGCGCGAACGGTGATGACTGGGCGCGCGAGGCCAATGGTTGCGCAAATCCAGCGAGTGCCATCGGCTTGGTGAATCACGACGGAGCGGCCAGCGATCGAGTTGATGCCATACAACGAGATGGTGGGGTCGACAAACGACTCGACAATGCGGCCAGGCTGGCCGGCAATCTTGCCATTCACCAGCGGACCAAACTTGCCACTCAAGTCTCCCGTCTCGCAAGACACGTGGCGGGAGGCCGAGTTTGCATTGCACGTCGTCGCGTAGCCGGCCGAGGATGCTGGGGCATTGAACGGGTTGAAGTGGCCACCGACGCTCGCTGCCGAGCAGTCCGTCTCCACGGGGAAGGTGTGAACGTGCCACGGGCGATTGGACACGGAGCCGGTGACACCGTCAAGCTGAACGCTGATGGCAACAGGGTCATACTGGTTGGTCTGCGAGAAGGAAATCACGCCGACAACGCCTTGGGAGTTAAAGTAGGCGTTGGCCGTCTTGGCTGCTGCGGGCTTCAGCGTCGCGCACGCATATCGCGTTGAGCCACCACCTGCGGCGTGGATGGTCACCGCACGTCCCACAATCGTCTGCGGACCCGACAGAGGCAGGTTTACGTCAGCATACTGGCCTTGCGCGGCCAGCGACATGGTGGTCGGAATGTTGAGCTGGCCTTGCTTGCCGCTGAGATCGCCGAGCTCGCATTTCCAGGGGGTGAGCGGTGTGCAGTCGGTGGCGTAGGTGGGAGAAGCAGCAGCGCCGTACGGATCAAAGTGGCCGAGTGTGGAGGCGCAGTCGTTGGTGGTGATGTTGACAGGTGCCAGGTGGACGTGGTAGTTGTGGCCAAAGGTTGCGGCAGAGCCGTCCGACTTGGCAACCGTGGTCGAGTAGGTTGTCGGTGGCAAAGCGTCCCCAGCAGCAAACAAGGCCTGACGGAACGTCATGACGCCGTTGACGTTGAAAGGAGTCGAAAAGGTTGCCTGCGCCACGTTCGAGGGTACAAGCGCATCCATGGTCGCGCAAAGGTAGCGCGTTGTATCGGCGCGGTGAATAACCACCGAGCGGCCAAGGATGGCACGCGGGCCGAACAGTGTCAGACCGCCATAGTCCTCGCCAACAATACGCTGGCCATTGTACAGCTTGCCAAACTTGCTCGTCAGATCGCCAGCCTCGCAGGTGGTGAAGCGGTAGGGCGAGGTTGCGTTGCAGCTCGTCGAGTAGCCAGCAGCAGCGGCGTTGGCGCCGTTCGGGCTCCAGTGCCCTGCCGTGCTGGCGCAGGATCCGGTGGTGCCATCCACGGGCAGAATGTGCACGTGCCAGGGGAAGGCCTCGCCGTCAAACAGACCAAACACTTGTGCCGAGACGAGCACGGGATCAACTGCAGAGACTTGGGAAAAGACCACGCTGCCGTAAATCTGGCGGTCGGGATAGGCAAACACGGCGGACGAAACGCGGGGAGCCACGACACCCAAGTCGGCGCACGCCAGGCGCGTCGTGGCCAGGTTTTGGTCGTGAATCACCACCGAGTGCGGCGTGATGGCGGTTGGGCCAGAGAGGGGAAGAGCCAGACCGGTGAACATGGCCTTGGTCAGCGTCGGTGTCAGCGTGAGTGCACCAAAGCGCCCATACAGGTTGCCAGTGTACGTGCACAGGTCGGGCAGGAAGGGCAGGCAGCCGAGGTCGAGGCTCTCCGAAATGCCGCTTGGGTTGAAGTGGCCACCAGCGTCCGCGCAGTTCGGACTGCCGTTCAGCTGTGTCGTGTGCACGTGCCACTGATGGTCGACGGTGGTCTGCCCATCTGTGCGAGCAAGGCGCACAAGAGCCGTCGTCTCTGACTGCGGCTGGTCCGCAAGCTGCTTGAAGGTGATGGTACCGTTGACCATACCCGAGAACGTGGCTTGCACAGTGACAACAGGCGCCGCATACCCGATGGTGGCGCAAATCCAGCGCGCGCCAGTGGCTGTGTGAATGACATAGACCTTCCGACATCGAGTGGGCAAGATTTGCAGTGAGTATCCGGGGCGCCGAGATGTGACGCCGTCAGTGGGCCAGCTTGCCTGC